GCGGACAATGGCTTGTGAAGGCGCGAGGGAGAGGGGGGAAAAGCAGACACCTCTCCGCGAAATCTAAGAATAGCCGCGCTGCTGCACACAAACCCCAAAAAATCGACAACCGAAATCCTGGAGAGCAGATCCCCCAACGGGTTGGCTGAAGTTTGGACGCCGCGATGACACCCTGGGCCCTGGACTTCGGAGCCGTCTCCCCCCCTCTTCTGAAGATGACGTGGGACCAAAAAGCTCGAACCATTCCCGGCCTGGTCAGTAGCTCCGAGCCTCTGATTGAAGGGATTTTTGTTTCCGGCGCTTCCACGTTTTCCCAGCACCAACGGCGGGCTGGGGGCAACTGTCAACACCGGCCGGCTCACCTAGTGCACAAACAGACCGCAGACACTTATTACCGGGGACTCATCCTACAATTTAATAGTCCGAGGTGGACGACATACGGCCACTCATTACCTTAGCTCCAATACCTCTACTGTGGTAAGGTACTGTGCCGCCCACAGGCTACCTACGGGCACAAATGGCAGATGTTGCCCTCATCCAGGCCTACGACAGGAGGCCAGGTCTTCGTTCGAATAGCGCATCACCGAATCGATAGCTTGCTCAAGAGGAGCATGGGTCTGGTAAAGTTGCGCGCAGAGGCAAGCTGACGCTGCAACCAAAGGGAGGCATTGGAGGTATCCCGATGTGTTTTAGATTGGCCATTCCACATCCATCCATCCATCCATCCATCCATCCATCCATCGGAGCAGAGAGGATGGAGCCCACACGCAGAGATGCCGCACCGCGCTAGGCCCTTAATACCGTATCGGATCATGGTATGGCGGTCCATCTTGTCACAGCCGATTGCCAAATACCCGGCACTGCGAGGGAGCGATTCGACTGACTGGAACGGGAGCACTGCGTGGTGGTCGACGTAAGCAACCACCTGCCATGCACGGCGTCAGAGTTGCCCAGAAAACCGCCGAATAAGACCCTGGATTCGCCCCGATGAAGCCGGAAGTGGCGTCGACAAACCCCGACGAAGACGCGCCCGAAGGTGGTCGGGGGCTCCCGTTACTGGCTGCCTTCTTCATCGTATCCATTGCCGACCTACGAGCATCTAGCAAGGTAGCCTCCTAGCGCCGGTGCGTCTGACCAGTGGTGGCTTGTCATAGGCCCGGGACGGTCCCAAGAAACCGGAAAAGCGTTTGGACGTCCACGACGGCGACGCTGATAGTAGCTTGCCGAGACGCCTTCGCGCTTCCTAGTCGTGCCTCTCTTCTCTCCAGGGCTGTCTGCTGCCAGTCTGCGGCCAGAACCCAAGGCCCGTCGTTCCCAAGTCGTTGACTAACGGGCACACGCCGCTGCCACGAGGCACGAGGATGGGATCGGGTGGATGGATGAACAGATGGATGGGTGGATGGTCTTCCCAAAGATCCGTCTGCGCCGCACAAGCTGGGTTTCCTCGACCTCGCGTGCTCCTCCTGCGAGCTCTTCATGGCTGGTAGTTGCATACGAGCCCTCGTTGCCCGCCATTACCAATCTCTTATTTTTCAAGAGACCATTCATAAGGCTAACTTGCTGCGGCATTGCGAGCGACGCTTGCCAAGGGGAAAGGGGGGCTACTTTCGCTTTTCGGGACTTGACAAGACAACATGGCACCACCACAAACCATCTGGACCTGGGCTGGGCGCCTTGTACTTCGGCAGTCGTCCTTATTGACATTTGTGCGCTTACTATCCCAGGATACCTGGGCTTGCTGCATCCCGCTGCTTGCGGCAGGACAAGGACGAGGAAGCAAATTGCGGTGTCTGGCCAGAGCTTCGGCCCCCGAAATCTGCCCTGGGATCCCCTGAGGTCCCTTTGCGGACGATGCTAGAAGGTGGACCTGGGGCGGGGGGCCGATGATGGGGTCACCCTCCCAGGGCCGCCGTCGCCTCCGTGAGAAGGGCGGCCAGAAAGACTTTTGGTCCAACGCCAAGGTTGGCCATCGGCACTGGACATATTGCCTTGCGGAGTCCCGGATCAACGTGCCATTTGCTATGGAGGGAGCCTCTTTCAGACTTTGCTGCTTTCACGTCTTCTGACTGGCTGTTCGCTTCTCCCCTTCGGTGCGTCCGCTCTTGTTATTCTCACTTTCTCGTTGACCGATCGCCACATGCGACTTGAGGTTCGGAAGAAAGGCATAGAGGGGAAATGATGGTCCTGTTAACAGGAAGACACTGATCATCATGGGCGCCGTTTTGGGGTGCGAGGGTGCGTCGGTCATGGACGTATCCGACTGGTGGAGGAGCTCGTTCAGAGATGGAGCCGCAGTCTTGACCGGGCATGATGGCTGGATCCAACAACATCAACATTGCCTCTCGAAACCGCACAAAGTGGACAGAAATATACTGTCTTCCTTTGCAGCGAGCTACCGCATGGCAGAGAAGCGAGGTTGAAGGGACAACAGAACGTCGTCACAGCCGGCGCGGCGTATCCCCGCAGGGCCTGCAAGATTCCAAGAGCCGTAGTGGTCTCCTCACATCGTGGACGACCGTCCCGACTCACCCTTAAGCTCATGTAGAGAGCATCCCAGGCCAACCATCATGAAGGTAGATCTCGGACGAAATCACTGCACCGGTCTGCAGACGCAGACTGAAGCGTCGTTTCCGGACGTTTCCAGCCAACAGGGTAATTTCGCGACACGAGGCGGGCATATATATGGCCCGAATCACGATCAAAACAGCCGCCTAAGCGGAGCACGTTCCCGACCTGTCATCGGGCCTGGAGAAGCGGCGGCCCTACAACATGGCTGAATGGCAGGTGCAGAAGCTCGTGCTGCTGCTGCTGCCGCCGCGCCGCCCTCTGATATACCGAGAGTCTCAGCCCGAGTCGTTGTAGCCCTCCCAACTGTTGAAGATCCTTATGCGAACAAGCCCCCGTGGATACGTTGTGGCTTTACTGCGAAGCATGCGTTGGCTCGCAAGGAAGTACGAAAGAAGAACCTCGAGATCGCTGCCGGGAGGGAGCTCAGTACGCACACACCTGTACCAGAGGAGCGCGCATCTACAACATAGGGCTCGCCTGCATACGCAGTATCGTTGGAAGGGAAGAGTGCTGCCCCCCTTCCGCCCCCCTTTCCTCCCGTGATATGGGGCGAGACTGGCCAACATTCGATCCGCCTTGGGAGACCAACGGCCGCTTGACGAGAACCGCAGCCGTGGGGTACAAGCGTACTCACAACGGACGAGCTTTATCACAGGAAGACCTCTAAACTAACACACATCTTATTCGTGGTAAGTGAAAGCCACGCCGGGAACTACACGCAAGCGCAAGACCTAACGTATGAGATAATGACTGTCTGTGGAGGAGGTAAGGGACGACCTTAACGGCGCAGGAGAGGGGGGCAACCGCAGTCCTGCCCAACAGCCAGCTGGCTGTTGGATTGGGGCGTGCTGCCGGGTGCGAAGGGAATTCGTCCAGCGCCACTTCTCGTACTCGTACGTACGTAAGTATTGGGGGCCGAAAAAAAAAACGCCAAAGGCGCAGCAGAAGCAGCATGCAATCTGCGTCTTGCTGCTGCTGCTGCTGCTGGCTGTTGGTTCTCCATTTAGGGGGAGAGAGGAGAGAGGAGGGGGGGTCTGTTGGTCTTGGATGTCCTCAGTTCCAAAACCGACGAAACTTTATCTGATTGCCTGCCTGCTCGCCTGCCTGCCGGCTCTCTCTGTCTACGGGAGGAAGCTTCCTGCCGGCTCCTAGATTCGGATTTCGCACATGATGTCGTTGGACCTCAGTCAGACCCCATCACCTCCTGACTGGCTAGGCACATCCAAAGACAGCTCACCGATAAAACAGACACAAGCAGGCCAACGGCGCAGGCCTCTTTAAAGGGGGTGATGGTGGGTGATGGAACAGCATGGGAGTTGGTGCCAACAACTCAATGGCGGATGAAAGATACATCTCCCCTTGGCTTTGCTCTTCTCTGCCCACGACACTCGGTTTGGTGAGTCTGAAGAACAGAAGCCATTCATTTAGACCGCCGAGTCCCACATCTTCCGTATTCGGCATCGTTGTGGCGAAGAGACGAGGAAGCTTTCCCAGGCCCGTAGAGTCAGATCTCAACTACGTCTTCCATCTTTCTGCAGCAAGCCAGTTAGTCTGCTTCATGTCTTCATTCAAACAGCAAGGGGAGAGGGGAGGAGGGAGGAGGGGTGAGGCAGACGCAGACAGCCCCCTTTACGTCTCCTTTCCTGGCGTTCCTGAACCCGATCGAGACGACGCACATTGTTGATGTAATCTGGCCGACGCAGTCAGTCAGTTAGAGGAAGGAGACTGGGATCTTTCCCCTCGTTCGTGGTCTAATCTTGCGCCGCCGGCTAGAAACGACACGGAGTCGCTGGACCTGTCTAGTTCTGTCCAGACCTCCTCCGCTTCTGCTCTCATCCGCGCCAGGCGCGGGGGGGAAAAGGACTTTGGAGTTTCGCAGGTACTCGACCTTGTTGAGCCTGGACAAGTGTGTGACGTCCACGTTAAACTGTATTCGTAGAACGTAGTTAGGTTGCCGGCGTGCTCGTTCTGTCTGTCTTCGCCGTCTGTTGGGCCTAGATGAATAGAAGTAGGCCATAGTACGTAGTCACCATGCTCCCTCTGTCAGTCCTCGTCCGCGGTCTGTTGGACTCTGTTGGACATGGACACTTTGAGGAACACTCACACAAAAGCCGTCGGTGGCGAGTCAAAGTATCAAACTCCAAAGCAATCAAGTTATGCTAAATGATGAACTATGAACATGTTCCCGTTTCCCAACCGCTCTCCCTCTCTCTCCCTTCGTGTGAAGCGATGTAGATTTTCTTGGTGTCTTTTCCCCTATAGTCTATTTCCCCTTTTTTTCTTTTTGATCCTTCCACACTTGCGTAAATTCATCACTGTCTCTCCCACACACACACCAAAATAAACCCTCCCCTTTTTGGGAACAGAACCACCCCGGCCGGCAGAAAAGAAGCAGCAGCCAGCAGGCGCAGACAGCAAGGGGCGAAACGAAATCAGCCCACCCAGCGTCTGGCGCTCCTGAACATCCTGATCCACGGACCGAATTCGCCCCAGGCCTCGACCTGCTCGGGGGGCACGTAGCTGCCGACGTCGGCCATGATGGTACGCTCGGGATGGGGCATGAGGGCGAAGACCCTGCCGTCCCTGCTCCTGACGCCAGCCACGCCGCCAGGGCTGCCGTTCGGGTTGTACGGGTAGCTTTCCGGCCCCGCGACCTGGAGGCGGTTGTCGACGTACCTGAGGGGCGCCATGCCGTCGGCGGTGAGGTCGTCGAGGGCGTTGGGGGAGGAGAAGGAGGCGCGGCCCTCGCCGTGGGAGACGGCGATGGGAAGGGAGGAGCCGTTCATGCCGTGGAGGAAGACGGAGGGGGTGGCGGCCTTGGACTCGTCGATCTTGACCATGGTGAAGCGGCCCTCGAACTGCCTGCTGGCGTTCTCGACGAAGGTGGGCCAGCTCTCGGTGCCGGGGATGAGCTCCTTGAGGCGGGTAATCATCTGGCAGCCGTTGCAGACGCCGAGGGCGAAGGTGTCGGGGCGCTTGAAGAAGTTCTCAAACTCCTGGCGGGCGTGCTTGTGCTCGAGGATGGACTGCGCCCAACCCACGCCGGCGCCGAATACGTCACCGTACGAGAAACCGCCTCCCGCCGCGACTCCCACGAAGTCCGTGAGCGATCCGCCCGAGAGGATGTCGGACATGTGAACGTCGACGGGGTCGAAGCCGGCGGCCTTGAAGGCGAAGGCCATCTCCTTGTGGCTGTTGACGCCGACCTCGCGGAGGATGGCGACGCGGGGTGTCTTGCGGACGAGGCTACCGAGTGTGGCCGTCAGGGGCATGATGGTCTCGGAGGGCTTGTAGGTGAGGTTGTACGACAGACCCGGGTCCGTTGAGTCGGAGATGGTGGCGTACTCGCTGTCCGCGCAGGTCGGGTCGTCGCGCTCCTTCTGCATGGCGTACGACGTCCTCGACCACCACTGTTGCATCTGGGCGCGATCCAAGCTGACGATAGGGGCGACTCCTCCGTAACGAACCGTGAGCGACTGGTCGGACTTGCGCTTGACGACACCGAACTTGCGAATAAGGCCGGGGGGAGGACCGCAGGTGGCGAAGCAGCGCTTGAAGTTGGTCTCGTCCTCCTTGCGGACCTGGAACACGGCGCCGAGCTCCTCGTGGAAGAGGGACTCGAGAATGTCGGAGACAGAGCCAGACTTGGCGATGTTGTCGAGCATGACATCAACGCCGCAGCGACCGGCGAACATCATCTCGGCGATGGTGGTCATCAGACCACCGTCAGAGACGTCGTGGTAGGCGAGAACGACGCCGCTCTTGTGGAGTTGCTGGAGAGCGTCGAAGTAGTCCGTAATAAGATCCACGTTGCGCACGTCGGGAGCCTCGTTGCCGATTTGACCCAGTGATTGCGCCAGAGCGGAGCCGCCCATGGCCTTCTTACCCTCAGCCAGGTCGACGTACATGAGGATCGTCTCGCCGACGTCCTCGACACGACGGAGCTGGGGTGTCCATGTGTTTCGTACATCCTCCACGATGGTTACGGCTGTGATGATAACGGACATGGGAGCGATAACACTCTTGGCCTCGCCAGACTCACGGTCCTTCCAAGAAGCCTTCATAGAGGTAGAGTCCTTACCGACGGGGATAGAGATCTTCAGTTGAGGACAGAGCTCCATGCCGATGGCCTTGACGGCCTCGTAGAGACCGGCACCCTCACCTGGGTGGTTGACAGCGGCCATCCAGTTGGCGGACAGCTTCACGCGGTCAAGCGTACCGAGGATGTCGGCGGCTCCCAGGTTGAGCAAACTCTCTGCAACGGCCATGCGGGCTGAAGCGGCGGGAGAAATGAGGGCCAGCTGAGGCTTCTCGCCCATGGCCATGACCTCACCAGTACGGGTGTTGGAGCCCAGGCTGAAGGAGGTCGCGGTGACGGCGCAGTCGGCGACGGGCGTCTGCCAGGGGCCAACCATCTGGTCACGGATAGAAAGACCGCCGACTGTCCTGTCGCCAATGGTGATGAGGAAGGACTTGGAGCCAACAGCAGGCATGCGGAAGACACGCTCGGTGGCAGCGGTGATGAGGGCGGCATCGGTGGCATCGCCACTGATAGCTGCCTTGAGGGCGGAAGCGGCGTTGAACGTCGGCAGTTCGAGTCTGCGGGACTCGACGACACGCTCGAGACGGCGGCCAGGAGGGAAGAGGGCGTTGAAGGGCAGGTCGATAGGCATAGGGTGGTCGGGAGATTCGCGGTCGCTGAGGGTCAGCTTGGCGTTACCCTCGGCATCCTTGGCCACTACAGTTCCAACATCGGAAAAGGGGCAGCCCTCACGGCCTACAGAGAATTAGGCTACGATATGTGTATGTTAAGGGGCAAGACTTACGGCAGATGCTGACGAAGCGGTTGATGTTCTCCTTGTTGACAAGCAAAACGTAACGCTCCTGAGCCTCGTTACACCAGATCTGGAGGGGACTCAGGCTGTTGTCTGCGCTGTGTACTTGACGAAGCTCAAACTTGCCGCCGAATCCTGCGTCCTTGACCAGCTCAGGGAGGGCGTTTGACAGGCCACCGGCGCCGACGTCGTGAATCATGGCGATGGGGTTCTGCTCGCCGAGAGCGGCGCAGGTGTCAATGACCATCTGAGCTCTTCTCTCCATCTCGGGGTTGCCACGTTGGACACTGGCAAAATCCAGTTCGGCGCTGTCCTCGTTGGAGGCGCTGGACGAAGCGGCACCTCCACCAAGACCGATCAGCATGGCAGGACCACCGAGAACGATGGCGTGGGCACCGTCGTGAACGTCGCCGAGCTCCTTCAAGGCGTGCTGGGGGCGGACAGTTCCGACACCTCCGGCGATCATGATAGGCTTGTGGTAGCCACGCCACTCAGGAGAGTCCTCCTTGCCGACATTGGTGAGGAGAGTACGGAAGCAACCAAGCAAGCAAGGTCGTCCGAACTCGTTGTTGAAGCGAGCACTGCCGATAGGAGCCTCGAGCATGATGTCAAGACTGCTGGCGAAGTGGGCAGGCTTGCCCAAGTCGACCTCCCAAGGGGCGCTCTCGTCGGGAATCAAAAGATCAGAGACCCAGAAACCGCAGAGACCAGCCTTGGGGGCAGAGCCACGACCAACAGCACCCTCGTCACGGATCTCACCTCCAGCGCCTGTGGCAGCACCGGGGAAAGGGGAGATGGCGGTAGGGTGGTTGTGAGTCTCGACCTTGACCAAGACGTGCACCACCTCCTTGGTGAGCTTCCAGCTACCAGTAGAGTAGTCAGGGGCCCAGAAGCTGGCGGTCTCGCCCTCAAGGACGGCGGCATTGTCGCTGTAGGCGGAGACGGTATACTTGGGGTTGGACTTGTGGGTGTTCCTGATCATGCCAAAGAGAGACTCTCCCATCTGGACCTGGTCAATGGTCCAGTTGGCGTTGAACTGCTTGTGGCGGCAGTGCTCCGAGTTGACCTGGGCGAACATGAAAAGCTCCACATCGTGGGGGTTCCGGCCCAGACGCTTGAAGACCTCGACGAGATACTCAATCTCAGACTCGTCCATTGCGAGGCCAAACTGCTTGTTGTAAGCCTTGAGGGTATCGACGGGGTTAGCATCACCGCCAAAGATGTCGACGATTTCCAGAGGGTATCTCTGGCCCTCAATGAACATGGCAGCAAGGTCGGGACGGGACAGGCCAATGGTCTCTGTCATGCGGTCGTAGACAACGTCCTTGAAAGCGATGTCATCTTCAGAGACGGGCTGCTCAAAGGTGATGGTGATGGCCCTGCCGCGCTCGATGCGGTCAATGTGGTCCGCCAGGCCACAGACGTGAGTGATGGAAGTGCCCTTGGACGACCACGGCGAGATGTTCCGCGGGGTAATGTAGTAAGTCTTTGAAGTATCAGTGTTGGCTGCAATCTGGGCATTGGTCTGGTCGGGAAGACCAAGCCATTTCGTCAACTTCTGCTGGACAATGAGGTTGTTGTCGCTGTTCTTCAGGTGGACGTAGTACATCCAAATGCCCTCGACGTGGGCGACCTTGTTGGAGACATTGGCGTGCTTGTTGATGCGCGTCTTGAGTTCTTCGGCCTGCTTCGGGGTGTAGGCCTCAGCACCGACGAGAGTGAGGAACTCCATTGTTGCCCTTGTCGGAGTTGGACACGGAGAGCGTCCAGCGATCAAAGAGGAAGTCTCGCCCGGAGGAGGGATGGTTGGCGACAAAGCTAAGTTTTGAAGCATCCTGAGTGACTCTCTGCCTCTGGACGGCGGCATGGCGGGGTCTCTAAATTTTGGCGGGGCGATAGACGATAAGGCACCTTAGTGTGAAAAATTGACGCCTCCAGAACTTTTCCCATGGCGGGGCAGTTCTCATTTTTGTGGCTGGAGGTGGGGTTGTTTGTCGATTCACCCAACTGTCATTCTCTCCAGGTTTGCTGACTTTGGTCCCACGAAAGGGTGTCAGGGCGAAGGGGGTCGCATGAATTGTGGCTGGTGGAGTTGGGATGGGCCGTTGTCGGCCTTGATGGTCCATGAGTTGTGGCTGGTGAGAACTCAGGGTGGAGGCGGGGGGTGATGGATTGGACGCGAGTCGTTCCAGAAAAACACCTCGAGCTTCCATGACATGAACGAATGAAAAAAAAAATTAAAAGCATAATGAACACCGCTGCGGCCTCAGGTGACCGACCGACTGCATCATTTGGCAATTGCCGGGCCTGCCATCGCAAAATTTCCATCCGATGGAGCCGGACCGAGCGTGCCTCAGTAATACACAAATTTTCAGCGTACCACAGCGTGGCCATCAGCCTAACTGGTCCGGCCTGTGACGGTTTTAGCACTCTGTTACGCTGGCATGGACGGGAACAGTGGAGCCCAGAGCGGCCTGTCGTAGCGCATTTTTGCCCAAAGTTTCGGGTCTCCGGGATCCTCCCACGCCTCCGTCGCCGTCGCGAGTTGCTGCTTTGCTGCTCCTGCTCCTGCTCCCGCTCCTATTTTATCACAAAACCCTGTCATCATCCACATTATCCCAACTGCACGCTGATCATTCCCTGCATTCCGCCCTGGAACAGCCGAACAGGCGACGTCAACTGGCACCTGGAAACAAGCAATTCTGGGTGGGAAGTTCGACCTGCGCCTGTCTGGGCCCTGATTTGATTGGCTCCCCTAAACTTGCCGTCGCCGTTCCCCAATTCAAACATCGGGCTCGACGATTCTGCGACTGCGACCGACTGCAGTGTGCCCGCCCTCCCGCCGCGCTCCGCTCCACTGCTTCTTTTCCCGACGCGTTCGCCGTTTCTCGATCATCTTGACTCTCTTCTTATCTCCTCGCCATCCTCTAGAACTGTCCGGTGCTATCGTCAATCTTTTATACCGTCATCTCGTGCCGCAAACCGCCAAGATGATGCACTGGTTGACGTCCTTCGTGACGTCCTTTACGGGCTACTTGGCCCCCATCTTCCTCATCATGTCGCCCGTCCTCTCCTACAGCGACCAGGCCTTGTCGATGCACCGAAATAAATCGAGCGCCGGATTCTCACTGGACATCCCGTTGATCATGCTGGTCGCCTCTCTGTTAAAGTGCGTTGCTCGCCGTCCGTCCCTTGTGGAACGAAGCTGACAGCCTCCCGCTCTACAGGATCTTCTACTGGCCCGGCTCGCGATTCGATACGGCCCTGCTCATCCAGGCCATCCTGATGATTGTGATGCAGGTCATCCTGCTCAAGGTTGCTCTGGATCACCGCCTGCCACCTTCCTCCAAGGGCGGAGAGGCTGCGACGCCATTCGCAAACGTCAACGACGGCCCAGTCTTTGGCGCCCAGAGACCCTACCACTTCTGGCAGTGGAGGTCGCCCAAGCCGTGAGTCGAGCGTCCCATGATTGCTGGTTGAAGTTGCTGACAGGCGCCACAGATACTGGCAATTCCTGCTGTACTTCTTCATTGCCCTGACCGTATGCGAACTGGTTTTGGCGCCGGTGCGCCCCGTCTACCAAACCTACTCCATGTTGATCGGCTACATTGGTCTCTCGGTCGAGGCCACGCTGCCCCTCCCTCAAATCTTCGCCAACGCGCGGTCGCAATCTTGCAAGGGCTTCCGCTTGTCTGTCCTCGCAAGCTGGCTGATTGGTGATGCTATGAAGATGTTCTGGTTCTTCACCTCCACGACGGAGATTCCCTGGGCCTTCAAGCTGTGCGGCATGTTCCAGGCCTGCTGCGACTCGTTCCTCGGTGTGCAATATCTCATGTACGGCGACGGTCAGAAGGGCGAGATCAAGGAGCACCCGATGGCCAACTACCCTCAATACCCGAACGGTGTTTACAAGCCACCTCTGCCCGAGCACGTTAGCGGCCGCGTCACCCCCACGGGCCGGAGAACGTCTTCGCCATACGGTAAGGAGCTTCAATAAATAATTGCACGTATTTGTACAAATGCTTTTCCTTCCGTCAACATACACGGCCTGCATACGATAAGGTGTAGATTTTGTGAGATATCAAAGATAAGGTAGCTTAGACAAGGATTAGACAGGGAGTTTCAGGGGCCAAGAGCCCCAGGCCAATGGTAATGCCGTGTGGGAATGCAGGGGTTTGATGAGAGAGGTGAGCTTGATCTTCTCCAGAGACTGGTGCAAGTCGTTAACTCGCGTTAGCGACTACCTACTTGGCCATACTGGAGAAGAGACGGCGACGCCACTCAGCGCGTCACAAACATCTTTCTTCTTGCTGTTGGTTTGTCTGGATACCCAAGTTTCATAAAATATTTTTATAATTTGATTAGAGTTGGTTTCTGTTCATTTGCGCTCTTTCAGCCACTGTCACTCAGGTGTTTCACTATCTCAGGCTCACCAAAGTCCGCCATTGCTGATGAGTTCCAAAGTCTCCCAGCCTCCCGCTTTTCAAGTTGGCCACCCAACTGACGTACCACTTCATCGTCGACAACCTCCTCTACCAGTCCCTACCAGTCCCTGAGGCTCGTTGTTGTCGTTCAACTCCTCAAAAGTTCGTTCATTACGCGAGATTCTTGTCTCCGTGATAACTCGCTTCTCATTGACCTGCCAACGCCCCACAATCTGTTCATTTGTCGATATACCCTGTCTCTCGCTTTCTTTCTCTACCTTACCGAGTACTCAACCGCCGACGAAGTTTCCCGAATTGTCGAACCCTCTGTGCAGTTGAAACAGTCTTTCCAACGGCAACTATCCAGAGTCTGTCAATCAACTACGACTAAGGCGGCAAGCTCGTAGCTTCGAGGTTCCACCATACAACTCAACTCAACTCGATCAGCCCTCATCCCCGTACCAAATTGCTTGGGTCTTCCTTGTCTGGCACGAGTGTAATTCCCGTGCCAGTGACTTGTAGGAGATACTAGCTGCGATAGCCTCAATTCTTGGACGTTTTGCAGCCACTTGCAACAGGCTTGTCTACCTAGGGTGTACTCGACGTTGGACCGAGGCGGCACTAAGGTACGCAAGCGCATTTTCTTGAACCATCTTCCTCGCCTTTCCCTGCTGTTAGCTCGATTCCATCTCTTTACGATCATTTTGAGTCTTCATTACAACCACGCGGCTCATTGAGCAAACAACTTCCTCACTTCTTGGCCCCGGGTTGCACATTGAAGCTAGCTCCATGAGATGTCCAATGGCAACATGACCTGTCAGGAGCTACAAACATTCTCGGTATAAGAATGCACGCCAAGTTGGAAGACATGAGAGATTGAGTTGGATGACTGTTAGTCTCACGCTCTCGGTGGGAGCGCGATCTACACAGCAAGTTCATCGGGAGAGCGACTCTCAGTGAACTTCAATTGTGTACCGGCTTGATACGGATGTTGGAAGGCGCTTGCTCTCTCGAAGCAGCTGCTTCCTTACATTGCGTGTACAAGCCAGCTCTCTGCTCTTATAAGCCCGTCCATAACTGCATCTATCGTCGTCATTGGGTATCGCAACTGACCACTTTTCATTCAGTCCAGCTCATACCTTCATCATTTATAATCATCAGCTTCTTAACAGTCTTTCTATTCGAAAACACTTTCATTATTCTAAAATTTGGTAAGTCCCTCCTTGAATAGTGGCAGTTGCTGTTGTATGGAAACCGCATTTTGCGACCCAGTTCCTTCCTCGTCTTCGTTACTGCCAATCCTGCTAGGCACCCTCCTCCTCTTTCCGCATCTGCTCTCATCTAGATCGTCTATCTCAACCCAATCCTTCTACCACACCTTCAGGCACAAAAGCTTACCATCACACAGCACACTCACTCTTCAGCAACCTACCACAGCTTTCCCAAGTCAACCTTAAGGCACCAGTCCTTTGTCTTAAGCATCTTCATTCTCAACCTGAGATTTATCTCCTATCACAATCTAACCAGTGAGTATACAGAATTTTCTCCCCTGCCAATTTTGCCTTGGGTGCCCTTCTCCTTCCTCACGCTTTTCTTCTCTACCTGGGGACCTCCTCCCTTTTCTTATCTCCCATCTCTACCTTCCCTCCTTCACATCACCTGCCAACACAGCCCATCCGCGCTCACACATAGCACTCTAGCTAGTAAGGTGCAACGTCAGCATCCTGCTGCATCTTAACTTCCAATACAGTTCGATACTGACATTCCTACTCAGTCACTCTTCACCATGGCTCCCGTCGCTGCCAAGACGAGCTTCAAGAGCTACGAGGCTCAGGCGCGTCTCCTTCGCGCCATCGTGGCTGCCCACCCCGAGATCAAGTGGAATTACAAGGGTAAGAACGCCCTTCTCCTTATTATTTTGCCTTGTCATATGCCGTCCATTTGGACACGCGATATTCATGCGAATTTGTTCCCGCAGACATCCGAACTCTGTACGGATCGGACATGACCAAGGATATGCTTGATCACCGCTTCAAGGCTATTCGCGCGCATGTCGATGTCGTCAGAGACGCAGTCGCTCAGGGAGTGGACTGCGCCAACATCCCCGCGGATCTGCCCAAGGGCAGGAAGGGTAAGCCTTTCTGCTCTCGTTTAATTGTTCTTTTATCTCATGCTTGATGAGAAATTTGACTAACATATGCTCCAGAGATCGCCAAGTTCTTCGGCGAGTCCACCGCCGACGGTATCCAGTTCCAGTTCCGTGGAATCAAGAAGGACGCCGAGGCCCTGAAGCAGACGGCCAACAGCGGCGGCAACCCGGCCACCGCCCTGAATCTGTCTGGTACCGGTCCCTCCAGCGCCGTGTCCACCCCTCGCAAGCCTACCCCCTCGAAGCCTCGTGCCTCGGGCGGCGGCCGCTCCACCGCCAAGAAGACCAAGCCGATCAAGCTCCAGCCGCTCAGTGACGATGACGAGGAGGATGAGAACGTCGACTATAACGCACTCGAGGATACTCCTTCCAAGTCGCGCAACGACCGCGTCATGAGCGGCCGTATCACCAAGGCCTCCACGCCCAGCCGCCGCAGTAACACCCCGAGCCGTGCCGCTACTATCGCCGCGGCTGCCAACATCTCCCAAGCTGCCGCCGTGGACCTGACCACCTCCGACAGCGAGATTAACACTCCTGAGAACACCACCGCTTTCGAGCCCATCGAGATGAAGCCCGCCGTCGTTCAGCAGTCCTTCGAGCAGTTCATCGCTCAGCCTGTGGCCCAGCCGGCCTTTGACGCCTACGTGGCGCCCTCCAGCCTGTCGCAGCAGTCGAGCAACGACTTCCTGTTCAACAACAGTCTCGAGGACCCCCTGGCCAGCTTCGCCGACACCTGCAGCGGAAGCTTCGACAAGGGCTTCACCGCCGGATACATGGACAACGACGGCATTGGAGAGATCTGATGGACGTGCTGATTTTCCTTTGGGTTTTCTTTTTGCTTTTACGGATGGATTCCCCTCTCTACGGATTCGGATTTCTAAAACGGTTTGGCGTTGGGATTGCCACTTGGATGGTACCACACTGGGATTCATGTAGAGAACACGGAGGATATGACAGTGGCTCTATTAGATAGTCGACCCATCACCAGGCCTGTGAACCTGGAGGGTCAGCAATGAGATAGCATGGCAAAAGGCCATCATACTTTGCAAACATTCGGTTCCTCGATGTTTCTGGTTGACGCTGCGTGAGAAGACGACAACAGCAATGGCAACGATGATGACACTGACGAAAAGGGGCACCCGGCGTTTAGTTCCCAGATAAATGACGGGTATCTCCTTTTAATTCACTGCTACCTGATACTAACCGCGCCCGTCCATTATCATATGTTAAATCCGCTGTTCTTTTCTACACTAGTGCTCCTTTTCGCCGCTCAACAACTTCCACAGCGCGTCTCTGTCGACGAAATCGTGGTGGATGATGTTGACCAGCCAGTACTCGGACCGCACCTTCTCCAGGAGCGCCTCGCTCTCGCTGCCCTTGCCGTAGACCTTTGCCCACTCGCCCCAGATCTTGAACGCCTCCTCGGACCAGGCGCGGAAGCTGACCTCCTCGATGATGGTGGGCGTGATGATCTCCTTGCCGGGGAAGACGCCCCAGGTGACGGCGTTGGTGCTGCTGGACTCGGTGCCCTCGAGGACGGCGCCGCCGCTCGCGTCCGAGGAGACGAAGTCGCCCGCGGCGTTGGCGGCGTAGAAGGTGATGGTCTTGTCCTTGACCTCGTTCAGCCGCGCCACGAGGCCCGCCCAGTCGACCGAGGGGAGGAAGAACTCGACAAAGGACTTTTGAAAGACGAAGCCGTGCTGCGGACCCCAGCCGAAGGTCGGGTCGCGCGAGGGGATGCCGTTGACGGCGGGCTGCGAGGCGACGGTCCACCAGCCGCGCTGGTTGAGCTCAAGCAGCTCCTGCTGGATGATGTTGGACTCGGGGAGGAGCTCCTCCTCGCTCCAGGGGATCGCGCTGAGCTGGCCCTTGATGTGCTTGATGAAGAGGTTGTTGATGTCCTGCACGGTCTTGGGCGTGCCCCAGAGGCCGACGGCCTGGGTCACCGACATGTGCAGGCTGACGCCGTAGCCGTCAATCTCGCCGTAGGCCGGGGAGCGGGCGTCACCCCAGCGACCGTTAGGGAAGTCGTCCCAGGTGGCCTCGCGGCCGAGAACGCCCTCGCCTTCGGAGATGGCGAGCGTGTTGGCGCGGGTGTTGACGGAGCCAGCGGAGAGGCTGGCGGCGGTGGTCTCGTAGGCGGGATTTGAGGCCGAGGAGACGATGACGCGGTTGTGAGGGTCGGAGCCGATGGAGGACTGGCGACGGTTGGAGAGGGCGCGGGGGACGCTGGGTGGAATGTGGGAGAGGCCGTTGAGCTGGACTGTGGGCACGCCGGCCGCGTCGTCGATGATGGCGGACTCATCGTCCTCTTCCTCGCGGTCAGGGATCAGGCCGGTCTTCTCGAGGATGAATGAGACGGCCTTTTCGAGGTTGAGGGTGTAGAAGTGGAAACCCTTGGGGCCCGGGGTCCTGCTCTTGACCTCCTTGACCTGCTCGACGAGCTCGCTGAGGATGTCGACACCGACGCGCTTGACCTTCTCGTCGTCGCCCTTGGCTGCGTCCAGGCGAGCCATGACGTTGTCTGGGATCTTTGCGTGGCTGAGCTTGGTGGTGCGCTTGATCATCTGGTAGCTCTGGATGGGCATTAGGCCCGGAAGGAGGGGGATGGTTTTGAAGGCGCCGCTGGGGTGTTCCCTCAGAACCCTCTCGAAGTTGTCGTACGCCTTGATGTCGAAGAAGAGCTGGGTCATGATGAAGTCGGCGCCAGCCTGGACCTTGTCGACGAGGTAGGGCAGGTCGTGCTCGAAGCTCTGGCCCAGGGGGTGGCTCTCGTCGGCATGGCCCTCGGGGTAGGCGGCGACGCCGATGCAGAAGTAGTCGCCGTACTTTTTGCGGATGTACTTGACAAGGTCGATAGCCCAGACAAAGTCGTCCACGTCGTCGACGTCTGAGTCCTCAGCGTCACGGTACTCATTCTTGCGCGGAGGGTCGCCTCTCAGGGCGAGAATGTTGCGGATGCCGAGGGCTTTTGCGTCTTCCAAAGCCTTATCGATGAGTTTGCGGCTCATGTTTGTGCATGTCAGGTGAAGACAGGTCGTCAGGCCCAACTCGCGCTGGCAGATTTCGGCCAGCTCCAAGGACTTTGTCGAGGTTGAACCTCCGGCTCCCCAGGTTACGTTGACGAAGAGCGGCCTCAAGGCTCTTTCCATTCTGTCCAGACGGTCGCGGAGATTGGAGAAACCCATTGACGTCTTGGGCGGGAAGAACTCCAGAGAGAAGTAGTTGGCGTCTGCCGGCAGGGCGGCGATCTTGTCCGTTATCTTATCCATTTTGAGTATGATAGCTGAGGTTTTCGATATACAAGAGATGTTGAGTTGGTCGTTGGATGCTCAAGCGATAGATCTTGTCCTTTTTGCAACGGGGACGCCGGTGAAGACCCTGTTGAGGGAGTTGCCAGCTTTTTCGTCGTTGATATCAGACCGCGATGGAGGGGTAAGGCGGGGTGGACGATGAGTGAGTTTGAACCGTCGACTGAGACTGGCAGGCGAGTGACGTTCGGTCGCGACGAGAAATTCAAAGACAAAAAATGCCAGGGGTACGGCAACCTCAACGGTCGAAGCTTTTGGTCTCAAAAGACAAAGAACTACCTGATTGGCCTAGTTGCGCTGTCGTCATTCCCTAGCACAGAAGGCGTATCCACGAAGATATTGAAAGACCTTTGATGATTTGGCGGGGCAGTAAGGTACTTAAGAGGATCGGATCGCATACTGTGACCGCAACTTCGAATGACACATCTTCAGGGGCGGTGAGCTCGGTACACAGTGCTCCAAGCCACAAAACCTCTAACGGTTTTTAGTTATTCCGCTTTGGTCTAGGCTGTTCCTGGCCGTTGTCTTGGAGAAAGCGACCCCTTTATTTACAAAAAAGATAATAGGGGTAAACCATGTATCTAGCAAGGTCAAATCTTGCCTGTTGATACGAAGGACGTCTTGTGTCGTTGAAGACAAGCAGACGATATGCTGCAAGCAAACTAAAGCAGAGCATCCTTTGCCATGGGTTGGTCCAACAGTGTGATACCCCAAGACGATATGTCCCAGGGGTGCGCGGAACAAATGACGTTCCCCTGCAGGTCCGCTGCTTCCCAGCGGGATGTTAGTGGCTAAGGTCCCTGCAGGGATTCGGGCGCCATTCCGAGAGCTCTCCGTTTTTGATGGAGCTTGCAGGTGCAAACGCCGTCGGCATTTCTTGCCTCAGTCCATCCTCGCCAGTACCGTGACAGCGGCGAGTGAACTACAACCTCGCCGTTACCAATACCGACAGTCTCAACTATCATGAATCAACCGAAGCGATGCAATTGATCCATGCACGACACATTGGCCGCGTCTGGCCTACGAGGGCCGTCGCGGCCTTGGCAGCACGAGCTTTGCCAATGTTACCATCACGACAACCTCAGTCCTTTGCGAACGCGAGTCTAGCCCGAGCCACCCAGAGACGAAATTACGTCGATCTTCCTGCTCTAGACAAGAAATGGCGGGAGAAGTGGGAAGCCTCCAAGGCTTCTTCCACCACCGCAGCGGACTCTGGCAAACCGAGCAAATATGTCCTTCCCATGTTCCCGTACCCGTCAGGCGTCTTGCACCTCGGCCATTTCCGAGTCTACACGATCGCCGACGTTCTCGCTCGATACCACAAGTTACAAGGCTCTGAAGTAATGCTGCCAATGGGCTGGGATGCCTTTGGATTGCCGGCTGAAAACGCTGCCATTGAACGTGGAATCGACCCCGCAGTCTGGACTAAGTCCAATATAGCCAAGATGAAGGAGCAGCTGGAGGTCATGAACGGCACATGGAACTGGGAAAGGGTATGATTCTTTGGTCCGACGTCAGTTCTCTGGCTAATGCTGTGTGTCTTAGGAGCTCGCCACTTGCGACCCCGAATTCTACAAGCATACCCAGAAGCTCTTCTTGATGATGCTCGAACGAGGTCTGGCGTACCAAGACGAAGCCGAGGTCAACTACGATCCCGTTGACATGACTGTTCTAGCGAACGAACAAGTTGACTCGAACGGATGCTCTTGGAGGTCAGGCGCCAAGGTTGAGAAGCGCAAACTCAAGCAGTGGTTCTTCCGCATCTCCGAGTTCAGAGAGTCGCTGTTGAACGACTTGGATACTCTGGCCAAGAACGAAGCGTGGCCCGAGAGAGTCCTAGCTCAGCAAAAGAATTGGCTTGGAAAGTCCACGGGCGCCATCATCAAGTTCCCAGTCTTGGCCATGGGACATGACATTCACGCCGGCATTGAGATCTTTACGACTCGACCAGACACTCTGTTCGGTGTTCAGTACGTTGCGCTGGCTTCAACGCACCCTATTGTGACATCCTTGGCCAAGAGCGATCCGGAGCTGCAGGCTTTCTTGGATACTCTTCCGGGATTGCCTCGCGACTCCAAGGTTGGCTACTTGCTTCCGCATGTGAGGGCTATCAACCCCTTGGCTTACCATGAGAACACACCGGATGCTACGAAGGCGTCGATCCCTGTGTACGTTGCGCCGTACGTCCTCGGAGACTATGGCGAAGGTGCCGTCATGGGAGTTCCTGGCCATGATCTCCGCGACAATGCCTTCTGGAAAGAGCATCACTATGACGAGCCTGTGAGATTTGTCTTGGCAGCGTCCGAGGACGAGTCCACATCTGCAATGGCGAATGAGCCATTTGTTGAGCATGGAGTCATGTCAGCTAACAGCGGCCCGTTCAAGGGCAAGTCTTCCGAGGAGGCAGGCCGCATGTTGGTTGGAATACTTGAGGCAGCAGAGCTGGCCAAGCCAGTCGAGAAATGGAGGCTGAGAGATTGGCTGATCAGCCGCCAGCGATACTGGGGAGCACCCATTCCTGTCGTCCATTGCGGCTCTTGTGGTCCAGTACCTGTCCCGGATGATCAGCTCCCCGTCAAATTGCCTGTCGTGGACGAGCACTGGACGAAGGGAAAGCCCGGAAACCCCTTGGAGAGAGCCGAAGATTGGGTCAACACCAGCTGTCCCAAGTGTGGTGGTCATGCCAAGCGGGATACCGATACCATGGATACCTTTGTGGACTCGAGCTGGTACTTTGCGCGTTTCGCCGACCCTCATAATGTAAATGAGCCCTTGTCGGCTGAAGCGGCAAAGAACTTGCCCGTCGACTTGTACATTGGCGGCATAGAGCACGCTATCTTGCATTTACTCTACGCCAGGTTCTTCTACAAGTTCATGGCAACAACGCCGCTGTTCCCAGCCTCGGCAGAAGGCGCGATTCATGAGCCTTTCAGCCGATTGATTACCCAAGGTATGGTACATGGCAAGACTTTCACCGATCCGAAGACTGGGAAGTTCCTCAAGCCGGATGAGGTGGATTTGACGGACCCCTCGAACCCCAAGGTTGTCGCTACTGGAGACACAGCAACTGTATCCTTCGAGAAGATGTCCAAATCCAAGTACAACGGCGTTGATCCATCCGAATTCGTGGCCAAGCATGGTGCCGATCCTGCACGAGCTCACATGCTCTTCCAAGCCCCTGTCAGCGAGGTCCTTAACTGGGATGACAACAAGATCAGTGGCATTACCCGATGGCTCCAAAGATTGCATGACCATGCAGAGAAGATTCAGAAGTCGGGTACTGAGGCAACATCCGTCAAGGCGTATTTGGAGGAACGTTCAAATACCTTGTCCCAGAAGGCTGAGGATCTGGCCATTTGGGATGCTGACGCCGCCATCTGGAGGGCCGTCCAAGGAGCAATTGACTCCACCACCCAGTCTTACGAGGCAGTGTATCCTATGAACACTATCATTTCGGACCTGATGAGCCTGACCAACACTTTGTTGGAGAATACCGGTGCAAGCGCATTCATTCAGAGGGAGGCCGTCTCGGTCCTCCTTCGATTGATGGCTCCTATCACTCCGGCCTTTGCTGAAGAATGCTGGAGTATCCTCTACCCGAACGGCGGCTCCATCTTCGCATCCTCCTTCCCGGTGAAGGATAACACCGAGTCAATGTTGACACCCCGGAGGCAGCCTGTGGCGATCCAAATTAACGGTAAGCTGCGCGGTGTCGCCGAGGTTCCTACTCCTCCCTCTGGTCTGAATGGCGATGCGCTAAGGGACTGGATGGTCGAGGAGGTCATGAAGTCGGAGGAGGGCAAGACCAAGTTCTCAGGTGGCCAATATGACATTAGATCCCCCAAGAGAGTCATCGTCGCTCGTGGTGGTAAGACGATGAACTTCTTGGTCTAAATATGTAAGATTATGTGTGATACCCGGCGCTTGTATAACTTAGACCAAAAAAAGTAAAACGTCACTCTCAAATTTCTTTGATCTATTTGAGTTGCACATAGGCAAACAGTGCTGTCAATAGAGTTTTCAAAGAGGCATTCTAAGTGCACCTCGCGAGCAACCTCACAGGGACTAGCAACCAATATTGGCTTTGTTTCCCTACCCTTATTACGACTGTTCCTGCAGTATTAATGGGAATTGTATTGTAGCTTGCTTTTGGTGAAGAACTTTTGAAAAGGAAAGTTCTTTATCTCTATTCATAAGTCTCTTTTTGGCCTTCATCTAACCACATCTCTCCTCTACGCCTCTCATAATCATGCTCCTGTCTCGCAACGCTGTATCGCAATCGTCTAATATCTACGTCCTCTTCATGCATCGTGTGCCTCGTAACTCTATCCTCTGTTTCCTCTCATTCCAAAGCTCTTCATAAAATCTTGGACACAGACAGCTCGCCCTCCCCGCCCTCAACCTCCAAGTAGTCGCCCGTCTCGAGCTTCTTCTTCCACTTGCCGCTCTCGTATCGTCCCAAAATCATCGTCATCCGCAGCAACGACCCCTCGCTCGAAGCATGCTCCTCGGCGGCGATCGGCGTAAACGTCCAACGGCCGAACGCCCAGTTGAGGATGTACCGGCCCTGCGGGTGCGGCGGGGTCGGCGCGGCGCCGTCCTCGTCGGAGCCCCGCACCGTCGACGAGGCCGTCAGAACCGCCTTGATGCGGTATACCTCGTCCTTCGGCGCCGCGCGCAGCAGACCATGCAGCTTCTCCGCGTTGACCGCGGCCCCCTTGGGGCCCTTCAACTCCACCGACAGCACCTCGACCTCGGTCTGGTGGTCGTGCGCGTGATCCTTCCCGTCGTGGTCGTGGCTGTGCTCCTCGGTCTCCTCCGTCAGCCCCTGCGCGAGCCCACCGTCCACGCCGAAGATGACATCCGCGCCGACCCAGCCCTTGCGGCTCTTCACCCACGGTATCTCCATCTCCAGGTCGCCCACGCGGTCCAGCACCTCGTCGAAGCGGTCCTCGTCGCAAAGCTCCCACTTGTTGAACACGATCAGGTCGGTGTACCGGGCCTGTATGCGGGCCGTGTAGCTCGTGTCCTCGTAACCCTTCCAGTTCTCCGTGTCGATGACACTGATGACGCCGTCCAGGACATAGTTCCCCGTCTCGCGCGCCAGGCGGTTCACCTCGAGGGCCAGCGTCGCGGGGAAGGCCGAACCGGAGGTCTCGACGACGATGCGGTCGGGCCGGACCGTCGCCTGCAGCTCCTCGAGCGCCGTGCTGAGCTGGCCGACGAGGTTGCAGCAGATGCAGCCGTTCAGCAGCTCCTGCACGCCCGAGATGGCGCTGGAGGACGCGAGCTGCGAGTCGACGGCCAGGTCGCCGAACTCGTTCTTTAGCAGGGCGAGCTTGTAGTCCGGGTTCTTGGCCTTGAGCTGCGGGAGGAGGTTGAGGATCAACGTCGTCTTGCCGGAGCCGAGGAAACCGGTGATGATAGTGATTGGAATCGGCGCCATGGTTCGTCGCGATCGGGTGGTGGGGGAGCGAGGGGGAAGAAAAGGGACGAAAGATGCGCACGCTTTCTAATGCAACTGGAGCAGAAATTCCAGGCAACGTGGAAAAGAATTTTCGTGTGCCTACTACAAGTTGAGACGATCACATCAGATCACCAGAAAAAAATTGGTTGAGGAAAAATGCCGCCGGCAAGCGGTCGTTGGCGTTGAACGATGGAGGGGCAGAAACCCGATAAGGAGGAGTCCAAGCCGATAACAGCCGATAAGACGGCGCCTTCAGCGAAAAATATAAGGTTATCTTAGCGGGCTGGCCAAGGGGAGCGCAGTGCCGAGCTAGGCGGTTTGACGTCATTGGCCCCAGCTTGCGGAGTGCATCGCACCACCCGATTTCCTGCATCGAGCATCACACGGCGTTGTTCCAAGCACGACAGCTTGTAAGGATAGAAGCACCTAGCAATTGGTAGCACGGCAAGAAACTTCCGGCCGCTCAAGGCCCAGACGCCCCCATGTACAACCTATGGAACTCTTTGCCCAGACCTATGATCGCATAGTCTGGGGTCCGGACGCGCGTTTACGCCTGCGTCCAGGTCATTCATTGCATTCACCTCGTCCACGTTGCACCCACCTTTGGCTATCAGGTTCCTATTAGTAGAACCTTTTTCCCGCCCTACCAGCCCTGCCAGGCGTGTGTGTTCTTTTTTCCCCCGATGCCTGCTCCGCCACTTTGAAGAACGCTCAATTGAACCTCTACGATCTGCCCGAAACTGTCACTACCGCCCCGTCCGTCCGTCCTGCCGTCCGTTCTCCGCCCGAGTCGCAACACCAAAGCTTACCTCGCCCCGACCTCGACCCGCACATCTCGACCTCAGCCTCATTGACACGCCTACCTACCTACCCAATACACGCCGAGCGATTCACCGCCCCAGATAGCTTTACCAAAACGACCACAAGCCTTACCTTATCTTACGCTTACCCCGCCATGTCTGCCAACCCCAACTCCAGGTTCGCTCCTCCGCCGAAGACTCAGGTCCAAGGACGGGATTTGAGCTACAAGGAACAGCTCGACCAAGCCGCCCACGACGCCCGGGAACCCGATGAAGAGCCGAAGCAGAACCCCATCGTAGAAAAAGGTAGGTGGAACGAACCATCATTCTCAACACCATGCTCATCATCATCACCATACTGCATCATCACATACCTGCCTCATCACACAGCAATCACGACACGCCCATCCAGCATCCATATTCAACAACAGTCCCTCCCCCTTTGCTCCGTTTTCTTTTGTCACGTAACGGTATTGACTCGTCCTTCTCCTCCCATAAGTGACACAGTACATTCCAGCCGCCGCCAAGATCTTCGGCAACCCGCAAGAGGAAAAGGAGGAGAAGATTTCGCGTCCCGGCATCCCTGGCCCGCCGGAGCGGCCTTACGACGACGCCCAGGTCGAGGAATTCATCCGCCAGCAGCACCGCAGCAAGGGCAAGGACGGCGTGCTGGAATGAGCGGGATGCGTACACGCGCAATCACGAAAGCGCACGGGGCCATGGAAGGAATCTGACAACGAGGGGTTTTCGTCATTCAGGAATGATGGGTTTTGGCGTTGTTATTGTTGTTGTTGCTGTCCTTTTTGAGTATTGCTGTTATTCAGCTGCAGTCGCGAGCTAGCCTTGACGACATCGCCCCTCCCGCCAACGTCATCCCATCCGTCAACATGTCAGAAAGCTTGGCAGCAGGGGGCCAATGCGCGAAGGGCAATCATACGCAGATCACGAGAAACGAAGCATTCATCTTTTCACATCGAGTGACCAAAACGAAAAACACTCTCGGCATACGACATCACCAAAACGGTCAACGGCGAAAGGGGGGAGGATCAAAAACACCCTAGGAAACCTGTATTCGTACTCAATCTAAAATCGTTCAATTGATGGGAAAACATGCGACACCCGAGGGCCCTTTGTCCACCAATATGTCAACTCCGCTTTGGTCGGGCAGTGTATTGCTGCCACAAATGCCGCCAAAAATTAGTAAAAGGTACATCAACATTTCAACGACGTCTCTCGCGAACACAAAAATGTAAAGATAAAAAACTCGTGTTGGAAAAAAGCAGGGCGTTCTCTCTATCGGTGGCCGTGTGGGGATGGTTTGCTTGTCTGACCGTGTGTGTGTGCGTGACGCCCGTGATCGCCATCCCCCGTTTGTTGCTTTTCTTGGTGGTCGTCGTGATGGAATTAGATTAGTCGTGGAGAGATAGCTTAAGCAAAGACGGAGAGACCAGCGGCCAGTGCGACAGTGCAGATGAGGCCGAGGCTCTTCTTGAGCGACGGTGCTGCGGCAGTGACGACGGTTGCGGGACCGCTGCCGGAGGGCGGCGCGGGGCCGTTGGGAGCGCCGTTGGGAGCGCCGTTGGGAGCGCCGCCGGGGGTCTGTCCACCAGGAGTCTGTCCGCCGGGAGTTTGTCCACCGGGGGTCTGGCCGCCAGGAGTCTGTCCACCGGGGGTTTGGCCACCAGGAGTCTGTCCACCAGGAGTCTGTCCACCAGGGGTCTGGCCGCCAGGAGTTTGACCACCAGGAGTTTGACCACCAGGAGTTTGACCGCCGGGAGTCTGGCCACCAGGAGTCTGGCCACCGGGAGTCTGGCCACCGGGGGTCTGGCCGCCGGGAGTCTGGCCGCCGGGAGTGCCGGGAGTACCGGGGGTGCCGGGGGTGCCCGGAGTCCCAGGGGTTCCGTTTTGTCCGTTCTGGCCATTCTGTCCGTTCTGGCCGTTCTGTCCGTTCTGGCCGTTCTGTCCGTTTTGACCGTTGGAAGTACCGTAGCTGCCGTAGCTGCCGTAGACACCGTAGCCAGGGGCTGCGCCGGCGCTTGCAGTTTGGATTGGGCCACCGGGACCGTTGGGCTGGCCAGATTGACCTGGGCCCTGCTGGCCGGGGTTCTGACCAGGTTGCTGGCCGCCAGGAGTTTGACCACCGGGCTGCTGACCACCGGGCTGCTGACCGCCGGGTTGCTGGCCTCCGGGGTTCTGACCGCCGGGGTTCTGGGCACCGCCGCCGTAGGAGCCGTAGTTGGCGTAGGCGCCGTAAGGGGCGGCGGTGACGACGGGCATGGAGTCGGCAGTGACACCGTTGCCGTTGATGATGACGCCGCCGGTCATGGTCGGGGCCGGGCAGATGATGGGGATGGTCTTCTCGGCGCACGGCTCGCAGTAGACGGTGGTCGGGACGAAGCAGGGGGGGATGTCGTGGCCCTTGTACTCCCACGGGTAGCCCTGGCACACCTCGGTGATGGTGTAGGTAGCCGTCCACATGGAAGTGGGGTTGGCGGCGATGGCGGTCGTGGTGTAGACCGTGGTGTAGACATTGGTCACCGTTGCCGTTGCCTGGATGGGATCACAGGTGATGAAGGCGGAGGAGGTGAGTTGACCGACACTGAGTTCATGTTAGTACTGGTCATGTATCGCGTCGCCCAGAAGAAGAGGGTAGACATACCTCATTTTGGCGGTTGTTCCTGTACGAGCTCTGGGAGGCTATTGTGTGAAGTTGGAAAGGGGGTTGGGGCGGTGAAGCGAGGGGAGGAGCGGATTGAGCTGTACGAAACGAGTGACAGACAGGATATCCTGCGAGGGAACGAATGTGAGGGGACAAAGTCCAACGAGTGTACCGGGTGGGCGAGAGTTCTTCGGGGCGGAAGACTTTGGGGAGGAGAACTGGGGAGGAGAGAACTAATCCGGGAGAACCGCACCTACATCTTTGCCAGGCTTTGCTCGTCTTATAAGAACTGGAATAGAAGGGGAAGGGCAGGCCGGCCGAGGTGTCAATACGGGAGCCTGGCCCCTGGGTGACTGTCCTCATCGTGTGAAAGCAAGCAGAGGAAGGGAATGACGGGACATTGCGGTGCATTCCTCAGTCCGGGCCCGGACGGGACAATAGGAGATGATGGGCCTCGAAGGGTACGCGGGGATATTAGACGACAAGTGTCGAGGAGACATGATCGATGGTCGAGTGCTCTGAGAGTATTCGAGAGATGGTCCGGATCTGAGAGGTCGGGGTAGAGCAGGCCAGAAGTGAAGAGCTTTCTTCAAGACGTCGATGTTTGGTCAAACTTCGTTTGAACACACACATCACGACCTTGGCGGCGACAGGCCCAACAGGAAGACGAGGAAGGCAGGTGCCGGGTGAGACGGTGCCTTGGACCTGACACGAAGCAACATGCTCGGAACAACAGCTCTGGAATGCACTCAGGGGCCAAGACATGTGGCATCGTTGCACCTCAACGAGGAGGCGAAGAGAAAAATTGCTCTCGTATGACGGACTCGAGACACATGCAAATTCATTTGGCAATCTAGAATCGACTGGCTGATTGCCCGACAGCTAACCAGAGTTGAGCTCCATGGAAGCGCGGCATCGCTGACCGAAGGAGGCAGGCACTCGCTACGCTCCCTTTCAGCTGAGATGTTCGCATCTCCACAGCTGAGTGGACATTGGGAGCAGGACAACTGCGCAGGAATGCATCTGCATTTCGTTTGCCTTGCTTTGCCGGCAGCATGGAGGGATATTGGGAGACAAGCTCTAAGATCAAGGCGAGGCCGTCTTGGCTGGAGAGACCTGCGCGGGACATCAGGCTTCAGGCATTTTTCTCTCATCACCCGTCTCACGAAGGGGTGTCACACAAACGATATTTAAGACGGCGATGCGCCTACTTATCAGCAGCCAGCAGCTGACGCCCGGATGGGCGCTGTCCCATAAGTCCTCTCTCTCATCTCAAAATTCAAAGCATTAAAAAAATTCTTCAGCATGCTCGAAAGCATGTCCCCCATCAACAGCATTTCTCACCCACCGCCCGAGAGGGCCTGGGGAGAAACTTCCTATAATCAAGGGATTTAATCTGCAGAGCGGTTCCCTCCGAGAAGGGAAAGGCAACTCGAACACCGTGAAGGGTCTGGGTGCTGGTCGTGGCAGCTCTGGGTAACTTTTTGATCTGAAGAAAAGAAAAAGAAGAAGAAATCCGAAAGAATTTTCGCAGCGCGTCGCCGTTTTGAAGCTGCAGGAATTCGACGCTAGTCCCCGTTGAGACGAGACCCGCCCTGGGTTCTGCCGGTCGTTTTGCACGTGACTGAAGTCCCGCCCACGGGACTTACTTACGTAAGGCAATTTACATCCCATTCCACCTCGAACCTCAACACCGCTGCCGGTTCACCACGCCAACTGCACAATTGGAACTTGATGTTCATGAAGTAACATTAATTCGGCACAGTCTAATTTCTAAACATGCGGTAATTATCGCCGCGCCAAACGAATTTCGCCACTCATCGCCACGCAGAAAGCAGATTGCCAAATGCACCCGGGAATCTAACCAAAACGGACCCTGACAGGACAACCAACAGCGCCAAAACACCAAACATGCGTCATCTACCTCTACCCGCCAGACCGTTCTGACCGGATCTAAACCCCTCTCCTTACGCCGCTCACCAGTTCTTGGCCGTGAGCGTTCTCTTCCCCTGGACCAGTTGCTTGGCGTAGTCGGTGCCGATATAGCGGCCCTTGAACAGCCAGATCACGATACTGGGCAGCTTCCACGTGCCCATCTGTCCCGTCGCCCTGCTGCGGCCGATGGTGATGCCCGCGATGACCTTGGGATCCACGACGTAGTCCGCGGGCTTCGCCGCCCCCGTGAAGTGCGCCTGGATGCTCTTCACAACATGCTGCGTCTGCAAGTCCGCGATGCGCCCGTACTCGCCCTCGAGGTTGCCCACGTCACCAACAACAAACACATTATCGCGCCCCGGCACCCGCAGGCTGGCGTCCTGGTTGACGTAGCCCTTCGAATCCAGCATGCTCGACGGCAGGAACGATGTGTTGGGGATCGACCCGACGGTCGGGATGTACGCGTCCGCCGTCATGGTCGTCTTCTGGCCGTCCTTGCCCGTGAGCTCGAGCGTCTTCTTCCCGTCGGCCCCCGTCGTGACCGCGGTCACCTTGGTATTGGGCACCGGCTTGACCTTCAGTTTGGTCAGCTCGTTGAGTGCCGCCTTGCGGACGCTGTCGACCATCGGGGGGCTGAGGGGCAGCTCGTCGGCGTAGACGAAGTAGACGTCCTTGTCGCCCTTCTGCGCGTACTCGAAGCCGATCTCGCCGGCCGTCTCGGCGCCCGTGATGCCGCCTCCGGCCACGACGATGGTCTTGGCGTCCGTGAGCTGCTGGCGGACGTCGTGCAGGACCTTCTTGGTCTGCTCCGTCGTGCCGACCTCCTTCCACGGCATGTCCTCCTTGGCGCGGGTTCCGGTGGCGATGACGATGGCGTCGTATGCGATTGTGCGGTGAGAGCCGTCGTTGGTGGCGACCACGATGGTGTTCTTGTCGTCGTTGAGCGTCTCTGCCTTGCCGAGAACGAGCTCCCAGCTGTCCTTGGGATACTGTGCGAGCTCGGGCTCGATGGGGTGGAAGAGCACGTCGTCGCCAAATTGTCCCGGGACGACGCCACGGACCGAAGCCATGTTCCAGTAGCTGAGGCGTGTAAGTAAAATGCCTTTCGTGAATGCTCGCCATCCTGGACTTACTGCTCAGCATTGGGTGTTACAAGGATGACCTTGAGATCCTTGACCTGAGGAGCCGTGTGCTTCAGAGCATGGTGGAAAACAGGCAGACCAGACAGGCCGGCGCCAAGAACGACGAGGGTAGGCATCGCTGCGTCTAGTGTTTATGTGTTCTATACTCGTAGAAAGAAAATGTTGAGTGAGGTTGTAGGGAAAAAAGACTTGGAGAGCTCGATGGGAGCAAGTCGCTGTTTATGGTCCTTGCTTCGGGAGAGCTCGTTTAGGTTTCCAATCCGTTTCGAAACGCTGTTCGGAGTGTGGGTTTATGTTGTAGTGCGAGCTCGTTGCTTGTGCCGAACTTCCTATCCAGCAGAGAACACGGGAGACAAACAACCCGACTTTATAACAATTTCACACAAACGAAGAGAAAAAAAAGGCACAAGCAAGTTCGGGCCCGAACCTCTCGCGGGGGGATCACCAGGATCCGAGTCATAGGAGCCCTAACCATGCATGCTAGAACAGAATCCCATGGGATGGGATTGCAAATGCGCGGCTCTCCAATCGCGCCAGGATAAGTAGTTTCACTAAGCAAAAGAATGGGCGGCTTTGCGCAGTCGATCGACACTCTTGTCCCAATAAGTTAAACTAGCTTGGCGGCTGTTTAGAGGCGCAGATTGTGTTTGTCGTGCAGCTATTGTCTATTGCTGCAGGGGCAGACCCCCGGCATGATTGAAAAGAGATGCACAATGGCCAATTACAGAGCAACCGCTCGCATCATTAGTCACAATCCAAGCCACATTCAACTGCAATCAACCGAGGCGGGATCGAAAGAAAAGAGTCAAATGCAGTCAAAAGAAAAGCATCCGCCGAGTCTCGCTCGCGCGCGGCGCGGAGTTTGACTTGCGGGTGGCTCCTCCCCGGCGGTGAACGGGCCACTCACCGTTGAGGAAATTTCGCGGAGGGAAAGTCGTGACGGAGATGATTAGATAATATCTCGGGGAGGGAAGGGCGTGACGAAGACACGTGACCTGTTCGGGGACATTCAGATATTTCCCGCGCGGCGGACTTCAGGCGGCCCAGAGAATTGCCGGCGTCTCGGGCATTTCGGGCGTTTCGGGCCAGTGTGCTCTCGGGAACTCCACTCCGAGTACTCAATTGCTATCGCGCTATGCCCGCCACTGTTTTGGTGTCATTTCACTTGACTTCATAATACACAATATTTCTGCTTCCTCAATTCCATTCACGCAATGTGTCAATCACGTCATTGGCAGCTATCAGGAAATTTATCCAGATGCAGAAGGCACATATTATGAGCAAAAGACATTTTCAACAGTGACGAATCGGAGGGAACCAACTCTCGATTCCCGATGATGGTCCAATCACACCATCTCACGCAGATCGCGTCAAGCTCCTGTGCCGCATATGAACTGTCGCATTGGCATGCTGCTCTACCCTATATACTACATTCGCATCCCACACACGCAGCTCCCAAAGACGGCCAGCCAGAAGAAGAAAAAATGAAGAATTGACTTCTGGCCCTTTCTTTCACCTACAAAGCCAAACGAACTCCCCCCCCCCCTCCTGTTCCTCTTTTATACGCAAGTGCGGATCTTACAACCACAGGAACATCGTGCCAACGGCGCACAGGCCGGCCGTCAAGACGCCGAAACCGGGAACGACCACACGACCGGCAGCCTTCATGGGGTTGGTCGGCTGAGCGCCGCCGACGGGCGGGCTAGAGGCCATACCGGGCATCGGCATCGTCATGCCCGGGGGCATGCTCATGCCGGGCATGTTGGGCATACCGGGAGCCATGCCGGGGTTCGCGCCGGGGGTGGTCGGGGTGCCCGGGGGAGGCATGGCGGGGGGAGGTCTCATGCCACCGCCGCCGCCGGGCGCGGGCATGGGCGACATGCCGGGCATGGTACCAGAGCCGGTGCCGTTTCCGCGAGAGCCGCCCGCGCCGGGACCCATACCGGTGCCCGCGCCGACGGGGCCGGCGTTGGTGACGCGGAAGAAGTTGCCCGCGACGACCTTGTCCTGCAGACCGGCGGCCATGAGGGCGTTCATGGGGTTGAAGTCGCGGCGGCTCTGGGCGGCGCCGGAGAGGGCCATGAGGCCCTGCTGCGAGATCATGGTGTGGTCGACGGCGATGAAAGTGTAGCGGTGGCTCAGGGGCTCCCTCGCGGGCGGGTTGGGGCCGAAGTAGGGCGCGAGGGCGGCCGCGTTCATCTTGTTCTGCATGAGGAAGACGTTCTTGGTGCCGGCGGTCGTGTTGAGGATCGTCGGGGTGTCGGCGGACGTGAAGCCGGTCTGCATCCAGTGGAGGAGCGTGCCGGTCTTCGGGGGCTGGTTGGTCGGGACGTCAATGTCGACCATGATGACGGCGTACTGGCCGTTCAGCTTCTGCTCGGTCGCGATCGTGGGCACATTCTGGCTAGCTGATGTTTGTTGTCAGTTCCCGATCCATGCCTCTCAAGTCCCTCCGTCTCTCTCATGGCCCACTCACAGTCCCTGGGAAGGTTCACGCCGTCCAGCGCCGAAATGCCTTGGTAGGAAACGATTAGGGGAGTATTCGAGGCGGGCATGAATCCCTGGGGCGTAGCGGCCGACGTCAACGTCGCCGCCGCCAGGACGGCAATAGCCTTGGACAACATTATTAAGAAATATCTTTGTTTTGAAGGAGCGGATAGTATATTCGCTGCCGGTAAGTACGGTTCAAGGAAAGTAATGAAAAGAAACGAACAAGACTACCGGGCTCAACCGCAACGTCGTTTAACAGAAAAGGACAAAGAGTTTCGAGCACGCCAGCAGCCCGAGTAGTGAAGCGCTGGCATAGTCGTTATTTAGGGCGGGCAATGCCTTCGAAAAGGTCGCCTCCCACACTCACAAACCTTGGGAGAGGCCATCCCGCGGCGCGGAAACATTCAAAAAGCCAAGATGAAACGCTGTCTCAGCAATCTTGTTACAAGACGCAAGCCAGCTGGTGCATGAAGCATTGACCGCGATCACACTAGGCTCGGGAGATGTACGTCGATTAGCGGGGAAGTCTGTCCCTGGAATATGCAGGGTTATCCTTAATTGAACGTAAGGGCACAAGCTGCGAGTGTTTGCTGTGCTGTCGCAGGGCTGCACCATCGACGGCCCTTTTTGTTTATTGCTCGCCTAGTTGCGTGTCGAGTTTGAGGCTGTCTTCGCCTTCGCCATCCACTTTCTGGAGTTGATGATTTCGTCATCTCCACGGACTTATCAAAAGCCTCCTCGATAAGTCACAGGCAGTTCATTTGAGTGGTTTTCTGTTCAGTCTGAGAAGCGATGTCAGTCAGAGCTTGCAGAATCTTCAGTCGACCTCGACTGTTGTCCCAAGACGGGATGTTTGTGCGACGCCGGCACGGTTCCAGACTCAATCCGGGGTCTGTGGGTTGGCGATTGTGCACCATTATCTACAGCGACTTGTGTGGTTATGTCAGAAACCAATCACGTTACTTCAAACAAAAATGATCTTCCCCGGGTTCGTTGAAGACAGTCCAACGATATGACATAAGACACCAGATCGTGGTCAGCAAGCGGTCGAAAACAACGCTCCGCTTGTTCCCCAGAGTTTGGCAATAATTCGAAGCATAAGTCGGGTGCTGCCGGTCGCGTAACCAGGAAACCGCGGTGTCTTCGTGGTCAGCTCAACCCTGCCACGGCGGATACCAAGTTTGCAGAGAGCATGAAACATCGGCCTCTTGTTTCCGATACTCGGCAGCCGGAGCTTGTTGGCTTCTCACCAATACACCACCCGAGTGGCTCGAATCCACCATGAACGCCATCTGAAGTTCGCCACGAGGCGACGCGCTTCTACGAGAGCGAATAGAGGTTTGAATCCTCGAGGATGAGCGTAATGCCCGTTGGTTCGCTTCGGGTTGATGCGAAGCCACTGCAGTTCACTAGGAGGATCCGACTGCTGTGTATGGAAGACGAAATAACCGTCCAGTAATGTTTTGGTATACCAGACGAAAACGAGGGCACAACAATTTGTAGGATTTCTGACTGAGGAAAGGGCCTCGTCCAGATTACATGATTCGCGGGACTGAGTCGCCAAGTCAAGGTTTGCTGAACATAAGCGAGGAGGCTCTAGCGGTAGGACAAAATATTCGAGTCGGTCTGCTGGGACTCGCAGCAACAACGACGGGCAGCAGATTGGGGTATTTCGAAGTTTGTGACAGACATCTTGAATTTTCGTCCAGATTGAGTCTGCTGCTCAACCGAACTTGTTGGCATGAAGATCGTCCTTTGTGGTATCACGAACCCTCTCGTTTGTTGGTGCCACCGGTCTACCGCTATCGAGCTGGTTGCATCCAAGAAGATCGGCAGCGCCAACAGCCAGATGGAGCTTCGCAACCCGAAGACTGCGACATCCATACTCTGACCTTTGTGGTCGACACCCGGTTGGAGGATAAAGATGCCGGCGGAAGACGGAAGCCCTGAGTTGTTCCTGGTCGGAGCCGGAGACAGGGGCAAGGGAACACCATCGCACGCCGGGAATCCCTTTGACTCTGCTTGTCCAGAGCGTTCTCCAACGTATATCGACCCCGCCTCGGAGCAATTGCTCTGGTGGGGTTCGACGGAGGATCGGCAGAGATCGACCTTGGTCGTGGTTGTGCCGTCGACCGTGAGGCAAGGGTCTTGTTGTAAGATCAGACGATGACTGCAGTAGAGATCGTCAGTACTCCTCTTCTGCCCGCCGCGAAGAGCGGGCTTTGTTCTCACTCTCGACATGGCTGCCCGCAATGGATGCATCTGAACAGTTTCTCGTTGGATCGGTAAAAACGGCGCGCAGCACCCGCAATCTCGCAAACCAAAATACCTCGGAAACCGGTTCCAAAAGGAAGCGAAGGGCATCTCATCTTGATAAGGTTCTCAGATATCGTGTCAGGTCCGATGGCTCAGGTTTCATCTGATTCGGCCGCCCGCTGCGTGGTCGACCGGAAGAGCGAAAAGTGTGTGTCAGTCGGAGGGGGGAAGTTGGATGAAATAGGTAGTTGGGTAGAGAGAAGACAGGTGGTTGTCGCTATCGCAATAGATATCGAAGGCTGTATTTCCCCTCGCTGGTTCAGTAGGAACTGTTTGGGGAGCAGCTTCCCAACAATGCCCCAGGTACAATCTGAGTGTAAAATACCAGGCAAGCAGAGTCTATGAATGACTTCCGTACCAAGTCCCAAGTTAAGAAGACAATTGCTTTACTATTCGAACCCTGACGGCTCTCACTAGCTTAGTTCTTAAGTTGCTCGTGGCTGTTGCGCACGGAGACTACTGGTGAGCCAAAAGTATGTCGCCGAGGTCACCCTCACGTCTGCGCCGTACTTAGTGACCCGACAGAAAACTGTAGCTCCGCGCCGGAGGGCGTGAAAAGGATGATTTAGCCTCAGTCCTATTCCATCGGAAGTCCCTTCCGCCTGTCTAGTACGAAGCTTACCGAGCTGTTGAGTCCTGACACAAGAAAAGTGTGACGTTCACAAGCCAAATGGACGGGTTTCTCTAGTTCAGATTGGAGAACCAAATCCACGATATTGTGATTCCATCGACAGGTCTCTTGTACTTGTTTCTCTTTGTTTGAATGGGAGCGGGCACATAGCTCAAGTGCCATCATCATGAAGAGGAGTTGTAGAGGATCGGGTAACTCGCTCAGAGCTAAAATTGTTGTTCCGTGGATCAGTGCAAAAAGGTCAACGTAGAGCAAGCATCTACATGCTTCGCGGATGGATTCCACTTCTTGGGCTGAGAGGAGGCTATCTGGCCTCTCACTTACCTCGATCAATGGCTATCAAATGTGTAGCTAGTAATACGTGATGTCGGCAGCGTGGATTCCATCAAGTTGAAGGTTTTTGTCGGTAGTACTGTGATGAATGAGCCAATAGAGTGAGAATATTCCACCATGCTTTCTGTCTTTACTAGTCGCCAGCACGAGGTAGAGCTTGTGCCAGAATCCCCAACCGCATGCTCTTCTTCCAGTCCAAATCATATGCTAAGCTTCGCTGGTACGGCTCGAGAGTCGAACATAGCGAGTACTCATGATTTGGTCAGGCCAACTCCGTCCGATCTCAGCGTTGCTGAGACTGTTTGCTTTGTCAAGATCAAGTCACCAGTGAGCCCCTGAAAGCTGGTGCGGAAAACTTCGACGATAACGCAGGTTGGCAGTCCGCCCGTTCTAGTCGTTTTTGCCACGCGCGTACGGCTCTCTCTGATGATTCGATCTCGGACACGTGGACTACGTCGACCATGTAGCATCACTCGGACAGGCAGGCTCTGTCAAACGAATCTGATGCGGTCATTCTCATCAGCAGGGTGTCTCAAATGGACGAGGGGAGGAAGTCTGGACGACGATATGACATTTTTGATGAAATGAGTTAGTTACCTAGCTTGTCTCCTTCCAACTACATCGTCATAACGCCTCAGCCAGGGCCTGGACCTATACAGAATAGGCCGAGTCTCGAACGCCTGCGTTGAGCATTCCGTGAAGGTGAACGGCGATTTGAATGAAACAGAAACAACTGCATCAGAAGCAGATGTGACCGAACGTCATAACCCGCAGAAGCAACTCCTCACAAATGTAACTCACTTGACCTGAACCAATCTCAGATACCCCTATTTCCACGATGGGAGATGAAAGTTCCGCCGCATAAGTGCCCATCGACAAATTGAGCGACTGTCGTTCGGGATCTGCGCTACTTCCGCAGTCAATAATCAACAAGTGTTGTTTTTTCACGCATCCCCTCACTGAAACACGCCATTTCTTGGACTTCGATGCAGTATAAAGTCGCTGCCGAGCGTCATAAGTCCCGGTAAACTCAACATCGGCGGGTGCCCGTAAGACGATAGTCATCGCCACCGCCTTCGCAATCAGCACCACTGTCTTGACGTCGGATCCAAAACCCAATATCAACCGATACTGACAGCAGAGGCGGCGGCGAACAACACGATACCTCCTGCAGAGTGCGAACCGGCCGGACCTCGATGTTGATGGAGACGATGATGTCCAGTCACCACAACAGTGACCCCAGAACCACTAATTCCCCGAGTGGCGTGCGAGGGAATGTGTACCCGGTGAAAAGGCGGACGGCGGTCTAGATGACGGAGAAGATCAACAGCGAGCTTATCACTACCCACAAGGGGCAAAGATCTCGATACCGCCGCGTCTCTCGCTATCAAGCCCAAGACCGTAGAGGTGTTGCAGGTAGGTTGGACTGGACGCCTTGTTGAACCTCACTTTCTCGGGTGAACAGACAGTTCGCCAGAATCGGTGTGAGAGACTCCTGCCCCCGTGCTTCCTTCATGCTAGGGGCCTGGACCAGGCTGTCCTCGACGTCTCGACAGGTGCGTGAGCCGGTGGGAAGGCGATCAGGGGATCCGTATCGCTTCGGCGTAGGAGAATGCAACAGTTAGACACGACGTCACTGCGAGTTCGAAGGAGTGTCATTTTCGGTGAGGTTGTAGATGCCCTCGACTGAAGCTTCTGTCGGATGGCATCACTCATGACGTTTCGGACAATGGGTAGCTCTCCACGTCCCAAGATCTCTAGCTGTCCTTTGACACGGGCCCCATTATTTGACAAGCGAGATCGATGTCATCGTATCGACCCATTCGTCCAGAGCAACCGTCGAGAAAGGCGGCTCCCGCCGTGGACCTATCTGTAATGGTCCAGAATTGACGACAGAGGGGCGAAAAGAGAGCTGAGGGCTGCTTGGCTAGTCTGTTACGCTGTTCGGGCCAGCCAGGGGTTAATGCTGACTATGCTGTCACAGGCGCCTATCCCCCTCTAGAATGGGATTTGACGTATCTTTGGGAGAAGCGTGAGGTGTGCTTGCCTTTCCTCTCTTTGACGAGGCATGGTAGCACATTTGAGATGAGTGAGGCATGTCGTCATCACGTGTGATGCTAGGCGGTCAGAGTTCAACCCAGCCTCTGCAAAAATGCGTGAGCTTCTTCGGTCAGACAGAAAGGGTCGGGGGTCTGGATCCTTGGCGCACCCTGATTTCCCCAATCCGAGGCTGAGGCGAACTTCTTTCCTTCTTTCCCGCATTACATACGTAGTGGGTTGGGGTGATGCAGGTGGCGGGCATTGCTTCATGGGAGACTTTGCCGCCGCAGAGGCTTTCTCTTTCGTCAAGCAGCCGCGCCGTGCCTGAAGCGAGGAGACGGGAGGGAGGGAGGGGGTCGCAGGATGATGAGATGATGGAGAGCTGTGAACTGGAACGGAATGAAGCAAAGGGTCTGGCCATGTGTAATGGGCCACGCCTGTGTCAACCGAAAGCTCAAAGAAGCAGGAGAGGCTAAGGCACGGGGAGCCGCATTCCAAAACGTCAGAGTCAACGTCAACGTCAACGTCGAGGTCCAAAACAATGTGTCAAATTGAAGATCCAGAAGAAAGGGTCCTTCCGGATCTCGATTCTGTGCTGGGACTGTCTCCACGAGTGTCCAGGTCCTCTCTTTCTGCGGTCTGGGTCGATCTTTTTTGTTTGACGAGACTGGGGACGGAGACGGGACGTGAGAGATTGTTTGTTGGTGCTCAGTGCAGTTGGCTGGGCTGGTATCCGTAGTGAGTGGTGCTATGAGGTCGTCGCGCGTGAGGTCGTTCCTTCCTGTGACGGAATGAGCCAGCGTTTGAGAGGGTAAAAGGGAGGGGAGTGTACCCGTAAGGTGTGACGGAGCATGTTGCCAAAACGTTACTAGGCGGAACACTGAACTGAGAAGAGGGGGTGAGAAACGCTCGTGCTGACGTCTTGATTGGACGGTTCCTGCTGCAGGGGATCCGACCGTCGGGACAGGGGTAAGATGTGAGGTGTGTGACATCATAAGGGACCGCATCAGTGGCGCGGCGTGACTTCAGAGGACACCTGATTGGCGACTCCTGACGACATTCTCGACCTCTCGACGTAAGGCGAGGCCGCAGTCGCACGAACACTCCCGTCACCACCTTCGACACTCAACTCGACGGCACGCATGGTGAGCTCCGTCAGCCTTGACGTCTGTGTGTTCTCGCTTGTGTCATCACCGGCCGTTGCTGGTCAACTGTTTGTTGCCTGTGAGGCTACTTCGTACTCCGTACACCACGCCAATACGCCTTGCCTGCCTATCCCAACACCATTTTCCCTTTTCCCACACAGAGTTCCATCACGTCCCGCCCCCGGCCGTCCATCCTGACGTTACGGTCTCGCTACGTACCGACAATCTTCCGTCAGAGCCATCGTCAATTCCCCAAGAGAGTTTTTGCCGCAGTTCAAGGGCGAAAGACGAGACAATCTGTTACTGCAATCGTTCTAGACCGCGCCAGCAGATGCCACTGTTTGAACCACACAAACAACTGGACCACCACCACCACCACCACCATCAAACCCGCAATTTCGCGAGGTTTCTATGGCGCGAGACTGCACTCTACGCTGGATCTCAATTCCCAGGCCTCGCATTCTGTCATCCATGTGGGTAAAATCTTCCTTTCACCTGAAAAAACACCCCGAAAATCTCTCGGTGAATGTCATATCGGCCGTATGCAGCAGTTGTCTCGCAACTCGTCCGTCTTGCCGGCTCCGTGACGTTCAATCACAAGCGGAGAATTTTTCCAATTCTCCAAATTTCGCCAACCTGCCAAATCTGCACAAACCACGGTCCCTTTCACCTGACGTACCTGGTTCCCAACCGTATCGGCAAGGTCTAGATCCGGTGGACCAGGCTGACCAGAACAAGAATGTGAGGGGCGCGTCAAAATCAACCAGACCCTGGGTGCTGAGGCCGTCGTCGGGCCTGAGGGATTTACACTGTAAGCGGCCGGGAAAAAAACCCAAAACACCATGTTTTTTTGTCGGTGGGATGGGAAATTGAGGCCCAAGAGTGCCGAACTCCAATCCTGTGGCCATGGCAAATTCCCAAAATCCCATCCATGTGGTGCACTAGGTGGGCGGGTCCCGTGCTCCAAGGGCCAAGGGGTCTCAGATGAGGTTGGAATACTACGTACCTTACACTTACTCGGGGTACGTTCCTCCACGATCTGGACGATATTTCCATAAGAGTCGGGATCTTACCAATGACAGGCCGTCAAGTGGATTCTAAGCAGACTGCGAATGCCTTCAAATGTCGCGGGCCAAGGTGGCTGGTTCCTGCCGTGGTCCGTGCATGAGATACGTACCTCCAAGAGGGTGCCCTGATGTAAGGAAGCGGGTCCACCGTCAAAACCACCACACCCGGGGTCCGGCCGACGGATGGAGCACGCTTCGGCCAATGACGTCTGCTCCACCCGCCGATCTTTGACGACAAGTCTTGCTTGGCTTCTGCGAGCTTGGTCGCGCCGTTAACCAACCCTCTCTCACTTTCTCACGTTCTCACTTTTCCTCGAGTCTGAGGCGTTCACTACTCGCCCTGCGCTAGACCACAGGGGCTACTCTCCTCCATTGCCTTCCAGGTTACTTGCCTCCACTGTCTTGCCCTTGTCATGTCAAACCACTGACGGACGCTGTCTCTGGTCAAGTGCCAGTAGCGCGTGTTATTGTCTGCCACCCAGAATTCTGCTTCCTTTCTTGCGGAGGCCTGGCTTGTGACCGAGCGTCGCGTTGGTTGCGGATATCCTCTCTACATGGTATCTCTTGCTTTCCTACGTTTCATGGGGAATCCTCGTACCATCATGCTATTCCCCTGGCGGACGAGGTACAAGCGAGATGGTGTTGATGCCCACCCTCCATTAGTCTCGTGGTAGGTTTCAAGCTTTCGATAATGCATTTCTGGACCTGTAGGATGGGCAACAGAAATCAAGGGTCCAGTACCGCACATGGTATCTCGTGAGGGGCACGATACACCAAACGCACAAGACACGATAATCCCTCTTCGCTTGCGTCTTGCGTCCTGCATTCTTGTCTCTGGCGGTGGGACTTGCCGCCGCCGCCGCCCGCCCATCTATCCCGGTCTGGAAACCCGTCATGCCTCTCAGGGTCCAGTCAGTCCAGAACAGCTTCCCAAAGAGAATCTTTCTGCCGTGATCTCTCACTTCTTGTCCGACCTCACATCACGACCACAAAGGCTCCAAGCAGTTGCCTCCCCCCGAAAAAGAGGAGAGCTGTGGCCAATGATGACACCGCTGGTGACTTCAGTCCGGACACAGGATCGGCAGGGTCTTTCCGTTCTCGAACCCCGGCGTGCCTCAACCACCTCTCGGTTCCGCACCCTCCACCCAACCCACCCTGCGCTTCTCTCTCTCTCTGTGTCACCGTAGCGCTCACTGCATCATATCCAGCCCTGTACCGTGGCGAAGACCTCTCGCTGGTTGGTGGTCGCCTAAGCTCCTCCCCCCCTCCGGACAACGACTCCCCCGGCCACCAGTTACGCCATATCGTGCAGACCTCGACCCGGGGGGGTCACCACTCCCACTGCCAGCGCCGCTAAGACGCCGTCAATCACCGCTGATCCCTAGCAAATTGGGGCAAGGCGGAATATGCAACAGCTCTGCGCGGGTGGGAGCACTAACGAAGGAGGATGAGGAGGGGGGGGGGTGAGGAACTGACGGTCGGTCTCATCTTTTTCTGGGAGGTGTCTCTGTCTCTCAGACCCCCGGGGGGGGTGGTAGGGGAGGGAGGGGGGTGCGGTAGAGACAGAGAGAGACGTCGTCGGTGGTGGCCCGCTAGTGACGGACCCTGTGTTTTGCCTGACGGGTTGCGTTGCTTGCTTGGATTGCTCACCACTGGCGACTGGCACTTGCATCCACACACGCAAACCCCATCATCCTGCCCAACTTTCCCCCCTACCACCACGTCCACACACTACGTCTGTGTTCACCTCTTCTCCACGACAAGGCTTGTCGTCTGTGTCCGCGACCCTTTTCGCCCCTCTTATTTTCATTTATAAACCCAGGGCCATTCCTGCCGTCCACCGTTTTCCCATCTCCCGTTTCATCAGCATCAGCCTACAATTCACACCGTCCCTTCTCCAACATCCACCAGGACACAAACCAAGTACAACTACTTCTCTCAGCCTTACTACCAACTCTTCAACCAACATATATCTCACGTAACCCTCCTCGGTCTACGATCTCAGGTCATATTAACTCTTGACCTTCACCCTCAAACAATACCCAAACTACTTTTACAAACGTCTCCATGAGCCCTTCCACCATGCCCGCTCGCCAGGACGCCTACTCCGTTTCCATCCCGGTCTCTCCTCCTCCCCCGAGCGATCTGTCGACCTACATGCGCTCGATGCACCAGCACACGAAGCGTCAGATGGAAGCCGCCAACCGCTCGTCGTCGAGGAGATCTGGCGGTCGCACCTCGTACCCCCACATGTCCAACGGCTCTTCAAGTCCCGACTACAGCTCATAAGCTAGCTGATCCACCACTCATACAACTACACAATCGACAATAAACAACCATCATCACGGACCCGACCACGACTTCTCTAGTAAGGTCGTGGCACCAGTCCGCTCTTTTTTCAGCGAAACACAAAACAACAGCTCGGGGAGGAGGCGGCGCGACCGGTACAACTGCGACGGCGAGACTTTTTCGAAACGAAGCATAGGAATGGCGCGAGACATTTGTACTTGATATGTTCACTTTTCTTTGCATGGCGTTGGGGATCAGGATAGTAGGCAGTACGGTTCTGGAATTGGTTCCAGAGCTGTGTAACAAATTGCCTATGATTATGAGATGAAATGAAACTTTTCAATCGTTACCACATCAACTTCTTAGCCCACTACTGTGATATCCGTTGCAAGAAGTGAATTAGGTGGGCGAATCTCACTTTCAAATGCCTTGATTTACTCCCCCACAACTCCATGTAAGGATCCGCAATGACAGCACACGTACCCTTGTTCAGGAAGTGGACATCTTTCCCCAGATGTCAACACCTCTCATCTTAACCAGTCGCATTTGGATCTTCTACCATTCACTAAGAATCCTCAAGACAGCCTCATTGATCGTATTCGATAAGTCTGGAACCCCCCTTTCTCGCATCCGAATATCTTGCGACCCGATTCTGAAGCTGAACGCTCTTCCCTGTCTCGATCGGCGCACTCCGGAAACCACCCCATTCCCAGCCAATTTTCTCACAAAGCCAAGAGCCCAAATACCTAACCCAACTTCTCCTCTCAAAATCACTCCCGAACGCTTGAGAAAGCAAGTCAACAGCGCTATTCCAGGCCAGGCCAGAGCATGAAAGTATCGCGCTTATTCCCGTAAGGATCCACATAACCATGGGAGGGAGAGCCTCAAACTCTACCTGAGCCCCGACGCCCAGGTCCCGTAAAGCCTAAGGTGAGTGTGTCATCACATAACATAGGTCACTTTCAGAGTTTCAAGGAAGGACGACCGAAGAACGCAGACGAGGTCGAGAAAGTGACGTCTAATTTCTTCCAAACTTGACGTCCATAGTCTATTTACCTCGTGCCCGTCCGGGGGAAAGCCTCGACCGTCCGGACCTTTGGGGGGGTCTGCATGGCTCCACCCCCTCCCAATTACGTGTTTTTACCCCAATGCCATAGGCCGCATCGTCCGTGCGAGTAGACAGCCCTCCGTTTTCGAAACGCCATGCCCCAAAGTCTAAATCAAACAATACCAATTCCCCAAAGATGTCATGTCATGGTGTATGTAGAATACCGCGCGCCCTGACCACCGAAACGTCGCTGCGATGACGTGCAAAGAGCCTCCACGTGCGTAGAACATGACGGACATCGTGAGCACTGTTCCAATGTAGATGAGTCAGTCTTCTGAGCTCTCACCACCAACCCCAAAAAAAAAAAAAAGGAAAAAAAAAAAAAAAAGGGGGAAGCCATCTTGTTTTGCCGACAGGGTGGCAGAATAGTCTATAGATCTCGTAAGCCAAGTGAGACCCCTCATACCAGCGACGGCTTCTTCTTGATGCCCAACGCCGCAGAGTAATCCTTCTTCTTCTTGACCACTCTCTTGGCGGGAGGCGGCGGTGGCGGCATCAGCGAGGTGTCCCTCACGGTACCCGCCGTCTTTTCCACCGATGACGAAGACGACGAGGCAGCCTCGTCGTCAACGATCTCGTCTTCGATAATCTCCTCCCCGAGGTCCGCGGCAGCCCGTTCCCTAGCAGCCGCAAACGCCCTCCTGGCCGCCTCCTCGTCTTCCCTCTCCAACCGCGCCTTCTCCTCTTCCTCGGGCCTGACGACATAGTCGGCGAAGTCGACGCCCTCCTTCTCGGAGCGCTGGATACGCGCGTTTCGTTGCCTGATCTCGTCGAGCGCGTCCGCGGCCGCCATCTCCCTCCTTGCGTCCTCATTCTTGGCCTCGAGATCCGCCATGGCGTTGCGCTCCTCCTCGCCCGCAGCCTCAGCCTCCTCGCGCTCCAGTCTGTCTAGACGCTGCTCGACCGACTCCTGCTCCTCTTCCTTGTTGCGCCACGGCTCCATGTTGCGCACCGCGCCCTTGTCCATCATGTATCCTGCGGACTTCGGGTCGGTTCTGAACGAAATCTCAGCCGAACAACGCGTGCAACGAATATGGAAATGGTGCACTTGTATCCCTAGATAAGTATCGCCCTGGCGCGTCTCCTTGCGGGAGTTGAACTTGCGGCCCTTGTAGATGTACTCGCCGCAACTAAGGAACGGTTAGACTTTTTTTGTATTTTGGATCTTTCTTTTTTCTCTTTTTTCTCAGAGTAGCGTGGACAACATACGTTAAGCATTTCATGGAGTACGGCGACATTATACGAACCGTTTGAACTTTTGGTCCTGAGGGCTTGGATCCGCCTCTCTTGCGGGTGAGCGCCGACGGGTCGAAGTCTGGCGGGTAGTACTTTTGAAGGACCTTTCGCTCGGACATATTGGGCGACTAATGCGGTGGTCGTTTTGGATCGAACGGTCTGGAAGATGGCGCAGACGCTGTGAGATGGTAGGTATCGCGCGGTGGTTGGAGGTGGTGCGGACGCTGTGAGGTGGGTTGTCGCGCGGTTCTGGTGTTGAAGTTGAGGTTGTCGCGAATCTGCAAAAGCTGCCTGGCGAGTTAGATGTGGCGGATGACAAAGCTCTGGCCCGGTACCTTAAGTGGTGGGGGACAGGTTCATCGGAGACGGGACGGTAGCTCGGAAATTTGGAGAAATACATATTCCGAGGACCCTTACGGTCCCATCGTTTGGACGACACTCCGTTTGACTACCGGGCATTTCCACCGTTTCAATATTGGGGTACTCCCAAGACGGACTTCAGAACCATCTTCAATTATCGTCATCCCAAAACGAAAAATCTATTCAACGATGAGGAAGCTTGCCCGTGCACAATCAAATCCATTGATTAGGAACAAATTGTCCCTCTGCCGCGAGCTCGTCGTCTCACGCGCTAAGAAACCCGCACCGCGTTCTCGGTGTCGGCCGTCCGCAAGTCTCAACACCACCCTCCCCTATTCACCCCAACATTTCCCTGTCCGCACGTGTGGCATCAAGGTCAGCTTTCCATCGGACCTGATCACGCGCAGCGATTGGCATTCGAGCCCGAGCTTCTCAAAAAATCCCCGATATTTCTCCAACTCGGGCACCAACGCAACCGCCAACTCAAACACGATAGATTTCTCGTCGTCGACGGCCGCCGTGGGCTGATGAGAGGGAAGACAGGGACATGCCTAGGAGAACACGACAGACATCACCACAAAAGAACTGGGGACCGATGCTACCGTTTGAACCGCTGCAGAAATGCGACATTGAGGGGGACTGGGACTGGGAGTGAAAAAAAAAAATGTTGGATATGGCATCCTTGGCCCCACTGCCGATCTTGCTCGTTCCAAGGTTTCGAGGCTGACTGGGAACCGAAAAGTTGGCATCATTGACCTCCCGTCCCCATGCGGCAAGGGTCCGGAGCGTTTCTGCCTCAACACCCTCAACAACGCCGGAGCAACTCGCCGGACGGCATCGTGAAAGAACACACGATGGTACTCTGGTTCCCGAATCTTCCGGAACGGGCTCCTGGCGGCGCTGCGCCTCCGCCGGCCGCCTTGAGGATAATGAATCACCACCAGCACCACCCGTTGCCTCGGCTAGCCTAATCCAGGCCGTTTCAACTTGGTCGTCTTTGATCTGACTGCTTCGAAGACGTTCGCTCGCCACCGAAGGCGTTGGAAACTAAAGTTCTAGAAGTGAGTAGTCGACAACTTCTCGCCGTTCGGTGGCCGAATGCATCGCATGACCTAGGGACAACGGCCATTGTCCTCACCGACTCACCGAGTATCATCCCATCTGATGGTTGACCGCTCACCCGTCAAAGGGGATCGTCGCTGTACAATTCCAATAATTTCAATCTGGTGCAGATGGGGCCCTGCAACCGCCGTTGGCCAGACGGTTCAACAACATCAGATGGGAATCAAGGAATCCCATGTCGATCCTCCGTTCCCTCCTGGCTCTGGTCAAACTTTAAAAGTTATTGCGGGTCTACGGACCAAGTTCTCAGTTACGGCCGTCTGCCACGCCCTCCAGGGCTTTCACTCCTTTCAGGCGCCTTCTTTCACGCCCACCTCCAACATTTCGGCCAAGAGGTCCCATTTCGCTGCCGCCTCGTCGCTTGAAGCCCTGGCGACCCCTCTCAGACCCCCACAGATGAACCTCAGGTGCCTCTCGAAATCGGTCTTAATCTCCCGGAGACTCTCGAGGTAACCCCTGCCGGCATTGATGGTGCCCCTTTGGTCCCTGCCTCCGGGACCCTCCGCACCGTCGTCGTCACCGTCTTCCGCGTACGCGACCAGTTTTCGTCGCCGAGGGCTCGCTTTCATCGGCGACGACATGATGGAGAGGCGGGACAGCTCCTGCGCCTCCTCCGCTTCTTCGGCGGCACTAGCGCTTTGCGCGTCTTCCAGTTGTGCGGCTAGGTCCATTATGTCCAAAACGGCGCCCCGTATTGGATCAAGTTTCTTGCCGAGACACGCCGCGTCCACGACCTGCTTCACGAAGGCTGCATGGACCCTAATCATGGCATCGACGTCATATGCCTCTCGCAGATTCTGGCGAAGTCTTTCCGTGTACGGTGCTAATACGAGAGTTGCCAGGTAGGTTCGAATGCAGTTGCAGAACCACATGAGCTTTGAGCGGAGAGAGTAGTACAACGCCCTGTTGCCCCAGACGTCCCTGTGTGTCACAAGCTCGTCGAGAATGCGGTTGCGACGCAGCAGACCAGCGGCCCGGCGGATCTGCATCAGCAGTGTGAAAATGGCCTGATAGTGGACGATTGTGTCTGGAGTTACCACAAGCTGAACAGGCCAAGGCAGGCGATATTGCAAGACGATTCCGGGAAGTGCTCTTTGAACCATGTCGCGAGCGGCCAAAATGGGTATTTTTTGGCCTTCCTGACTGACAGTGACGACGATTCGAGTCGGGTCTACTTGCGACATGTACGCCTCCTGTGCCAGGCCAGTCAGAGAATACCTGTCGTGCCAATCGGGCCGGAGTGCATCTAGTCGAGCGAATATCCCGTTGCAAAACGAGTCTGCAGCGGCTCCATCCGTCATTAGGTACAGGTATTTCAGAGCCTCAATACCAGCCTCAAGCCTGCAAGAATCGAAAAGCGTCTGCTTGAGAGTCTCTGAGGTGGCGTGGTATTTGCTTTGCATCCAGAGGTTGAAGGCCGAGGTGAAGAGCTCAGGGAATGGTGCCAGCTCTAAACCGGATGGACATACGCTTTCGAATGTAAGGGGCGGCTCCTTTTCATCCCACAGCGTCCGCACCGTTTCGTACTTGCCAAGGTGCTTGAGAACGACGATGCTTTTGCCAGCCGTGAATATCTTGCCCACACTAGGCTGCAGAAAGCTCGGAGCGTGAAGTACACCATCTGATGTTCTCCTCAACTTGAATTGATCCTGCCAAACCTGACGAAGCGGCACTTGAGTTGATGATTCAGAAACGAAGAAAATCTTGTCTCCTGGGACAAGCTGTCCTTCCGACATCCAAAGGCGAATGGGCCGCAAGTACACTTGGAAACAGTTGAAGAAAATGTGCACAAGAAAGTTGTAAGTCGTGTCTCGCCCCGAGAGCTGGGCGATGCCGATTTCATCGTAGATCAGCTCCAGGTAACGAAATGCCCCGCCGTTAGCTGGGTCGTAGAGCTGGCGTACGATTTCGGATAGAGATCTCAGGGGCTCTAGATGTGGTTTGAGCTCCTCGAGGATGGCAGCCATGCTGACGATTGTGTCCTCACGGGCGACCGACAGACGTTGATGAATATCCGTGATCCTTCGGTCAAAGATCCTTAGACTCGCGAGCACATTGTCGCGGAATACCTGGAAAAGGGGCGCGTTCTGAGCCTTCTTTGCAAAAGTTCGCAAGAGTGACATCTGGCGGCCAGTTTCCGCGTACCAGTTGATCAATGCCTTGTGGGTGTCCCACATGATATTCGACAACTGATACGCGGGATCAGGAAGTCCATCTTTTTGGAAAAGGGTCGTTGGAAGGCCCTGCAGCATGAACAGGACTTCTCTTGCCGCTTGAAATTCCGTCACGGGCACCTTATGCTGCCGTCCTTCCACTTTATTGCCGCCTTGCCTCCATGCTTGGCTTTCTTGCACCTCTTTGAGTGCGGCTCCGTCTGCCGGTATAACCTCAAAGTCCTCGGGCCGCCTGCCGACCGCGACGTCGAGACCTGAGAGGGACGTATCGTCGGTTTCGCTCGCGGTGTCGGAATTCGCGTCAACGTATTCATCGGCCGATCCGTCGCTGTAGTCGATGGTCTTCCAAATATCGGGGTCGTTGTTCCAGCCATCTTCTTTTGCTATATCCTCCCATCTGAGGGGCGGCTTGGCATCCTCGTCCGGTTCCCTCAGAACTTCCAGATCAATCAGTCGAGTCTTGTGTGTCGGTTGATCGGAAAGCTCGAGGAGAAAGTGCAGAATATCCGGATGCCATTTCGTGCGGTGCTCCTCCAGCGAATCCAAGCGCTCTTTAAAGGCATCGGCCAAGCCCTCGCGGTGGTGAACCCGGAATCGCTCTTCGAGGCCTACAAGCTGTTTCTCGATGTCGAACTGGTTGGTGCGCAAAAAGTTGTGATATCTCAAGCTCCGGAGCGATGATTCGCGCAGTACGTTGAACTTGTCCCGGCCAATCTTCTTGCCACGGTGTTAGCAAACGGACGGGCCGAGCTGCATTGCATTGCGTATAGCTTCAAGATGGGATGAACAGTCTCACACCTTATCCGGCGTCGATGTAATGACCTCGACCAGCTCGTCTGTGAGAGCGCCGAGCTTCGCGAGAAACGCCATGCTGTGCGCCAGTAGCCAGTTCGCCGGCGACTCTCTTCGAGGCTTAATTCATGCGTGGGCGACGGAATTGGCATGAATTTAATTTGCTGGTGCTGCTGGGAGACGCGTCCAGCGACTAGGTATTTGCTACAGGACGCGACTGCAGACAAGTTCCCAAAGCCGGGAGGAGGGGGGGCGGGGGTGCCGGTTCTCCTCCTCACCTTATCGCTGTACTTTACAGGGATTGGATAACGAGCCCAGCCGCCATAGGCCTTACGTAGACGCTAATTGGCAAATTTCATGGGGTGACATCAGCCTCAACCAGCAAACCGGACAATTGCTGCAGCGCCCCTTTTTCGAAATTTACGCGTAAGAAATCTGGCCTAGCCAACAGCGATCAGCAACCTCTCCCTTTTAACCCCAACGACGACCCTCAAAACGACGGCACGAGCCGCCATCAGAATTTCCACCGTTCGACGACACGATTCGGGTTTCCCACTAGCCCTCGATTCTCGCGCGAACCTTCTTCCGACAACGATCCACCAGGCGATTGAGAGGCGCGGCACGCAGCCCTGATACGCTCTTCACGACTGCGAATTTGTATCCGACTCTTCGCCCAATATGGCGGTCGCGCGGCCAGTTCGAGCTCTGGCCCTAGCCGCCGTGATGCTCTGGTGCTTCTTTCTCTATCAGATCTTCGGACCGGAGAGGCAAATAACGAAGCCGGTGCGCTACGATAACGGGCGCGACCCGAACCTGGATCGTGAGTCGCTTCTGCTGTCCTGAAAAGCTTCCCGAACGTTGCTAACCATTGCGGTTATACAGCTACCGGCGAACCCTCAGGTGTCTTGACGTATGCCTCCGACAAGTATGCCCCTGGCATTGCGGACTCTGCGCGCATCAACGCCACATTGTTGGCATTGGTGAGGAACGAGGAGTTGGACCAGATGATTGGGTCTATGGTCGACCTCGAACGGACCTGGAACCACAAGTTCAACTATCCCTGGACATTCTTCAACGAGGTTCCTTTTACGGATGAATTCAAGAAGAGGACTCAGGCGGCCACCAAGGCTGAGTGCAGATATGGTAAGCGGTTCTTGTGCATTGCGACGCAGTGCTGCTGCTGACGTGGTTCTTGAAGAGCTCATCCCAAAGGAACACTGGGATATGCCGTCCTGGATCAACAAGGACCTTTACGAGGAGTCTGTCAAGATCCTGAAGGAGAACGACATTCAATACGCCGACAAGGTCTCGTACCACTCCATGTGCCGCTGGAACAGTGGCATGTTCTACAGACACCCCGCCCTGCAGCACACCAAGTACTACTGGCGCGTCGAGCCCAAGGTTCACTTCTTCTGCGACGTTGACTACGATGTCTTCCGCTACATGCAAGACAACAACAAAACGTACGGTTTCACCATCAACTTGTACGACGCTCCCAAGTCCATCCCGACGCTGTGGCCCGAAACCGTCAAGTTCCTTGCGCAACACCCCGAGTACATCCACGAGAACAACGCCATGGACTGGCTTACCGATAAGGCTGGCCGTCCCGAGAACAATGAGAACGCGAACGGCTACTCGACCTGCCACTTCTGGAGTAACTTCGAGATTGCCGACATCGACTTCTGGCGCAGCCAAGCATACGAGGACTACTTTAACCACCTGGACCGTGCTGGAGGCTTCTTCTACGAAAGATGGGGTGATGCTCCTGTTCACAGCATTGCTCTGGGTCTTTTCGAGGATAAGTCCAAGATCCACTGGTAAGTGAAGCAATGCCTTGCATGTCCAAACTATTGGCTAATCTATCACAGGTTCCGCGATATTGGATACCAACACATTCCCTTCTTTAACTGCCCCAACTCCCCCAAGTGCAAGGGCTGCGTGACCGGTCGCTTCACTGATGGTGAGGCTTGGCTGCATAAGGACGACTGCCGCGCGAACTGGTTCAAGTACGTCGGCATGGATTGATGCGCTCGTTCAAGGGCTTGCTTCCTGTTCTTTAATTTTTGGTTGGCAACAATTGGGGATCTGCTAGGTGGCATCTGGGTTACTTACGGCGTTGGGCGCCCGCGGAACATCCATAACGTGTGTAGAGTACCATGGGTCAGAGACGGATATGACCCTGTACGATTTTGAGAAGTTATGCTAGACATTCGGGCTTCAAAATGAAAAGTCCTGCACAAAGATGATCTTGATTCTTCTGGAGCGGCTTGGCCGTCAACCGCATCTAAAGTGACCCAAAGACAGTCGCAACTCCAGACGTTCCGCCTACACAAAACTGGTCTCCCCATCCGTCGTCACGCCATGTGATGCAGCTGACGACATTACTTCTCTCCTTTTCCTTGCCGTCCTTCCCCAATACCCTCTTCTTGGGCTCATAGCCCTCCGGCCAAGGCACCCGAACTGACGCGACAAGCTTCCCCGTCAACAAGTCCCACGCCCAAATCTTGCCCTCACCGTTCAACCCCGCCGGCCCCGTGCCAGCCGTCAGTTCATCGCCAGCAATCACGTACTTCTCCTTGCCACCAAGGATGGCCTGCACGCGCAGCTCCTCGTTCCTCCACCCAGCGTCCGCGTATGTCTTGAGACAGTTCCCACTCTCCCGGTCCATCAATCGGATCTTGCTATCCAGCGACCCAACCAACATCGCCTTCCCATCGCGCGTGAGTCGAAGACTGGTGACACTCGCTCCCATGACATCCGTAACGCAACGACCCATCCGCACATCGTAACTCCTCACCCGCCCGTCGACACTCCCCGCCACGATCTCTGCGTCCCTCACCACGAGCGCCGTAACAGAATCCTTGGCCTCGTCGAGGACCTGCACCGGCTTCGCCGAGTTGGACTTGCAGTCCCACACGCGCACGCTGGTGTCGAAGCCTGCGGACACGACGAGCGAGTCGCCGTCGCCGCCGAACGCGACGCAGTTGATGCGCGAGGTGTGGCCGTGGACGTTGCCGCCGAAGCGGCGGATCGTGGTGGCGGACGCGACGTCCCAGAGGAAGACGGCGCGGTCGCCGCCGCAGGAGGCGAAGCGCTCGTTGTCGGCGGCGACGGCGAGGTCGAGGACCTCGTAGCCGTGCGCTGAGTAGCTCTGGATGAGACGGCCTTCCGCGACCTTAGCGGCGCCTTTGCTGTTGAGATTGGAGCCGTAGCGGGGGCCGACTGTATCCTGGCTCGCCGGGTTGTAGAGGCGGACGCTACGGTCTGCCGAGCCGGTGAGGATGTAAGTTCCTGGTGAAGAAGAGTAGGCGACGGAGTGAACAGGTCCTTGGATATGTCAGTACTTTGAGTGAGGGAAACGGTGGCCAGGTGTGTTTGGGTGATGCATCTGAGCTTAGGGACTTACCATTCGAACCCAGCAAGTGAGCGACTGGCGTGTCAGGAAACGACATCTTCAGCGATCGGCAATGCGCCCATCACCTGATAATGACAATCTTCAGGAGGGTTCTCATTTCTCGAGGAAACAGAAGCCTCTTACAAATTATTTTTTACCACCGCTTGTATGTCGTGTTAGTGGTAAGTACTGCTGGTCATTCGCGGCGCGCATGCAGAAAGACCCGTTCGGGTTACTCGCCTAAGTGCATATCGGGTTCCACAGATGAACGTCAAAGACCACGCAGTTCGACCATCAAAAGCAGGCTTTTCATAGACAATTTGAAGCGAAAGTCATGGGAGACAAATCTTAGGGGGCCCATCAATAGAATTGGCGTCTGGGATGCAGTGTTTAAGCCCGGTTCGCCGCAGTAGAGCATGGAGCGAAGACTGTGCAGCTTCTTGTAACACATTAGATCGGAATTTTTTCATTAATCCGGCCGGTTGGCCCAATGGCAAGGCGTCTGACTACGATTCGATCGTGCAATCAGGAGATTCTGGGTTCGACCCCCAGGCTGGTCAATTTTTTTGTTTTTGACACCCATTTTGCCTTGATTGATTCTTTGCGTCTGTGATCTATCATCTTTGGTTGTCTTTTCGTTGCCATAAAGCTCTAGAAGGCGAAATGTTGCCTTTGACTTGCACTGATACTGTAAAAATGGCTTCTCCCTGTTCCCGATTTTTATTCTCTGCTATCAGACATGTGTCGAGACAGGCCTCGATTTATTTTCCAGGCCAACATTCGCCCTTTTTACATGGTTTCTTCGACCTGCACATGCCAAGCTGATGAGTCCAACCTATTTCCGTGTGCTTCCTTCCTCTTGTGACTTCTCAACGTTCTCTGCAACCCTACGAGTCCGACCCCAGTGTTAGATTGTGCACTTGCTGAAAGCCAAAAGATCTTAGCAACCTATCAATACTAAGCTTGGGGCTAAGAGGATGATAGTAACAACAGTGGACACTATCATTATTTGATTGAGCTGCGTGCCCTTCTGGGCTTCCTGGATACATCGGGTGTTGAAGAGCTGGAAGATGTTAGAAAGCTTCAAAGCCGAGTTTGAATAAACTGTAATGCTTACTCCGCTACGAAGATTGTCAACGTTGGTATCAATCCGCTTCATTCTATTGACTGTCTCAGTTATTGACTTCTTTCAATGGGCTCTTGACGACATTCCAGTTGTGCTCGAGTATCCGCAGAGTATCCTCTGCATGAGAGGAGTCTGACATATGTAACAGAGACTGCATTGGAGTCTGCAAAGGAATTGAGCTTGACAACTTTTCTGGATCATCGCTCGTCGCTTCCACACACTTGGAGACGACCCGTACAACCTGTAGGAGTTTGAAAAGTATATTCCAGTCCCTCTCAGTTTCGGATCGCTCGTTAATTCGTTGAGTTTGTGCTCATCTTCCAGCATTTCCGGTTAAGGAGGTTTAGTCCCTCAGCTTCCACTCATGTTAGTTAGATGCCTGCAAAAGCTCGAAGATCGCGGCAGCATGTAAGTGCATCATCACTCTATCGTGCTAGGACATCTTGCCAGCAACATGGATTGATACAACTCCCAAGATATCCCCATGATTTGAATGAAATTAGAGTAACAAGTTCCCAGGTTCATAAGGGAAGTTCCAAACTCGTCCTATATTGAACCGTTTTCAAGCACCAATTTCCTTCTCAAGCCAAGATGGTATTGCAGGCGGCTTCTCCCAGCCATCGAGATACTCTTCCTTCGGCCCGCTTGGCTTGGCGTAAATACCGGTGACATACCAAACCTCCTCGCCCTTCTTGATCGTGTGCTGAAGGGTAGGGATCACCGTACGGTTCTCGACCAGATTCGAGTTAGGATCCGCATTCACGAGATTTGCCGTACGTTCCACCTTGCTCTCGAGAGCCTTAATGCCCACGGCGCCCTTCGACACCGCAAACGAGCCCTCGCGGCCCTTGGCCAGACCCTCGGGCGTGTTTGTGTCGTAGTTGCCGATGATTTTGGGTGACGTGCCCTCGCAGAGCTTGGCGTCGTAGAGGTCGAGGTATCGCCCGTTGGCCGAGTTCTGGTTGCAGATAGCGAAGGAGCCGTCGGCCGTCATCACCTCGCGGCCGGCCTTAATGTGGTGGATGCGAAGGTGCCAGTTCGGCGTGGACTCTTCCGTGGGTACGAGAATAGACTTGATTTCGACGTCTGGGAAGGGTTTCCAGACGGACACCAGGACTGGCTTATCGTCTCTGGTCTCGATGCCCGAGTATTGCGAGAGCCGTCGAGTCTTCCAGTACTCGCCGCCATCGTCTGACAGACCCAGCTGAGATGCCAGGGCGTACTGCTCAAGAGAGAAGAGTCCTGGAGGGACCGAGTAGGCGTATGCGCTGGAGTAAGCGAAGCCACCGTACTTGGAATGTGTGCCTTTCATGGGGTAGCTGCAGGCTTGACCAGAGGAAAGGAGCATGCAGTGACGACCAATGTTGCTCATGATGTGTCCAGGCTGCTCAAGGGGCTTGATCTTAGGAATTACAGGCCACGCCTGCTCCTCTTCAGAGGTCCAGAAAGGGTGGTCTTCGGGGACAGCAAGGCAAATGAAGGCAAGGCAGGCCCAGTACTATAAACGATTAGCCACTACGACCATCTCATCACAGGTTTAGTGTACCTACTGGGCTTCCGGGGCTGTTGTAGTTCTCCGCCATGTACATGTTAGGATACGAGTATCCGATGGACAGCGTACCGCTGGGAGTCCACATGCCGTGCTGAGTCTGCCACCATCTCAAGTGACGCAAGACGATACCCTTCACCATGCCCCACGTCAGGGGCTCGGGCAATTCAACACCAGCATACGCCAGGGCACCCCAGAACGATACCATCGCGAAACGGTACCCGACGCTGCGGCCGAAGGGTATGGCGCGGCCTTCCTCGTCAAAGTAGTGCACGAGATCCAGCGCGACCTGCTGGGCTCGCCTACGGAACTCGGCGGCTCGCTCGGGCTCGTCATCGCCGGCAAGCTTCGCGTACAGAAGCTGGAGGAACTGAATAGCGAAGCTGGACGAGTAGTAGTCCATCATGTGAATGCCCTCTGGACCGTCGTTGGACCAGCCGCCGCCTCGGTAGAAGGTGTTCAGGTGCTCGATGTCGGCGTCGAGACGTTCTTGCGAGAACTTTCCGCCGTTCTTCTTCAATCCCAGGTTGGCAAAGACACGGAACCATAGCCAGTTGGTGTTCGGCATGCTGGTGTGGGGTTAGTGGTAACTCAAGCATTGAGGGCCGTTACTGCTCACTTCTTTTCATTGATAGAGTTTCCGAGCCAGTTCTCGACGTTGCCGCGTTCCTTTTCCGTGAGGTTCTGCCAGATGACGGGCGCAACGGCGAGGGCGAATCCTTCAGCATGATTAGCTCAAGTATAATTGGTGAGCCGGTCTGCCATCTTGTCCTACCGAACGGACACATCTCGACCATGCGCTGGTCATTATCTCTCGGGTAACCCCAATACTCGGGGTTCTCTGGATCAGTGCCGGACTTGATGCCCTGGATCCACCACTCAGTGCCACGGTACTCACCGCCGCCGGCCAGCAGACACGCCAGACCCCATAGCGGACGGCAGATACCCTCGACTTCGGCGGCAGACTGATCGAACCTGACGGCTGTTCCACCGGGACACTTAACGCGCGCCTTCTGGGGCGAGAAGAAGGGTTCGAGGGGATCGAGAAGGGTCCGGAGGAGCTCCTGCACTGATGCCCTGTCGGAAAGCTTCACTTTGGAAAAGGGGTGTGCGCCATTGTAGCCGAGGCAAAGGCCGGTCTTGGGTTCTTCCATGGTGAAAGGCTTGAACAAGCAACAGAGAACCGCAATGAACAATGGCTCAAGTTGAAAAGACGGAAAGAGAAAAACAGTCGAGGCACGGTTGAATGAGATCAGGCGGGGACTTTGAGCTCATAACAAGCATCCCACGTAACACCTCGCTCTAGAATTACCCCGGCCACTGTCACCCAACAACACCTCGCCAACACGCAGTCATCGGGGCTAGTCAGGGCGACGGGATGGTAAGATGGTGGGGCGGCCTCGACATAGCTTCGGCCAATGTCGTCGTTCACTTGGACGAGACGGACGACATCGTCTCCGGAAAATTATGTAGCTCGACGCTTGGTGCTTGGACGATGAGGGGGCATCCTTCCTCAGGCTGGTCCCCAGTTGGGGTTTGGTGGGGGTGGAGAGGATGGGGGCGGGGTAAACATGGAGGGGAAGTCAGTATTCGCGGCTAAATGGGAAATTGGAGACAGACGCCGTTCTTTTATGTAGCCATTGCTTGGTGTGCGTTGAAGCGTTGAAGGAGGTCGTTGCTAACTGCATGTTCGCTGAAGAAATGTAAGCGGTTTCGCAGAAAACTGACAGTGATCCAGCGCCACAATCCCAATGTCTTTCGGTTCCGTCGATGCTTTTCCGGCTTGGATTTCCGATTGCCGCAGCTGGAGTACAAAGTATAGTATCAGTTGATAACGAACGGCATAAAAAAACCAAGACCGGAGAGACACAAGGTAAGGTCACGACAAACGCAAAAGTGAAGCTGAAGGTCAGGAGCCAGCATTTCCTGACCAAAAAACAAAACTTGAAAGGGACGAGACTCGAACTCGCGCGGGTTGCCCCACCAGGAAACAGATGTTAAGCTGACCTTAACCTGGCGCCATAACCAACTCGGCCACCCTTCCATTGGTTCTTGAACCAAACCCGCCTAATTTGGTGTTGTGTAGCGTGCGTGTGGGGCGGCGAGTTTTGGGTTCGTGCCAGCGCCGTGGCGGAATCGCGCCCGCCTTTTTCGGCTCCGGGCGGGACCCTCGCCCGCGTTCCTTCGCTCCTTCGTCCCGCGGCGTCTCCGTCTTTTGACGTCTACGCTTCATACCGTCTCTGTTTTCCCCTTTCCCTCCCACGACTTCCGCCGACGATATTGCCGCTAGGGTTTCCAGCTTTGCCTTCGATCTGGCATGTTCTGAACGGAACTTAGCAGTGAGATATAAGAGATCCAACTGTGGAACGACGAGCAATGTTTCGAGCACTCGGAGAACAAATCGGTCTCAGTGGCTTTTCCCAGTTACAGCTGAAATTAGTGACTGACTTTTTTTTTTACTCAAATATTGATGTAGGGGAATACTGTATAGTGTTTGACTAATTTCATGCGACATCAGGTTCTAAATGCCTTTTTTGAAGTTTATTACAATAATTCCATGGAGCTGCTAGCATAAAAGCCCGAAAGTAGGTCGTCTCCATCCTCCTTTACCCCAAACTCCTCAGCATAACTTCGCTGTTGATGTTATTGTGCAAGATCTTGGTCCATGGGTCACTTAGGGCCTAATCAGAGCGTAAATAGGACGTTGACAACATGGAAAATAATGAATCGTCTGATGCATCGTGAATTTATCAGCATTTTGACGGAGAATTGTTTATCAACAGGCGCAGAGACAGACATTATTGATTAGTGAACTTCGAAGTCTTGGTTCTCCGCATGATTGTGTTGCGGACTTTGAAGATTGCGGAGTTTGACGTTACTAAAGAAGCAATGCATCTGGCCATGCTCAATAATATTGCTCTTGCTAATGTATATCATCGTTAACTAATAGGACAGTTACACGATGCTTGAGCTGAAGTATAGAAGTAAGGAGGGCATTCGCATATGAAAGTGAGATGTTTTCCAGAACGGCATTGGGCTTCAAGATCCGACTTATTCAAACTACAACACCATAACACCATGCCTCCTACGATCCTCGTCGCCGGCGCCACGGGCAACACCGGCCCCAGCGTCGTCTCAACCCTCTCCTCCCTCCTCCCCCAAACACCCTTCTCCTCCCACCGGATCCTAGCCACAACCCGCTCCCCCGACAGCCCCGTCGCCCAACACCTCGCCACCCTCCCCGGCGTCGAGGTGATCCGCCAGAACTGGTCCGAAATCACCGCCGAATGGCTGCGCTCCCAAGAAATCGTCCGCGTCTTCGTCGCCTCGGCCGTGAGCCCCAGCCAGTTCGCCGAGGAATCCACCTTCCACGTCGCGGCGCTGGAGGCGGGGTGTGTCGAGTACGTCGTCCGCATCTCCACGACGGCGTGCAACGTCCGCCCGGACTGCAAGGCGTATTACCCGCGCAACCACTGGGCCATCGAGGCGCTCCTCGGGTCGAAGGAGTTTGAGGGGTTGAAGTGGACGTCGCTCCAGCCTAACGTGTTCTACCCGTATGTCATGGGCGAAGCCGTGGCTCTGGTGAAGAAGGTTCGTGACGGCGGCGAGCAAGGCACGCTGAGGATGATGCTCGCGGAGTCCGTGCCGGTGGGTGTCGTGGACGCCGGGGACGTCGGGTCGTTCGCGGGACGGTTGTTACTTGAGGAGGATGTTTCGAGGCATGATGGGGCCAAGTACGTCCTCAACGGGCCCGAAGACCTGACGGGCGCGAAGCTTGTCGAGATGGTCGAGAAGTACATCGGGGCGCCTGTGAAGGATGTGGTGTTCAGGGACATGTCGTGGGTGGATCATGTCATTGCGGATACCACGACCGAGGCGAAGAATGTCATCGGGTCTCTGAGGCATGCTGCGGATGCGACGTGGGAGGGGAAGGCGTCTGCTTCGACGACGAGTGAGGTTGTTCTGGAGATGAATCCGCCCAAGATCACAGCTGCTCAGGCGTTCAAGGCTTTGGTGGAGTCAGCGTGATGGTTGAAATGTGTTACCCTACTATCATCCCTCTGTTGAATTCCATTATAGAATTATCCGAAGCAAGATCAAACTAGACCCTCACAATGTTTTGCTGCACTGGTTTCGGGTCTGGAGCCGCCGGTCTTTCGTGATTTCCAGGAACTCATACATTGATTCTGGTACCTACGTCACACCACCGTTCATCTTGCCTGCTCAGTAGGGTACGCCAGATGTCAGGTCACGATAACAGGAGGCAAGCAAGTCGAAATGATTCGGTGTTGAGTCGACGTCTTCCTAATCTCACCGCACCGCTGAAAAGTCCATCCCATCCAGAGGCTCCCTTCGCCGTCGCCGCACACCATGCAAAGAACAGAATGCCAACCCAAAGACCAGCTTGATGCCCAGCATACCATCTACAATGCGCGCCCCGAAGAGCGTAGAGAAGAGAATGAAAGCAACAACCATGCAAAGATGCAAATATGCGGCTAACCTTCATCCAATCCCTCCCTCTCCAATATAGATTCCGAATTGAGTCACAAGAGAGTATGTGATTGGGAAAAAGAGAGACCAGAATACGAGTTTGTGCTGATGATCCTTGCCCGGGCTTCCCCTTTCCTCTTGCTCCGACTTTTGATGCTCCAGATCGACCTTCGATGCGAAAGGGGAGACCTGTCCAGGTTGGGCATAACCTTTGGCAGATCCCCCTCCTCGATGCGTTTTTGTTCTTCGAAATAAAGTAAACATTACGTGGTTCTTATATATGGACGACTGGTGACTTCCACATGAGATCCGGACTCATGATTCTTCTACAGGTGTGTTCTCAACCGAAGGGGTTGGGGGTATCTCCTCCTCCTTCGAAGCCTCCGTCACAGTCGTCTCCCCCTCGCTGATCGCGGCGGTGTTGGTGGACGTCGCCTTCTCGCGCCTTCGTCTCCTGGTCCGCCGTTCTTCCTCGGCTGTCTGCCTCCTCGAGCGCCGCAGGCTCTCTCTCTTCTCCGGGTCGGCGTCGTCGGCACCGTCTCCTCCGCGCATGCCCTGTAGCAGCATTGCCGCGCGATCGGCCACGTCGTCCTCGGCAGCATCCCTTGGCGACGACAATCCCGGGCTGATCGGGTTGCCATCTTCGTCGATGGGGTTTTCCTTGGGTGGCTGGGCCAGGGTTGCTTCGACTTCCGGGTTCTCGTTTAGATCCGGGATCTTTTGTCCAGATGCTATCCGCACCTGATGGCGGTCCTTGAGTCGTGCCCTGCGGCGGCGGTCTCTCTGGTCTCGTGTCTGCGGGGCAGCAGCACGTAGCTTTTCCAGCAAGGAGTCCATCGCACCCGCACTGGATGGTGATGGCGGAGCTCCTTCCACCTTTCCGTTGTTGACATTGAGTTGTTGGTGCTTCCGCTTCATGGAAGCCTCGTTGCGCCTGCGCTGCTCCTCATACTTAATGTTCTTCTCCCTGGACTTCTTCCACTCTCCAATGAACATGGCGAGCTTAGCGAAGAAGTCTCTGCGGGCGTTCTCGTCGGTAGGGTCTTCACCGTAGAAGACCATGATGTCGTTGTAGGTCTTCATCATCTCCTCCAGGTATAGTTGCATTTCCTCAGCCTTCCGCCTGGCGTCCTTCATGATCCTCTGGACAACCTGGCTAACACGGTCCTGAGGATGGAACTTCTTGGGATCGCTCAGGTTACCAGCGTCAAGCGACATTTGGACATTCTTGACCGTGTCAATGTACTGCTTGGCATCTTGTTGCAGCTGCTCGATGTTGATCTTCTGTGCTGCCATGACACCGGCGATATCGTTGGCGAAGTCTTCCCATTCGGGATATTGGTTGCGCACGATACGCTCGACGAGATCGGCCAAAGTGGATTCGTTCTTGTCGTCTTTGACCATGCCGAGTCTAGCCAAGGAGCTGAGTTTGAAACCACGAGCTTGTTTGTTGGCGTCGTTCATGTAGTTTCCGATATCCAGGATGAGACCGAGAACGTTCATCAGAGACACGGAATCTCTCAGCGATTCGGATACGCCAACAACGTGACGCATCTTATCGGTGATCTCGTCAAACTCCGGCTCAAAACTTCTAGTCAAGGCGAGAGCCCTCATTCTAGCCTTCCAGTAATGGTGCAACTCAAAGGCCGTGTAGAGATAAAGTTGGTCCTGTCTGGTAAGCTCTGCTGGATCTTGTTCACGTTCCGCCTTGTCAGGGTTGGCACCCGTCCAGTCCTTGCTGTATGGAGCCATCTGCCTGGCAGTGTTGTCGGGAATATTGCAGAGATCATCTTTACCCAAGAAGTCCATGACTACCGGGTTATCCAAGATGTCTTTATCGCAGTGAATGATCATTTGTACAATCTTCTCAACGGAAATTTGAGAAAATTTGGCGAAAGCAATTTCTGTGGAATGTCAGTATCTGCTTTGACCCCGCAGAAGTAAGGTACCTACCGTAAGCTTTGCGAAGATCGCCATTGATGATCTGCTTCTTGTCGTCCTTCTTGGCACCACCACCAATACCCAGCTTCTTGATCTCCTTGGCCATGAAAAGTTTCTCGACCTCATCCAAGATACCCTTCTTGCTTAGTTCAATGTACTTCTCTTCACGCTCTTCCGCCGATGGCGCATGGGCAGCCCAGTGGGTAGTCAATGGAGAATCGACCTTGTCCCAGTGAAGAGCCTTGAGCTTCTTCTTCGAGCGAACGCCAGGCAATCCGAGAGAAGGTGCGGAGGAGAAGGGCGTAGATTGGGACAGGAAGTGTCCGGAGATGGCACCAGGTAGGGGTGGAGGAGGTGGCGGAGGCAGTCCAGGAGCACCAGGCATTGGCGGAGGAGGAGGAGGGGGAGGAGGACCGCCCATGCCGGGCATAGGCGGAGGCGGAGGCGGTGGTGGTGGGGCAGGAGCGCCGGTAGGCGACAACATCCCCGGCATCGGGGGTGGAGGAGGGGGTGGCGGCGGAGCTGCACCGGTTTGACCGGGCATTGGCGGAGGCGGCGGTGGAGGCGGCGGGGCAGCGCCGACGCCCGTGACTTGGATCTTGGGAGGCTCGCCCTCGGCGGGGGTGATGGGAGAACCCGACTCCAGACTTGGGTGTGATGGGCCCGTGGTGGCACCCTCGCCGTTCTCTGAGTCGCTGTCTGCGTCGTATCTCTTGACCTTTCCAGCCATCTCGCCGAAGAGCCCGGCCTTCTGGTTGGGGTCCATGACTGGGCGGCGGATCTCGACGACTCTGGGCTTCTCGTAGACAACGCCATCCTCGTCCTCATCACCTTCCTCCAGAAGCTCACCTTCCATGAGTTCACGGCCCTGAACTGGCTTCCGGGCAATCTTTGTGTTGCGGTTGACGCTGCCGAGCATGCTGTTCGTGAAGTCTCTGGGCGGTGTACCAGGCCCAGAGCCGACGGCGCTGTCGTCCATTTCCTCTCGAAGAGCGCGAAGCCTGTCAGAAGGCCCAACAGCTTCGCCCCAAACTCTGCCCTCCAACTTGAACTGGGTCTTCTGGCGCTCGATCTGCATTTGCAGACGCTCCATGAGACGATCACGGTCCAGAATACCTTGCATTCTAGACGGATCTTCCTCTCCGAGCTTGTTACTGCCTTTAATAGCGTTAGAAGCAGCAACGTCTTGAGCGTCGCGGAGCATCAGGTAGAGCTCTCTGGTTTCTAACTCATAACGTTGTGCTTCCTTCTGGCGCAGCGTTTGGATATTTTCGAGTTCCGCCTTCAAACCCTCGGCCTGACGCCGCTGAGCTTCAATGAACCTTGCTTGCTCGTCCAGTTGCTTTTGAAGCTTTGCTACGAGACCGTCGGCACCCAGCTCTATCTTCTCCCTCATCTCATCTCTTTCCGCCATGGCAGCATCTGCAATCCGCCTGGCCTCAAGAGCCTCGTCCAGGGCCTGACGAGCTTCCGAGTCTGTGTGAAGCTTGTCCAGCAGACTCTGGACAGTAAAGTTGAGACTTTGTTTGAGGTCCATATTCGGCAAACGCCGGTCCATGGCCACGTAGCTGAGCATGGAGTCCACGAGCTGGAACGTTCGCAGTCGCTCTTCGCCATCGTTATCGCGAAGGAGCAGCAAGTGCTGCAGTGCGGAGACAAAGTAGTCCTGCGTCTTGCTTCCCCGCAAACGTTGCTGAATGGCGTCGACAATCTGAACAGGGTCGTTGAGATCCTTAACCTCTCCTTCGACGCTGTCCTTGATGCTGTTGTTCTCCTTCTCCAACAAGTCCTCATAGTCGATAGCTTCGTTGGCCCGGAAGTGCTCGATCTGCTTGTCAATGAGGTCGTATTGGAACGACTCCATCTTGGTGAGGATTCGCCTGATTCCACATGCGGTGAACTGAGCGCGGATGTGCATCCGCAGCTGCAAATCTCTCTCAGGGGCGTCGACAATCATGTTGATGAGAATCAGCGTAGCGACGGCATATTCCATCAACAGGTTCTCCATGCCAATACCACCGCTGCGGACCTCGTCGCTGGCTCCGACCAGACTGCCCATCTTTCCTCGGCCGTCGACCGTAACCTCGACGAGCCGCATCCAAGCATCGAAGCGGCCATTCTCTCCTTGCTGAGCCTTAACCGAGTCGAGAGCCTGAATGACCTTCAGGTGTCCTTCGCCATCCCCCCAGTGACACAAGAATGTCAAGACTTCGCTGACGAGTTTTCGGGTCGTCAAACGCGGTGAAATCATCGAAGTCGCAAGCGCGATTATGACCTGCTGGTGTGCAAGGGCGTCGTCGGCACCGAACTTGTTGTTCATCAACGCCTTCAGGCACTTGATGATATCGTACTCGCGGTCCAAATTCCTGTCGGCCTTCTGGTCTGGCGCAGGTCCAAGGGCGGTCTTACGGTTGATCTTCATCAACACGTTCGTCAACGCGACTTGGCCCTGGCACTCAATGAAGCGCTTGACCCATCCTATTTGTTGCGTTCTGAGGTTGACCTCCAGACTTCCTAGGCCCTTGGTGTCCAAGCTGTTATCCATCACACGTCGGACGTACCATTCTGGAGATCCCTCCTCGTCGGAGTTGACCAAAATCTCGGGTGTCGCGTATTGATTCGGTTTTGCTGTTTGCCTCCTCTTTTGCTCTCCTTGCCACTCGGTCAACCGGTCCTGGTATAGCAACGTCCACTTCTTGTCGGCCGGGTAGGCGACCATCTGGCGACGCGCCTGCTCGGGTAGATTGTGCCATCCTCGTTTCTGCATCAAGGCCAGGAACATCTGGTCGACGATGTCGTCGTTATCCGGTCGGGGGAAGTGGAATCCATCGTGTCCGGTGGGTACCATGCCGGGAAATTTCGTCAGTCGGTGCGAGGAAGGGTGCGACGAGTCCCTATAGGACATATGCGAGGAGTAGGAACTCTGCGATGAAGCACTGGGTAGTGCTGGTTTTGATGAGCGATTTGCGGTCTTGTCTGAGGTGCCTCCATTACCTGTAGAGAATATGCTGGCTTGGTCAGCAGAACTTCGACCCGCCGATGTCATGTACGAATCGTATCTGGGGTTGTGGGACCCATTGATTGTGCTCGCCATGCTAACGCGAGCCGGCCCTGGTCCCCACTGCTGGTATTGCGTCTGGCGGCCAGTAGTGGCCATTGTGATATTCGGCTGCGGAGGGGCCCGCGAAGCATGTGAACCTGCTCCGCCCGCCATGCTGGAAGTGTCGAAGTTGGGGTATTGGTGAAAATCGCCGCCTTGGTTGAGATGATGCGGCGAAGGGCCGTTGCGCAGCAGCGCGACCTGGTCGCTCTTGGGTAGGTATTCGACTGGCACTGGCGATCGAGAACCGGGTACGGCTTCGTAGGGAATACTGGTCATGGGACCAGCCGAAAGGCCGGAATCGGGAAACTGGTCGATCGAGACGGACGAGGAGTCGCGGTGATGTCGAGACGCCCGCGAGTGTATGCTAGCGGTATCGAAGTTATCGGCTCCAGCCAAATGACGGCCCTCGTCACTGGTGTTGCGTTTGTCTTTTCGGTTGCGCGAGAAGAAAGATTTCCCCGAGGATTGCCTCGACTTGTCGGTGGAAGACATGGTGTGCGTAGGTTGACGGGGAGGCAGGTGAAACACCTGGTCCTCTCACGTAAAGCTCGATCGGATTGTGTACGGTATCTTCAGGTTCAAGACTGACGGGGAGGCAGGTGAAACACCTGGTCCTCTCACGTAAAGCTCGATCGGATTGTGTACGGTATCTTCAGGTTCAAGACTGACGGGACTGGGTAGTTCGGGCGAGGATGGTGGCCAAGGCCGGTCGCATGATTGAAGCTCTACCCGTCAACGTGGAGCTCTTGCGGTGGTGTTGGGATGGGTGGTTCTGCAAATGTGGCGCGTTGGATCTCTGTTCGCATGAATCGGTTATGTTTTAGCATGTCTTCTACCCAAGTTTGGATCGAAGCAGACGGTGGTTTTGGGAGTCGGGGACTGGGTAGCGCTGGAGGGGGACCCCTGGAGCACAAGACGGCGGACGTACATTTCACTGCTGTTGGAAAGGGAAGCAAGCGGTGCTGGCTTCCGGGTCTGGTTCAGAACAAAACCGACAAGAATTCTGCAAGTTTTATTGTTCCGGGCTCGAGTGTGTTGTTTCTGTTTCGCTGGATAAGCGCCGAATTAGATGAGCGGCGCCGTAGGATGGGGCCGAGGGGTTGATGAACAAGAGGACGGGACCACGACCGAGTCGCGAAAAAAAGAAGGTGGTGTGTCACCGTGTGTGCGACGTGTGCGATGTATGCTGCGAGTGAGGGTTGCCAGGTATCCAAGGCCAAGATCAGGTAGGTGTCCGAAGACGTGTATCTGGGTCGCAGAAAGAGACACGCAGAGCTGGTAGCGGACTGAAGAACTGCCCTGATGAATGGAGTGCGCCGGGGACGGTAACGGTGACGGTGACGGGGTCTGCCGTAAGTGTTTTGGCTGAGGTCAAGGTTTCCCACGTGAGGGCAAGGTACCTTAGGGAAGGGGGAGGGGAGGAAACGAATTGGCAACTGGATCCTCCTCGCCTGCTAGCCCTCTTGCCTGTTGGTCCTTCGTTTGGACTTTTGGACTTAGGAAGGCGTTCGTTGCTGAACGGCAGTTGACTACCAATGTTTTAGTGCCCAGCGGCGGCGGTCAAGGAGATTCGTAGAACATGGGGGGGACGAGAGGGGAAGCGCGAGGGATGAGAGGGACGAGCGACGTGTGCGCCTTCTCTGCTCTGCGTATTGCCCTTCGCGTGTCTGCTGTCTGCGAATACCGTGACGGCGACTGCAAAAAAGACCAAAAGCCCAAGACCGAAGACGACGTTGCAAGTGCGGAGTCCCCTGATGAAACGGGGCTCGACAAGGGGCCGCGATTGACTTGACACTTCAGGGGCAGCAGATGTGCGAGTTCTTTTGCGGAAACTGCCTGAGCGTTTTTGTTTTTTTGGGGGGGATGGCGCTCTGGTGGTCGGTAGGGCGAGGGTGGAAGGGGTGGGAAGGTTGAGGTGCCGACGGCGAAGTCCAGACTCTTCGGTTATTGTTGGTTGACGGGTTGTGACTTGGCCACCGACGACCCAAAGCGTTGCAGCGGTGATAGCTGGAATGGAGAAGTACACGAACGGAGAGAAAGAGACTCAAAGAAAAGATGATGGGAGAGGACGGGAAGGAGAGGAGGCAGAGGCCAATGTCAAAGTCACCGAGAACTGGACAAGACGGGAGCTCGACCTGAGGCTTCGGCGCATTAGGAGTCCGGTTGAAGGCTACATTAGCTTGATTAACTACCTACCCAAGAAATACTATCTATCCGTACAAATGCGCCGTAATACGGAAACTTGAACAGATCCGGCGGCGGTAGTGGAGATATTGTTGGCGCAGTCGTTGCACTGGATGCGAGTCTTGACTTCCATTGCCCTGGACTGCGGGGACGCTGGAGGAGCCCGCCCGGCGGGACATTTTACTTTGCAGGGTGTTCATCTTCAATTTTTTGCTCTATTTTACGGCTTGCCATGCGATGCCGACGGGGGGCTTGCTGTATCTCTCAGGGGTTGAGTGACGACTTGCGTCCTGTGCTGCCGATATTGGCAAGATCAGATACCTTGGTATCCGTAGACAAATCCACCGATGCCCAAGTCCAAGACCAAGTCCAAGTCCGTGGGCTTTTTAAGGCAGGTGCCTACTACATAGTACCTAAGATGGACAATCAAGCCAAACCGAGTACGCCAAAGATCGCCATCGGCATCGGCATCTGCCAAAGCCTGTGAGCCCTCGGTCAAATCAAATCGGGAGTTCGTCGGTGTAGTTATCAGCTGCAGTTCTTCCCATCATTTGCTCTTAAGTCTCCGTCTTGATATTCGCCAATCCTGCCTGCGTGGTCTAAAAAGGCACTGGACCTTGTCTTCGTGTTAGTTCTGCAATCTGGTGGACGGTTCATCTACTGGTCCCTGAACTGCTCAGCTAAAAAAGACCCCTGGACCCAATTACAATGCCTGCTGGCAGCCTTCCATTTCCAGCGCAGCTGAAGGGATCTCGAACCATGTACCTCCACATGCAAAAATGGCCGGTGGAGTACCTTGCTATGTTTGGCATCAATGCCTTCCGGGAGTGTGTCCACCACCGCGGCCCAGCGCCTTAAGCGACATGATGGGAATTTTGGAAGAATTCGACCATGACGACGACCGTCGACTTTCGACCCTCGGCTGCATCTTTTCATCTTTGCTTCGTTCCAGATCGTTCCACGACCGTGGTCGTATGAGCATGGGGGTGTCTCTCACCAAGCGTTGCTTTGCTGATGCAGGAACAGAAACAGAACAAAAGGAACAAATCCTACTCGGTCAAACATCAGCACGGAGGACGGAGGACGGAGGCCTTCTCAGGCTGAGATGGATGGCGCGATCCCCAGCTCCCGCATGTCTTATCTCTGGCCCTCGCTTCTGAGCTTAGATAAGGAACCTCCATTTCTGTTTACCCTACGGAAAGGCGTCTGGATGGCTTACAGGTCTTCGCTTTACGGTCAAGACCAGTGATTGCAGCTGCAATGATATTCTGTCCGACATTTTATCAATCTTCGGGGCATCAGGTTTGTCCTGGCGGAATGACACTGAGTAGAAGAAGCCAGCTCAATCACTACAGCACTTAGGTGGCAGGGTCGGCCTGTCCCTGCTTCACCAGCCCGGCGCCGGCCGGAACCAAGTGACTCGCCGTTTGCAACTTCCTGTCGATCCGCTCGCTCCACGTCACGTCAACTGAGGTGCCTGCCCACGCGCGCTCACGCCCAGCAACTTGGCAAGGCTGTGTCTACAATTAGCTCTGCTTCTGGCTCTGGCCAGCCTTCGTCCGCGCGCGCCGGCAGAAGTCTTCAGCCAAGCCTGCCAGCAGAGGCTCTGCGCCATCCCTCTACTTGAACCTCTCAAATAATCGAGGGACCAACTACTTGATATCCACGTCCGCTCCCCTCATTGTCGCAAGCCCATCATGGGCGCCACCATGTCAGTCGTCAAGGTGCGATTTACCTTACCCAATTCCGTGGCTTCCGCCGTCCCCCCGCGATTCCCGCATGTTCCGTGAGCTGACCGAGCCTTGCGTCCAAGACTCTAATAGTGCCCGCCGTCATCTCGTTGATCTTGTTCCTCGTCTCGACATACGTGCTCCTACCACTTTGGCGCAAATGGCGCAGCCGCTATAGCCAGTACTTGCCCATCGACACGATATCGACTTCAACCGTTTCGCTGCGCCATCGCATACAGAATGGGATCGCAAGGATGATTGTACCCTCTACATGGAGTCGCAACGCTCACGAGCGCCTTGTTGTTGCGACCGACACTTCCGACGACGAAGACGGCGAGGAACTGGGAGACGTGGGCGAGGAAACGCGGAGGGCAATCTCGGATGATATCCGACGGGACAGACACGACAATGACAGTACGAGAAGGCTGAGCAGAGAGTGAGTTGGGATTGTCCCCCCAGCGTCTGCGTTGCGTGGCATGCTAACACCGAACGTCACCACCAGCCTAGAAGAGGGCTTCAGAGATGATAGCGACGACAGTGACGACGATAACAACGGACGTAATACGGCTGGGTCCTGGCGGTAGTCATAAGTCTTAATACGCACACCAGCCTTGCTGTTCCGAATGCCCGCAGCCTTAATTGACCACGAGACAGAAGCTTCGGCTGAATGCCCATCATCAGACACACACGCAGAGGTCGGCGCCGCACAGAACCTGTATCTTCCGCCTCGCACGCGACATTGGACTGAGGCGAACTGCTTAGACCTTCGGGAGGGTTGGCCGATCTAAGTCAGACTGTCATCGCTCACCCACACACCAGCCATGTTCGCGTTCTTCGGATCCCGGAGCCGACGCAGTATCGGTTTCTGCCATGAAAGTGTTTTTGTCCATGATCCGGTACCTGCTATTTTGGAGGCCACGAAGCCATGAGGAGGTGGCGATGGTGTGGCCAAGAGGCGCATGCATTTCAATGCTTCGAGTCGGGACATCAGCTGAACTCAAAATGCTGCCTCACTTTCTGGCCTGTCTCGTTCAATCTCCGTCATGTTTGGCTCGGATAGGACTCGTGGGAGTCAGGCGCAATCGCCGCTCCGAAACAACCGCCGCTCAGGCGCCCGTGTTTCCGTCCTGCATGTCTCTCCCGTCTTGCCTAGCCTGGCCGTTCGTGTTTCTCACTTCGCTTTCCTGGACTGCTTGTCCCGCTTAGCTCATCTATTCTCACCTCACCTACACCAGCCTCTTGTGTTTCTGCCAGCCAACCCGCCCGTCTCACCCAGAGGGCATGCGCTCTCAGCATAAGCGGCGATGGGGCGGATGGATTTAGATGTAGAGGAGGTCAGCAAGAAACCGAAACGGTCCTCATCCGGAGGGGCATGCACTCCTTCCGACAACCGTCACACGACTCCAACCAATGCCAGATGCTCCCTCAACTGAATATTGCAGCGCACATGTCAAGCATAGCCCAGCAAGGTGCCGGCACACCTTTCACCCAAGGTAGAGCTCCGTGCGCCTGACCTTTAAACAAGACATGGCCTACCCGGTTGGAAATCCGGAACCGTCTAACGGCGAGGTCAATGTCGTGCCATCTGCAAGGCACGATTAGCTTTGGTAAAGTCAGTGTCTTTCTATACTGGCAGTCCTTCCTTTGTTATTTTCAAGGTCTTCTTTATTCATTATCGCTCTTCACCCGATCTGAATCAAAGGACTCGGCTAGCCCGGACTACTCGTACGCCAGTTTGCTCGACTTTCTTTGTACCAAACCGGTCTCTTAACCAACACGCGAATCCATGGTCCCGGCCCGCTGAAGACGACGATGAATATTTTCAAATCCGTTATGCGGAAGCAGGAGATGGCTTCTAACCCTGCCGCCGACGACACCTGCTGCGCAATATGCTACGAGAAGGTCGGCGAGGTCAAGGAGGAGGGCGACCGGGAGGTCTGGCGATATCTACCATGCGGACACCGATTCGGCGGCGACTGCATACGACACTGGCTAGGCGTCGCCAGCGTCGATGAGCCCCATTGCCCGTGGTGCCGGGTCAGCATGCGATGCGACTGCGGTCATCCCGTAGTGCCCACGATGAAGCCGGTCCGCAACTACATGTACTGGGGATGGATGCCGTGCGAGATATGCCACACCCAACTGCAGAGGTCACGCAAGACGTCGAAATATTTACGAGGACAGCTGCTGCCGCGGCTCAGCTCTCTCATCCACTCGCTCGACCACAACATGGCGTCCATCCCAGCCGAGGTCCCCAAGGAGCAGGAGGAGACACCGGCCAAAGAGCCGTGGGAGGACCGCGAAGTATGGAAGAGGAAGTGGACGGAGCATTTCTTGGAAGAAGAGAGGAAAGCGTCCGCGTCGAAATCGTCAAAGAGATGACAACCGGCTATCCCGGGAAAATCAGCAAGCGATATTGTCACCATTTTACGACTTTTGGGAAAGACGATGGCATTTGAGCGAATGACCACAGTTGAGAATAACGTCGGTGGCCTCGATGGTTGTTTATCGGCCGCGCCTCAGAAAGACGCAGGCAAGAGAACATTGTGTTAGGAGTACTACGGATGGAGAAGCCTCTCGAGGCTATGAGATAACAGACGGTACAGCAGCCGGATTTCATTTGTCCATACCTTATCAACCAACAGAGAATCTCAGGAGTATATTTTTGGTACTACAATGCTGCTCAGAGCTTTCATCGGTCTCAGTGCAAAACTTCTTGTGCATGTTTCCACTCCACACCTGCTGTGCTTCTGTTTTGCCGTGTACGCTGACGATAAGCTGGCATACCCTGATGTTCCTCTTAATTTTTCCTTGTAATTTCCGCTCTCCTGTCCTCTATCCTCGTCGTCGACTGAAGAGCGCACAGTAATCAGGGTCGTCAGTGATCAATCTCAAAGACCGGGCTAGACTTACACATTCTTCACACCCTTCTGGTCCAACCAACCCTTCCAAACCAAGCCGACGTCACTAGAGCGCCATTTCCGGCATCCCATATCGGGATTGCAACGACCTGACAAGCATCTGAAGCTGTCCCGGATCGTCTAAGTGGCCGACTCGGAAAACTGTTACTGGCCTTACTGCGCACCTCAGGTGATGGCGGGGAAGGCGCGAACTGTGAATGGGGTGAGGTTTCCCAATCTGGACCCGCTAGCTGGGAGCCTACCCCGCGCTAAAAAGTTCCGCCCTGCAGTGATGGGAGGTGACCGGCATGACGGCAGGCATCCACTAACATGCTGTGTCCATGCCCCTGTGCCCTCACCTTGCAGCTGCTGGCCAACACCATCTAACGGCACTAGGGTGGCGCGGATCGCGTCTTGTCTCCCACTCAACGCGTCTACGTCTACGTCTACGTCTACCACCCGAAAGCGGCAACTACCTAAATCCTCGCCGGCGACCTCACCTTGACTCAACCTGGCCGGCCCTTCACCGCAGTGTCGACTACCACGCTCCTTCTCATATCGCATTAATCAGCCGGCAGAGATCTGCCTTGCTTTTTTCCAAAATGCGGTTCAAGACGGAGTTGAAAAACATCCGCACCTTCTCGAGTGCGCCCATCTTTTCCGCACGTCCCGGGATCACCTACTAATCGCGCCGTTCTCAACCATAGAGTTCACCGCCGCTCTATCTTCACTAGAGAAGATCGCCTGGGTACGACTCGACGATGAAACGGCGCGCTTCACCGTAATTCCCGACACCGGGTCACAGGTCTGGTCGTAAGTGCGCAGTCCCCGCCATTCACGGCAGCACACTGGCAGCTTACACCTGGGGCCCAGCGTCATTCCCATGGACTTCATCTTCGACGGCTATCACATCCAGTCCGCAGAGAAGGACAACACCATCAACCTGGAACTCCCTCTCGCCCTCCTCCAGCGCGCCCTGCGCTCCGCCTCCAACAGCACGTCCGCCTCCCTCCGTCTGACTAAGAAGGACGGGGTCCCCGTGCTGTCGATGACCATCACCACGACCACGAGCACCTCGGGCGCCGGCGGCCGCAACGCAGCCTACGCGGGTCTCGAGAACGACCCCTTTGACGACGACGAGGGCTTCATGCCGGAGAACCTGACCTCGCTCCGCCACGAGCGGGAGAAGATCATCACGCAGAACATTCCCGTGCGCGTGCTGCATCCGGAGACCGTCGAGACGATCATGCAGCCCACCGTCCGCGAGACAGATGTTCACATCATGCTGCCGCCTCTGCTCCAGCTCAAGGCCATCTCGGACAGGTTCACCAAGCTGGCCATGGCGTCGGGCAGTTCTCGCACGGGTCCAAAGCTCGAGTTGAGTGCCAACATGTTTGGCAGCTTGAAGCTCCGCATCGCGACCGAGAGCGTCAACGTGTCGACCACCTGGAGCGGACTGCAAAATCCCGAACTGGACCAGTCGCAGTTTGACATGCCTCTTGAGGAACATCCCAGCGTAGCATTTACAGCGGGTGGTGAGAATAAGTGGGCGACTGTGAGAGTGGATGGGAAGGATTGGAGCAAAGTGTTGAGTGTGGGGAGGCTCGAAGGGAGAGTCGTCGCTGCTTTTGTGGACGATCATGCCTTGATTCTTCATGTTTACGTGCCTCAATACGAAGATGCGCAAGCAGAGGAGGCAATCCTGACGGTGAGATTATGGCCCAGAAGTGCTCATGATGAAACATGCTAACTTTCAGCAGTATTATGTCGGATCTTTCAGTCAGTAAAAGTGATGTTATGGAGTTTGCGATCTGATTCATTGGAGTTTGGAGTGGGTTTAGACACGGCCGCTAGAGCTTTGATGAGATAAATACCAACGTTGGCTGAGCCGCAATTGCATTCACAAGTAGATTACATCGAAAGCAGAGAAATTTCTGAAACACGAAGTGCTCTAACAGACTTCATATTCTGTATTTTCGTATGTGATATTGTTTGCGTGGAATTAGTGGCAAACAACGCTGCCGATAAGCATATTCTGGGTATCATTCGTCAGGTTTTGTTGGTAAAGTTCTGGGGTGCCTCTCAGCGACGCTCATCCGGACTGCGCCTGCGGTCTCTCGACCGCGGTCGATGCCCCTCCCGGCTCCTGCTCCTCCGTCGGTGCTCCCTCCGCTCACCCCTATGCCGCCTCTCGCGATCCCCATCGCGATCTCTGACCCTCTCTCGCTCACCATCACGCTCCCTCCGCCGCCTGTCGTCTCCCCGCTCTCTCTCTCGGCTTCGTCGCCTCTCGTCGTCTCTCCTCCTGTCCCGTCTCGGGCTGCGACTGCGGTGACGCCGTCTCCTCTCCCTATCCTCGTCGCGATCCCTCTTCTCCCTCTTCTCCTTGACCACGAGCCCGCCCTTCTTCTCCTCAGGCGCTAGCGGCGCGGGCGCAGACGCGGGACCGATGCCCCTCGACCCGCTGACCTCGACGGCGTTCGCGCCCGAGGTGTCCCGCTGCGGCACGGGGAGGCCCAGGGCGCGGGCGAGGGCGTCCTCCTCGGCCTCCTTGATCTTGCGCAGCTCCTCGCGGCGCTCGCGCTCCTGCCGCTCCTCGGGCGTCTCGTTGCTGTCGCCGGCGTCGGCGTCGTCGTCCGTCTTGGCGTACCAGTTCAGGTCGCGGCCCTTCTGCCAGCGGCCGACGGGGGCTTTGAGGCTGTGGCCGAGGTAGTTCTCGCGGTGGTTGGAGTTGGCGACCTCGTCCCAGGAGAAGTTGACGCCGCCGCGGGAGCCGGATTTGCGGACGCTCGAGAGGAGGTCCATTTTCGGAGGTGGTCTTTTTGATCTCGGTTGTTTGTGTTGAATTCGATCTTGTTCGGGGATTCGTTTTGTTTTGGTAGAATTGAACGTTTTTGGGGTTGCTGTAATACGATGCAATGGATTGGGTTGGATACCTACTTCTTTTGCAGGTTGAAGATTGGCACGGAAGGTGCTTTCCAAGCAGTAGTCAGCGGCCCACGTGACTCAGCTTTACCCGCCAAACACCCATGCAAAGCACCTGCAAACCCCTGCAAGTCGATCGCAACCAACAAGCTCGGCCCCACGATACAAAAGTTGGAGAGCTCCCGTCTTCCCGTCCACTGCGGCTCTGCCAGCTCCACGAACCCATTTCGACATTTCACATCACAACCCGAACCACGACGATTCCCAACAACATTCGACCTTCCCAAAAGACACGGCCACAGCTTTCAGCATGTCCAACCCCAACGACCCGCCTCTGGACGAGATCCAATGGCGCGCGCCCGACATCGCGGCGTCGATGCAGGGCATCCACTCCAACAGCGTCCTCTTCTACTTCGCCGAGTCGCCCTTCTTCGACCGCCAGTCCAACAACGCCGTCATCACCAACCAAGCCATGTTCAACCCGGCTCTCCTCAAGAACCTGGCCACGCGCGAGGCCTTCGAGGGCGAGCTCGACAAGATGACCGGTCTCGAGTTCCGCGTGCTTCACGCCCCGGCCGACATGGTCACGGGCACCGGCGTGTGGACGATTGTCAAGCAGACGCGGCAGAAGAACCTCGAGAGGAACAGGATAGAGACGAAGCCTTTGGCGTACTACTTCGTGGTCGGGGAGAACATCTACCAAGCGCCCAGTTTGGGCGACATTCTCAGCTCAAGGATTGTAGGTCTTCACTGGGAACACCGTCGATAGGAACACAGGCTGACTAGGAACAGGAGTCGATAGCAGAATCCATGCGTAAAGTCCTCCCCGCGACAGACAGTGTAAGGAAGTGGACCCCGTCCCTCGGCCACGTCTACACCCAGCCCACGCCATCCGCCCTCTCCAAAACCAAGGAGGATACGATCAGCACGCCCATGCCCGAGGGCAACGCCTCCAGCAGCAACGGAACCTCGACCAAGAACAACGCCGGTAACAAGAAGGACTCGACGGCGGCGGCGCTCGACAGGCTCGCCGAGGAGTCCCTCGCGATTCACATGCGCTTCGGCGGCGACTACTTCGACGAGAACCCCATCACGGGCCGGCCTGGCGACTTCCACTTCGCGAGCACCGGCCGCAAGGACAACAGCAAGATCGCGCCGCCGCCACCGCCTACGCAGAAGCCGCAGAAGCCCGCGATCAACACCAAGGCGGCGGAGGAGGCGAAGAAGGATGGAAAGGGGGAGAAGAGCCCCAAGACGCCCAGTATGCCGAAGCCCAAGAGGAAGAAGAGCAAGATTGCGACGCCGGCGGCGACACCTGCTCCGTCGCACTGAGTTGGAACGTGAGATGGCATGAGTCAAGGCGTTTAAGCATAATGATACCCCCTTTGCTTCAATTTGAATACTAGCTGTCATAATGATCATCATACAAAATTATGGCTACAAGATTTATTCTAGCTCTCCCTCTTCTCGGTCCACCCACTACTTTCCCTCAGCCACATCTCCCATGTCTGTAAACTCGGCTCCATCGCTCTCAACTTCGCGATGTCAGCCCTGTATCCCTCCCTCTCGAACCACTCCATACTCCTCCCAGCGTCTTCAGAAGCCCACCTAACGGCATGCGCAACGAAACCCCACGACTGCGGCATCCTCCGCCCGACAACCCTCTCAAACGTCTCCTCGGCCTCGGCGAAACTGATCTCATCGCCAGCCAGAGACAGAGCCTTCCCACCCCACTCCCCAGGCCCCTCAACCAGCGCCCTCGCAGCGAAGACGCCAATATCTCGCGCGCTGACAAGCTGCAACCTCCTGTCCCGGGGCATGCTAGCCCAGAGCCCGCCCATCACGGAACCCATGACCCCCGCGTCGGACACGTACTGGTCCATGAACCCCGCCGGCCTCAGAACGGTCCACCGCGTCCCCGTCCCCGCCGTCCTGTCCCGCAGGTACAGCTCGAGGCGGTGCTTGGCGGCGAAGTGCGGCACGGGCGTCGGGTTCGTCCAGGACGCCTCGTCCCCGCCGCGGTCGATGCTCGAGAGGACCAAGTGGGGGATCCCGTTCTCGACCGCGGCGTCGATCACGGGGATTCCCTGGGCTTCGTCGGCCGGCGGAACCGTGACGAGGTAGATGGCCGATATGTCCTTGTGAGAAGCGAAGATTGGTGCTGGGGAGGCCGGGTCTCCCTCGACTAGTGTGATGGTGGATGAAGGGTGGGAAGAGAGGAGGGATTGGGACTTTGGGGAGGACGGGGAGCGTGTTAGGGCGAGGATTGAAGGGGGGTTGGGGCGTGAGAGGAGGGCGGTGATTGTTGCGCTGCCGGTGCGGCCTGTTGCGCCGACAATGAGTACTTTGGGGTTTGACGTTTTCATTGTTTGCTTGTAAGATTGATTGTTTGTGTGTGTGTTGAGTGAGACTCTATAGGTCTGGCGGGAGGTTGAAGATGATGTAGTTAGTTGCGAGGCGGGCTCTGGAGACTTTTCGGACACTTTGGTGTGGGAGGATTGATCTGCATGGGTTGAAGGCTAGCAGACGGAATCAAGGCCTAACCGCCATTTGGGTCGTGGTTTTCTCATCAATCCATGGTTTGGATGAGTCTCGTGGGTACTCGCAACAGTTACTCGGTTTCTGACTTTTCGTATCAAGGTAAGGTAGATCAATCTGACTTCACGACATTTGATAGGTGAAAGATACACCACAGTTTGCGAGCCAAACCATCTAAGCAATGAATACTTTCTTATACATAGAGATAGAACGCCTTACCTCTCTATAGCTTTGTTTCTCAGCTTTTATTTGATAATCATGCTAATGCTCAGAGTCTTTCTATTCAGTCTCCGTACCACGGTTCGATCTCCCGACTACGTACGCTCCAGTATCCAGACCATGCTTCGGTCTTCGTACCCTCACCCGCCATTTTTCGTGGATCAATCTCTACTGTACCCGCATCTTTTTCTCATTTTCTCCCTTCTTCGACTGACAGTCTCTTCGATTCTAGCCATTCTGTGGGTATGCCTCAATAATTAGCACCACACGACCACCTCCAGCAGCAGGCCATGCCACGGCACCTCCCTCTTAGTTGGCCACATAGCCTCCGTCCACCGATAACGCGGCCCCGTGAATGAAAGTGGCCTTAGAGCTGCAGAGAAACAACACGGCATCGGCGACCTCTTGTGGCGTACCTTTGCGCTTCATCGGTGCGACCGCGATGATGGGGTCGTCTTTGGATACCTCGCTCGTCATCGGCGTGCTTTGGCGAGGCTTCTTAGTACACAAGAAAGGCCGAGCAGCGAGTGGACTTACTCGATGATCCCGGGACAGACGCAGTTGACGCGAATGTTATACTTGGCATACTTTTCTTCGCATTAGCAATAGTTCCCTCTCACAACGAAACTGGGGCGCGGCTTACATCGACGGCATCGCTCTTCGTCAGGCTCAAGATGGCTGCCTTTGACGCGCTATACGCCGCTGACGCAGAAGTTAGCGAGGCCACATAGTTCTGGGGACGAAGGGTAAAAAGCTCACGAGTTTCTGGCCGGCTCACCAGGCTCAAGTTGCTGGCCACGTTGACGACGACCCCCCTATTTCCGGGCCTGCCATCGTGCGTCTTCAGGGGCTCCTGCTTGATCATCTGCGTGAGCTCGGCTTTCGAGCACAGCCAGGTCCCGCGGTAGTTCGTGGTCGTGATCTCATCGAACTCGGCGGTCGTCAGGAGGTGAGAGGGGGCCATCGGCCCAAACATGCCTGGCTCCTCATGAGCACTCACTGGTTACTCCCGTGTGACGGAGACTTTCAACGGTAAAAAGCCAAGAGATGAAAAACTCACCGGCGCAGTTCACGGCGTAGTCGATCCTACCCCATTCCTCCGTTACGTACTCCATGCCCGCGGAGACGTCGTCCTCGTTGCGGTTGTCGATCTCAATGACGAAAGTGCGTGCGTCGCCGTTGGCCTCGCGGCACATGCGCGCCGTCTCGGAGAGGCCGTCCTCGTCCTTGTCGAGGAGCGCGATGCGTTTGCAGCCCTCGCGGGCGAAGGAGATGGCGACTTGCCGGCCGATCCCTGACCATGTGTTAGGGCAATCTCATTCTTGAGATAGATTTTGAGGAAATTGAAGGCCTTGAATCTTTCATCTGCATGAAACGACGAAGAACTAGAGATGTCGACCTGGCAGAAAATGTTTAACAACGTACCGGAGGCAGCACCCGTCACGACGGCGACGCCCTCAAACAACGACATTTTTGCTCTGTTGATCATGTATTCGTGTCAGTCGAGCCTCCGAAACCAATTAAGACCATTCGCATTGAAAAGGAGACTTGATAGGTTGAGCGATACAGATCTCCTCAAAATGACGATCTTGTGATGTATTCAGTCTGTAAGCGGACCCAATCCCATCCGCCGCACACATTACCCGTGTTGAAGAGTCAGCGTCAGCACACTCACACCGTAAAAAAAGGCACCTAGTCATTTTTTTTCTACCTGTTCGTCTCTAGAACTCAATTCCGTATAACTCAAAATGGAAGCCCTCGCGAATTTTCATTTTGGCCGGGCCGGCACGGACTCACTGCCTGTATTGTCCCGTCCGGCCACCCCCCATCTTCGTCTGAAGTCGTGCGATTCGTCATGTGAACTCTGCTCTGGAAAGACGCACCGAAGAAAGGAACACGTAGCCCTACTGCGTATTGACGCACGCGAACCGGGCCGGTGGTTGTCATCAGTAATTACAAACGGAAAGGTTTCGTAACTCAAACTTGGCTGATGTTTTTGCTGCTCATGAACCACATGTTCAGATCGATGCGGATCGGCGGCTTCTGAAATAGCTTCGACCTGACTCTCATAATCGTTCATTCTTGTTATTTTAACTTATTCTATTTTATTCTGAGCAATTCAAATTCCTCGCGGACCTGAAAGGGTCCATAAAGGGGTTGTGGTTCAAGTTACCGGATCTCCACGGTCAATGGTTCGCACGGATGAGGTGTCCGTTGACATTCGTATCCGGATATGAGCTGTGACGCCGTTTTGGTAGCTTGGGGTATTTCCGGGTTGAAACAGTTCTATGACTCTGGACTATTGTCTTCTGGAACATGCACAGAAGTCGGCACGTCATAGCTCTTTAGCAACCAAGCAACGAACGAAGACAAGCCTCGAATCATTGCCAAACCGCTGGAGGAGAACAGTCTCTATTCTCTGGCTCAAATATCACAAATCACTTTTTGGTCCCAATCCCGTTTATTCAACAACCCATCCCTTCCCTGCGACCTTGCGCTGCGTAACCTTCTTCATTGGCAAAGGCCATCCCTGACCCCCGATGCCCTCGGCCCGCAGATACGGCACTACCCACACCTCGCGCGTACTCGCCGTTGAGCTGATCTCCTTCACCGGCTTGCCGTAGCTCACGAGCGGCGTTCCCTTGGCCAAGCTCGCCAGCTGTCCTCCCGTGACGTCCGTGAGCGTGTGCATCCTCGTCTTGGGCGTTTTGGCCGGGTCGCCCTGCGTCGCGCGCTGCAGGTGCGAGTACACCACGTACTCCGGGCACTCCACCGGGCTGAGGTGTGACAGCGGCGAGGACGGGTGGATGTAGACGTACTTCTCCGCGTCGTGGCCCACGCCGAGCGGCGACAGGGGGATGTACGGCACGTCGATCGCCCGGCGCGGCTTGCGCGCCAGCTCGGGCGGCACGGGGGACTTGTCGGCGCGGAGGGCAACCTGGTCGATGAAGCCCGCGGCGACCATCTGCTTCAGATACGCGACCTGCTTGTCGGACGGCGCGTCCAGCTTGTCCTGGTACTTGAGGTTCTTGAACGCCGGGATGTTGGCGCGGAGGAGCTCGGTGATCTGGCCGCGCAGCTGCGTGATCTCCTTCATGACCTTGTACCGGACGAAGTGGTCCTCGCACCAGCGCTCCGTCGGCTCGTGCGCGTACTCGCCGATGACCTGGAGGAGCTTGATGGCGTCGGAGCGGTCGTCGAGGTAGCAGAACTTCTTGTGCGCGGCGTTGAAGGCGCGGCGGACCTTGTCCTGGTGGGCCTCGGCGGCGACGTCCGTGTTGGTGCGGATCTCGGAGTCGTCCTTGGCCGCGAGGGCGGGGATGGCTTGATGTTCCGGGACGAAGATCTCGGCGGCGGACAGGGCCGCGACCATCATGATGGTGTAGGGGAGGCAGTCGTGCTGGTGACCAACGAGGAGGATGCGAGCGAAGCGCGGGGAAAGGGGAAAGATAGACATCGTAGACCCGATGCGCGTGACTTGGCCCTCGGGAGAGATGGCCGAGAGGTACGTCAGCAGCTTTTCCGCCTTGCGCAGACCCATGCGATCCGGTGGGGTCGGGAACGGGAAGTTGACGACGTTGGAGAGATTCATGGCCTTGAGCTGGAGGACGACGCCGTCGACGGGCATGCGGAGGATCTCCGGGTCGGTAAACTCGGGCAGATCCCGCTCGTAGACCGCTGAGGAGTATAGTCTGTAGCAGTGACCGGGACCCGTACGACCGGCACGACCCGCTCGCTGGCTGGCGCTGGCCTTGCTGATCCAGCCGATTTCGTAGGTCTGCACGCCGCTGAGGCGGTCATACTGGCGCTCCTTGGCTCGACCGCAGTCGAATACGTAGCGGATGCCCGGAATGGTCAAACTTGTTTCTGCGACGTTGGTTGCTAGGATAATTTGACGTGTGTTTTCCGGTGGTTCCTCGAACACCCTCATTTGTTCCCTGGTAGGGAGCAGAGAGTATAGAGGGAGTACTTGCATCTTCAGGGGTCCTGTCTCCCCTTCCTCTCCTTCGATTTCGAACTCCTTGTCGTCTTCGCCTTCCATATCATCATCATCAAGCCCGTCATCGATCTCACCGAAATCCGCGTCATCAACATCGCCAAAATCGATATCCTCAACCTCCATAGGTGCCTCGGTGGCAGAGATTTGAACCTTGGGTGCACTCGCCCCTGTAAACCCTCCAAAGGCGGCACGCAGCTTCTTGCTCAGGTGCATAATCTCGTTTTGACCAGTGAGGAAGACGAGGAAGCCACCCGGAGGCAGCTTCTTGTGGCCTCGCATGATCTTGTTGTAGGCCTCCTCGACGTAGTCGGACTGTGTTCGACGGGAGAAGTGAATCGTGACGGGATGTTGGCGGCCCTCCACCTCGCACACGGGAGGCGGAGTCGGGAACAGAATGGCGTTGTTGGTCATGTCTTCGACACGGAGCGTAGCAGACATGATGATGATCTTAAGGGGCTTGATCGCGGGGTCGACCTTGTCGTCTCCCTTGCGGATGTTGTTGATGCGACTCAGCATGCCGATCAAGATATCAGTGTTGACGCTTCTCTCGTGAGCTTCGTCGATGATGATGGCCGAGTACTTCTTCAACGAGAAGTCCTGCGCCATCTCTCGTAGTAACACACCATCCGTCATGAACTTGACGGCCGTCTTGGCCGAAGTTGTACCCTCGAAACGGATCTGGTAGGCGACTCTGTCCTCGTGGTCTCCCAGCTCCTGCCCAACACGCTTCGACATGCTCACCGCCGCGACTCGACGAGGCTGCGTGACACCAATCATGCCCGGCGTGTCGGAGTTCGGTGAGCCGTAGCCCGCCTCGTACAGGAACTGGGGCACCTGTGTTGTTTTACCGGAACCAGTGGCACCGCAGACGACGATGATGTCGTTGCTGTGTATCATCTCCATGATCCGCTGCTCTTCCGCCACGACTGGGAGCTTCATGCGTGCTTCCTGGATCTCGGACGATCTCGTTACCGCAACGGCGTAAGCCTTGCGAGCAAGATTCGTCGTCGGGAGGAGCTCCTGCGGCAGCGGCTCCTGCTCCATAGGTCGAGGGGTGAAGTTCTCCGGCTTCGGGAGATCTAAGAGTGTTGATGAAGGCGTCGTTGGTTGGTATCCCAGGGCCTGATTCCTTTGAGCGTGTGCCCAGGCTTTGAAAGCAGATTGTCTCTTGCTGCCCGAGTCGTCGTCGTCCATGTCCTCGTCCGAGTCGTCGTCGCCCTCACTCGATTCCTCCTCCTCGGATTCCTCTTCTGAAGATTGCTCATCTGAGCTCTCGTCCTCGTCCTTCTCGTCTGCGTCTTCGCCTTCTGAACTGAAGCCACCCCATTCTTCCTCTGCGTCGTCTGCCTTTTCGGGTTCTACGATGGTAAACTTTGACTGAACACCGCCTCTCTTCTGACGTTTCCTCAGAACCGGGCGACCTTCCTCGTCGACGTCGAGTGGGCGCTTCAAACCAGATCCGACGGAAGCTGCGGGTTGCGGTTGTGATTGCGGTTTCGATTCCGGCGGTGACTCCGGCTTCTGCTCCGCCTTGGAAACCGGCGCAGGCTCGGCCGCTGTCTTGCCCTTCGTCGCCTTCGACACCGTCTTCGCCGTCTTCGGTGCCACAGTCGGTTTAGGCGCCTCCAGAGCCTTGGGTGCCTCATCTTCCTCACTCTCAGACTCCTGCTCAGGCGTCTCACCCCTCTCCTCGTAAAGCATCTCCTCCGCGTCCGCGTCGACATCCAAGCCCGCGTTCTTCTCCCGCAGCGCGCGCGTCAAGGCCTGCCTCTTCGTCTCCCTACCCTGGCCCAGCGACTTGGTGCTCGTGAAGAGGCTGGTGTCGACCTTTTGCTGCGCGAGCTTGGCCAGGATCTCTCTGTTCTCGTCCTTGCGCAGCTTCGTCGTGATGTACTTGTCCATGCGCTTCGCCTTCTTGCCGCTGACCTTGGCGCCATCCTTGAGCAGCTCCGCCTTGATCTGCGCCCTCTTCTCCTGCAGCCGCTTCTGGTCCTCCGGGAGGATCTCGTCGGCGTTGGGGTCCTCCGCGAGCACGCCGTTCTCCTCGGCCTTTTGGCGGGCGATCTTTTTGTGCTTCCGCTCTCGGCGAACGAATTTGCCGGCCATTTTGGATAATTCTCGGTGCCTGCGAGGGCAGAGCGGGATATGCTGATTTGTTGGTTGTTGAGGCGATAGTCCGGATGCAAGTCCCCTGGCGCCGAACTTGGCTCAGGAAATCTCAAAGTGAGATTGACGATTGAGTCTCAATCCGGTGTCGTTGACAGAGCCACCGATCTCTCCGAAAATATGCAAAAATGAAACAAAATTACAGAAAGAGTCACAGATTCGAGTTAAAGAGATTCCTTATCTCTCTCGGGGTATCAAAATTTGGTCAACAAAAACCAAGCTCTTTCACTCTGCCATTCTCACAGCGCCTGGAGGGGCGATAAGATCTTCAATCAGAAAAAAAAGTCTGGAAATTTTTGGCTTGCAAAGGTTCTGCCGCCCTGACCGCCCCGAAACCCTCTACTTCCGGATTAGCGCGGTCCCTGCGGGGGCGATCAGAACCCCTGTCCCGGCCGCTACAGTGGGGCGGGGCCGCCGACGTCGACTGGCCGTTCGCTGTTCCATTGATGACTGTGGACTGGAGCTCTCCAATTCAACGAAACGTCAAATCGACCTTTCATTCTTCTATTCGGATTTCATTGCAAGTAAATTGATATCATAATATCAAACTGGTAATTCCTCCTGCTTTGAGATAACCACACTGCCTGCACCAAATCATGGATCCTCAAGAAATCAGAGAAGAAGCGTTCCCTGCGCGGAGCAAACAGGACACAGGCACAGTCAACGGCGTCCCCACAGAGGTCACATCCATGGCCTTCTCCGACAAGATCGTGATCACAATCTCCCAAGAAGGAAAACTCTCACAATGGGTATCTCTTAAGACATCATCATCATAATCATCATCCAAAATACTAACTGCCGTCCAGATTCAAGTCCCGCTCCAGGCCTCCTCGGGCGGCATGGTCGACCTCAACCTCCCGTCAAACAGCCGCGGCCTGCTCCCCTCGGTCCATCTCACGCCCAAGACCCTCCTCGGAGGCGGAGGCGACGAGCGCGAGACCCTCGGCCAGCTGTACGCCGCTCAGATCGCCAGCCTCGTCTCCACCCGGGACCCCGAGGACCGCAGGACGCTGGTCCTGGGGCTGGGCCTCAACAAGGTCGACACCGAGCGGGAGGCCTTCTTCGACACCGTCGAACTGGTTCAAAAGGTTCTTTGAAGGGCTTCCTCGGCGTTTATGAAACTTGTCCGGAAATCGGCAGAGATCTGCCGGCGCAAGTGTCGCCACGCTCCCAGACCACGACTCCGCCCTTCTCCGACATAATAGTTGGCTTGGAGCGCTGCGATACCGCCACATATACTCAACAAGCCTTGAAGGGAGAACGTAGGGCGTACGGATGGGGACACAGGGGAGGATGGAATTTGGATCTCCCCATAATGGTTTAGTTTTGCCCAATTCCAAAGTCCGCCTTGTATCGCACCGTAGAAGGACAGCATCTCATTTGATCGCATGCGGTGACGATGCTCCTCAGTGTGTATTGAAGAGTTCGACATGAGCCTGAGATTTCAGAACAAATAATGCAGTGGGCTTTCTTCGAGGATGAAATAGACTCAACTGCAACATCGTGAAACATATCTACACGGTACGCGGTGTGGTGAATCAGCACAGCTTTTAAAATCAATATTGCGCTATTCAATTTTTTCGCTGTCTTGAAGATACTGTGTCAGTCATCGAACCGGCGTACTCATATAATCCATCATTTCGGCCCCTACTCCTCAGTTGTACGCAGCGTCGTACTCAGTAAGGTACATACATAGGTAGTTCGGTCCCGACACTTCGTCCGATTTGTTCCATCAACCTCTAAAATGTCGCAATTCTCGGCTCTCCGTCCCAGTCCTCAATGTTCCTTGGTGAAAATGTTGAATCCGTCATTTTCGACACGTGTCGAAGTTTCGATTTTGCAGCGTCTTCGACTTGTTTTTTAATGTTTTTGACGTAGACTTTTGATGGCGTGTTTACTCCTCGCAGCAGTCCGTCCAATGCGTCCCAGAGACCATTGTAAGCCCAGCAGTCGTTCAGGTGTTGCGAACAGAGCGCCGGCTCGTTGTGTTGTATCGGAAACACTTCGATTGCAACATGCCTTAAACGTACATGCGCCGAGAACAGCATCATAGCTTCTGTCCAATTTTTCTGTGCCAAATAGAGGGCGCCGAGAGTTAAGCTGGTGGGTAGCACCCAACCCTCGGCCGAAAATTCGAGTTCCATCGCCTCACGGAGGACAAGTTCAGCTTCTTCGAGTTCAGCCTCCCTGTACAGCAACTCCCCGTCAAGCCTCTTTTCGACAAAATCGAGGAAGGGCTTGAAGCTCATATTCAACATGGGGCTTTTGCTGTTGACTTTGTCCCTAGCTTCGGAAAGTAATCCTTGATGCTTCCTCGCATTTGATTGATCGTTCAGAGCAGAATATGCGATGGCTTTGGCGAAATGAGTGATAACCGTCGTCATGGAATACATGTCCTCATCGGTAGGTATTTCGAGACAGAGAATCCTTTTCCAGCATCCAAATCTGAGCAGAACTTGAACTCTGAGGGAAAGCAAACATTCCATGTGAAAACCCAGCGGGGGGAGTTGTGTGAGAGGGATGTTGCGTTTCAAGAGATCCTCGATATCTTTGACTGCGTCCATGGCCGCCTTGAGTTCGCCCTGGTCTATCCCGATCTTGATTCGGTTGCAATACTCATGCAGTAGGTAGACGGTGTAAGGATCGTACAGGCCTGCCCTTATTACGTATTTGAAACTCGCTGTGACCGAATTCTCGCTGGTCTTAAGAGCTTTGCCATACTGACCGCAGCTCATTTGAAGGCGTGAAATGGTGTGATGCAGAAAACCAGCATCGCCAGCCAGCTCACCCAGTCTTTCTGCGTAGCGTTCGGCCATTTCGGGACAAGACAGTGTCTGGGCCAGGTTTACGAGAGTGCACAAGAAGCCTGGATGACGCAAACAGCTCTTGTCCTCTTCGATGTGATTTGCCATGATGTGCAGCATGTCCATAACCTGACCGGGTGTCGCTCCGTCGTATTCATTCACACACCACTTGTCCCAAGAGCCGAGATTGAGAACGGCGTCGACGTAGATGGTGAGGATGTCTGTATCGTTAGAGAATTTGAAGTAAGCTGTTCGTATGGCTTCTTTGAAGGCCTCTTTGCGACTACGACCATCCCGATCATCTTCCAACATCGTGCCAGGGTTCGGAAGAAGCTTCTTCACGGCGTCGGCGAGTGCGCTCTCGGCATCGTCTTGTGTTGCGCCCGGCAATGCTGTCGCCGATCGGGCGTGGATACCATGGTACTTTTCTATTCCTGCACCTTTAGCCCAGGACGTCCCGAGACAGTAGGCGATTCCCCAGGCCGGCATGATGCTTTGGTGGTCGTGGCACCGTGCTATCTGGAAACAGCGTATAGCCTCGTTGAAATTGTGGGCGTAGGTCCAAAAGAGTCCTCTGTTGAACCATAGCTGACAGTTTGCGTCCGTGGTGTTGATTTTTCGCTCGAAAGATCCAGTATGGTAAAGATAATCGTCCTTTTGTCCCTGACTGGGTTTTACGAGGTCAGGCATGGTTTGTTTTCTCAACCACTCAACTACCTCATGCACATTTTGTAGCTTTTCTTCCTCAGGTGCTGGCTCTAGGTCGTCGGGTGTTGACTGCCGTGCTGACTGCTGTGGTGGTTGTCGTGCTGATTTTTGTGATAGTTGTTGTGCTAGTTGTCGTACTAGTTGTTTTGATGGTTGCTTGGCTGGTTCTTGTGCTGGTTCTTGTGCTGTCTTCTTCGCTCGCCTGTTCGCTCTCCTCTTCACTCGCTTGCTTTTCATCTTCTCTGATATCTTCTTCGCCTTGGTCTTCGCCGTGTTCATGGCCGCCCTCATGATTTTCTTTGTTGCCGACTGAGCGCCTGGATTGGAGTGATTGGCCATGTTTGAAAGTAAGTAGGTCTGTTTCGGGGTTCTTGTTCGTGAAATGATGTGTAGTCAATGATGGGAAGTTCTGATGCAATAGAGCAGACGTGTAGACGATTGTGGTAATGATGCGTTGCTGGATTGACGGATGGATGTTGGGATGAAGTTGGTTCCGTCGTTGGCAGCAGGGCAGGCAGAAGAAGGGACCGTTGCTCACCAGGCAGTGCCAGTTCCGCTGATGTTATTCAATCAGAGGAAGGACGGAAGCTGTCTGCCTGCCTCAACTGCCTCATGCTATTCCAGCTTGGGAGCTGCTGGATGGCAAGTCCACCCCCGCCCATGGACGCCCGGATTTGGTGTCGTGGTTGTCGCTGCCGTCGTGACTGCCATTGTTGCTATTGTTCTTACCTTCTCTGTGCTTACTCCTGAGTAACGAGACCAGAACGCTTGCCGCTGTTTTAGACATTGAAAAGTCCGGATAGAACCAATTGGAGATCGGGGAAGGAGCTGTCGTTAGATGTCGGCCGGATAACCACACCCACATTTCACCAGAGCCGGCTCCGGACCGGAAACCCCATAGACCCCGCTCGCGAACCGGGCCTCGGGAATAAGAAACGTACGGACACCGACGGGGTGTTGCTAGATGATGCATAATGCCATGTACCAATCACCACTGCGTGCGGAGAAAGAGGAGAGGGAGGTGGTGCTCGGTTGTTGTTGACATCATCTGAACATCGTCTCCAACAACTCTGAAAACACCAAACCAATTCACGCCCACATTAAGCCCTGATAAGTAACTGCTTGAGAGAACACGATGAAGAGAATCCAGCAGCTCGGGCAACAACTACTCACCTCTGACAAGAAAGAAACCATGGTTTCGGGTGTCACTCTCAACGAGAACGGCATCCCGCCCTTCGAGTCCCTCCCTCTCGGAAAAGATGACCCCAGATACTCCGCCTGGGGTCTGTACGGCGACAAGGACGAGTTGGGATCTCTGAACAGACTGACAGACGAGCGAGTCGCCGCGGCAGCCAGGTCCGAGATCAAGACGGGGGCGAGGTCCGACTTCCGTTCCTACCTATGAACTCTGAAGACATGGACTAACACGCCCCCAGAGTATCTCTCAACTGGTCCCTCACTGCGCAGCCTGAGCCCTTCTTCGCCCGCCAGGCCTTCCGCCACGACATCATCCCCAAGCCCCCGTTCTTCGCCAACGACGACATCTGGACCTTCAACTCGCAGTCCTCGTCGCAATGGGACGGCCTGCGTCACTGCGGCTACCAGAACGAGAAGAAGTTCTACAACGGCGTGACCATGGAGCAGGTCCACGCTGTTGACGGCGAGGGCAAGAAGTCCGACGTGCTCGGTATTCAGGGTAGGCTACTCTCCATTTTCATAGCTCATAGTCGATACTGAGCGAGACCACAGCCTGGCAAAAACACGGCATCGTCGGCCGCGGCGTCCTCGTCGACTACCATAGCTGGCGTCTGTCGCAAAACAAACCTTACGACCCCTTCGCCCACGACTCCATTCCAGCCTCGGACCTCAAAGCCTGCCTCAAAGCGCAGGGTACAGAGGTGAGATTCGGTGACATCCTCTTCACCCGTACAGGTAATCACTCTCTGCGCTTGAGCACTTGAAGGCAATCACTCACTCACTCGCCACAGGCTTCATGGCAGCCCACGCCACCAAGACCCCCGCAGATCTCCAAACCTACCGCGTTGCCGAGCCCCAAGTCTTCAGCGGGGTCGCTCAGTCCGAGGAGACGATCCGCTGGGTCTGGGAGAACTTCTCCGCCGTTGCGGGCGATCAACCGACGTTCGAGTGCTGGCCCCGCCGGGATCCGCAGTACTGGATGCACGAGATCTTCCTCGGCGGCTGGGGCATGCCCATCGGCGAGTTATTCGACCTCGAGGCTTTGGCCGAAAAATGCAAGCAGGAGAATAGATGGAGTTTCTTCGTATCGAGCGAGCCGTGCCATGTTCCCGGTGGCGTCGCCAGGTGAGTACAAGGTGCTCTTCACGAGCTTCGCTTCGCTGACTTTGTGTGATTTCAGCCCTCCAAACATTCTTGCGATATTCTGACAAGTAAAATTGTCAATAGCACGGCTTAATTGCGTTCGACGATTTGCTTGTGCGAAGGGAATTGACTGAATTGATGTAATTGATTGTTCATTGAGACGGCTAGAGCGTCGCATCGCTGTTACGCCAAGAAGCCACTGATAGGAGATCCATGTCCTCACTAGTGTGTCTATGTCGAGAAGACTTGAAGCAGGGAATCTTTTCGATTAAGAGTCGTTTGCATATAGCCTACCTGAAATATGAACTGTAACCTCTGGTCAGTTCCATCACAGGCTGAACCGCTTTAATAACCGCTTTAATAGCCAAAGGTGAAGGCGATTCAAGTCCCCCGATAAACCCAGGCATCATATTTGAATGACGTTTCCGAGTGAATTTGCGTGTCAGCCTTCCCGGCTGACCCTGATGATGAAAGGCATTGCCAATTCTGACGCCCTGATTGTGCTTTGCATCGCTGAGCCTCTATCACACACGTGTTCTATGATCCAGAACTGTCGCATCATCCCTTATCTCTTACGATCGCTGTGTGGATTGTCAGTTTTGAGGTCTCCTACTGCAGGATGCAAAGTGACTCACGTGCTCAGTCTCCTCGACAGCTGCTGCAACTTCTTATCGTTGGCAGCATCCTCGGCCGCCTTTTCCAAAGCCTGCTTTCTCTCCTCCTCTTGGTGCTTCACAACCTCCTCGTGGCTAGGGGGCAGCCTTTCGTTCTGCAAGTCGACCTTGCGAGCATCCTCAAAGGTATTGATGGCGTTCTTGATACCCTCGGCACCGAGCATGAGCGTTCCAGCGGGCAATCTGCCACCAGAAACAGTCTTGAGCTCTGTGACCCGCTCAGACTCCTCACGCAGCACCTGGAAGACACGCGAAAGACGCCCGATAGCCAAGATCTTGTTCTTGATGGCTCGTCGCTTGTACTCGATCGATTCGGGGTCCTGGGGCAAGGCTCCGGACAGGGGAGGCGACAGAGGCCCAGGTGATGTGGAGGAGGGAGTAGCATCCTCCTTGAGTTCCTCTTCGGAGCATGTGCTGAGAATGGCGATGAGCATGTCCGTGATCTTCTCTCCGACGAACGGCAGCGACCAGGTGAAGACGTCCATGAAGTTTGGCAGCCAGTACGGGTGAGGCGTGCAGTTGAACTGACGAATGTTCATGACATTGTTCTCGTACTTCAAAACGGCAGCCTTGTTGTTATAGACGTCCAAGTAGTTGGGTGCGGAGAAGATGGTCATGACACTAGGGAATCCAGTGGTGCGCGTCTTCCGATACATTCGGTAGCCTGCATCCTGCGCCTCGTGGGCTCGAATGACGGAGAGCAGGTTGTTCTTCTCCAGGAAGTTGCAAGCGGCCGGGTAGGAAAAGAAGTACGAGCAACCACGGACGTGGTTGTGCAGGAAGTAATCGCTGGTCTTTTCTTGTCCAAAGTCCTCGAGAGGATCAGCCCAAAGAATGTCGCACATGAGTCCCTGGGTCGGCGGCTCGCGGAATCGGTCGATCTGGATTGTATTGTTAGTTTAAGCGGGAATCACGAGACTGGAAGCTACCGCAACTCACGTTTCGCAAGTCGTCCAGAGTGTGGAGCTCGGGACTCAGGCCACCGTGGATGCACAAGAACTGCTTGTTCATAACGGCAGCCAGAGGAAGACTGCAGAAAGACTCCATGCAGGCTTCGTAGATGGACTCAGAGTACTTGTGCTTGCACTCGAGCTTGAAGGTGAAGTAGTCGGTCAAGTGGCGACACTCGTGGTTGCCGCGAAGCAGCCACAGGGTCTTGGGGTAGTGGATCTTCAAGCACCAGAGGTAGAGGACACACTCGATACTGAAGTAACCTCTATCGACGTAGTCACCGAGGAAAAGATATCTTGTCTCAGAAGGGTCGCCACCAACTTCGAACAGCTTCATGAGGTCGTAGTATTGGCCGTGAACATCACCGCATACGGTGATGGGCGCATCCATCTCGAGGAGGTTGGGCTCGGCACGGAGCAGCTCGGTGGCGGTTCTGAGAATCCATAGGGCCTGCTCTTCGGTCAAGCGACCTTCGCGGTAGAAATGCTGCTTGAGAAAGTTGATGTTGGGCTTCGTGTGAGTTTCGTCCTCGAAGAACTGCTCATCAGAGGGAGTGAACATGGCGGGAGCTTGGACGTCTAGGAGTGGGAAATCAAGTTAGCGCGATTGATCGCCAGGCGGGGCATGATGGTAGCAAAACGAGGGGCATCGTGACGCAGTCGACGGGATGGCGGTGACTAGAACGATCTCGACAGAGTGTTGCGTACCTTTGCAAACTCGCTCGAGAGTGTTGACTTGGGTGCCATCTTCCATAGTATGGATGGTGAAGTCAATCTCGGGCAGAGGCTTCTTCTCGCGAATAGCGCGAATGGCATTGTCGACCTGCTGATTGCGGCGGTCTTCAGGAGCAGCCGCGCTGGCTCCTTCGGGGTCCATGATGTGTGGCTAACGAGTCGAATGAGACGACAGTAGAGGATAAGGTCCTGATCGAGTCGAGGGCGATGGCGAGGGCGAGGGCGAGGGTGTTCGGTCGGGTATCGATGATGCGGAGGAACAGAGCGGTGAACGAGGGTAAGGGTAGCGCCAGCTCCTTATCAAATCGCAAAAGGCCTACAAAGAGGCGAGCTGGGTTGCGGCGAGTCGTCGAGCACGAGACGGCGAAGACCAGGCGAAGGCAAGGCAATGCGAGGCGAGGCGAGGGGTAAAAATTGAGGTGAGGAAAGATAGGGCTGAGAAGGGGGAGTTGGGTGAAGGGGATGGGACGGGATGGGATGCACTGCACTTCCACAGCAAGTCCAGTGTCTAGTTTGCTGTGCAGTCGCCAGTTTGCAATTGGGTGCTCCAATCTTACAGGCTGTTAACCGGGCCTTTGCTGAATACGGGTGTACGCGCCGCTGCGGGTTGCTGCTGGGAGAGAGCTGGTTCTGCGCATTCCGGGATGAGGTAGCATGCCCGGCACCTCACAGAGGTCGGCTCGGTCAGCCACTGATACCATCGAAGCCCCAAGACCCGCGGCCAGCGAATCCACTGCACCCTTACTGCTGCTGATGGCTGCTAAGGTAAGCTGGAAACTGAGGTGGGAAAGCTGGAACGCACACCTCAGATGAATTGGCAGGTGGCACACGCCAGATGTCCGCGGACGGCGGGGTGACGAGAGATATGAAAGACCTTAATCTACACTCATTTTTGGTGTTAATTCAAGTATCGCCTATCATCCCCTCGGCTCTGGGTCCTCAGACGAGAGGCAGCCGCAGGCTCAATTGTGCAGGCAGCCTGTCAAATGCGTCCAGTTGCCTCTCCCGCCCCCACTTCGTCGCAAAACGGTACGTACCCGTGGTCCCTCGACGCCCCTCACTTTTTCCACTTTGCTCCAGCTCTAATCCTGCTCCGATCCTGCTTAGGTTGGCTTCAGTCTTGGGAACCTGAATTTCCACGATGCGGATTGGACCGTCTTGCGCAACGGCACCTCCATCTATCACCATTGTACTGGTCACATCGTCACGCGACACTTTCAAATCGCCACTTGCAGCAATGGTCTCGTTTGTACTTTGTCTCGTATCTAACGTCTAGCTCTCATCAAGCTCTTCGCCTTTTCACGGGTATCCATCTTCAGCTCTCTATCGTCGATTTGTCTTCCAAGATACCACTCAAGGACGGCCGCCATATCGACAATGACAACGACAACAACAGTAACGGCGGCAGTTGCCGACTCGATCCTCATCTTCGACACGGCTCGTGCTCACCTATCTGGTCGATGCTTTTGCGAACGACTCGCCGCCAGCTTGGCTACTGTCCCATTCTGCAGCTGCTCCCGGCCCCGTGCCTGTCGTCAAATTCTCTCATGAGTTGGTGCAAGACCATACTGACTCATGGAGCATCGCGGCTCCCCTCGAAATCCCTCAGTCTTATCTCGTCTATGGCAGGCAGTAGCCTCCGTCCACAATGAGGTCGCAACCAGTCGTGTACGAGGCGGCATCCGAGGCAAGGTACAAGTACGCGCCCTTGAGCTCCTTAGGTTCTCCTTCGCGTCTGGACAAGTCAGCTACCGCGTACGTATTTCTCGTCGCCAACCGACAACTTACCCCATAGGAGTCTTATTCCTCCACTGCTTTTTGGACTCTTCGGGGACGAAGTCGGTGATCTCGGTCTTGATGTATCCGGGGGAGACGGTGTTGACGCGGGCAAAGTCAACCCATTCTACAGCCAAGCTCTTGCCTATTCATCGTGTTAGCCTTGGGTTGGCCAAGCCAAAACGCATCACCTACAGAGGTGGATCACAGCCGCTTTGGAGGCGTTGTACACGGTCTGCGCCTGCGGCACATTGACAATGTGACCACTCATGCTGGCAGTGGCGATGAAGCTGCCGTAGGTGAAGCCTTCGAGCGGCTTGCCGTCGAGCGTCGTGCCCTCCTTCTTCTGGCGGCGGAAATGCGCACCGGCGACCTGAGCGCAGTAAACAGTGCCGTTGACGTTGACGGCCATGACTTTGTCGGCCTTGTCCATGGGACCGTCGATCAGTGGCCCCTCCTCCCATGCGATACCCGAGTTTGCGACAAACACATCGAGACGGCCGTTGAATTCGGAGACGATCTGCTGGACGGATTCTTGAATCGACTGGTGAGAAGTGACGTTCACCTGGTAAGCCTTGCCTTTGGCAAAGGTCAGTAACTCAACAGCCGGTCACTTAGTGGTCGACCATAACCTACACTTGACACCATATTCCTTCTCAATCTCGGCGGCGCGCTCCAGGGCCTTCTTATTGCTGTTGTACCAAATAGCAACATTCGCGCCAGCTTCGGCGTAGGCATGGGCGATGTTCAAGCCAATTCCGGCGCCAGCGCCAGAGACAATGGCCGTCTTGCCCTTGAGCGAGAACAGCGGCAACACACGGTTTCCAGCAGGAGGCTCCGTGGCATTGTTCTTGAAAGCACCGTCCTTCATATCCGCCATGTTTACGATGGCCGTCGAAAAGGGCTGGAATCTCGCGGTTCTGCTGGCGGTTGCGACACGGGGGACACAGAGGACTCGAGGCCGCGAGACCGCAGCACGGAGGACGGAACCGAACATTTTATTGAGAGGCGACAGGGAGATTTGGCCGCAAGAGGCTTTTGATTTGAATTGACTTGACAGGGTACCAGGGAGGAAGCTTCACCGCAATCTAGGGGTCTTGACTCTTGAAGATTCCACGAGAGGGTCACGAAGAGTGCGAGGGAGGAAGCTAATACTAATACCAGTTTGGCCGGCGCGCCGCGGCAATGAGTGCCCCTGGTCCAACGCACCTGGGCCGACGGAACAATCTTGAGCGAGGTGACGCCAGTGGAGCTTGAAGCAAAGAAGGGTAGCTCTGAGCTGCTGTGCCGTCCTGTTACCTTTCAAGGATTTGAATAATGGAGGGGCAGCGCCGCGGCTTTGGCTCGTGTCATTGGCATCATGGCCGTCTTCAGGGTTAATGACGGCACTAAGGTAGGTAGCCCAGTCTTCATGCCGCATGTGTTCTTCAACCTCGGGCGCCGCCGGGGGTCTTGGTGGGGGGTGCACTGGTGCCATGGGGGTCCGGGGCTCGGGGGTATTCGGGTCACATTGCTCCAGATTCCTCCAGATTGGGCGTCTTCGAACATGCCAAAGTTGATTTTACCGCGGCGCTGATGCTTGTACGGGGCCCTGAATCGCGGGGCTCATCGGGGGCTAAAACGATCCCCGCTTCAACTCGACTGGCGCGCTTCTAGCTTCGAGTCGTCTGGAACACCTGCCCGAACCGGCCTGCAAACCTCGTCCGCGATACCCAAGAATGAGGGTTCAAGGGACGATATCAACCGCTTCCGACGCCTTGTGTGTTTATTCGTTCCGCGCCAGCCATCTCGCCCTTCCAAACCTCATGCTATGCGCCAAATGCAACTCCCACTCGCCATGCTATGACCCAGACACCTCGCTCCATGCCCACTCTTCAACCAACAACCTGGTTCAGAACGTGCTCGCGGGGAAAGTTTGTGTTTCTCCAGCGCGAGATGAAGTCGTCTCGGTTGACTGAATCGTGTTAGCCGAGTCACCGTTCTGAGTATGTCTGAAGTACTCACTGTAGGCACCGCAAATGCGTCTTCTTCCCTCGAAAGCACTGCGGCCATGCATCACCCTCCAGTTGTCAAAAACTGAGTAACAAAAGTCAGCAACCGCCTCAACACGCACTCGGCGGGAAAAAACTCACTCAAGACCTGTCCCGGCTTCAACTGGACCCAGTACTCGACGTCGGACCTGCGCAGGATGGCATCCCACTTGCGCGCGGCTGCGTACCACTCCGTCGGGGACACGTCCTTGGTAAAGGGCACGACGCCGCGGTCGTCGTTGTTCCACCGCACGCGGTGCAGCTCGCCCGTCTCCTGGTCCAGCTCCAGCACGGGGTACCTCTTGTCGGGCGAGATGGTGATGCCCTGGTTGCCGCTCGCGTGCCAGGGGAGCCGCACCTTGGCGAGGATGTCGTAGGCCCCGGGGTCCTCGCGCTTCAGGATCCGCGCGGCGTGGAAGGCGTCCACGAGCAGCGACTCGCCGCCGAGCTTGCCGTCCGCGGGCGCGGGCTGGTTCGGCGGGGCCTCGTGCGAGAGCATGTGGAAGGCCTGCAGGCCGGCCGGGTCGGTGAAGTAGGTGGTGTCGGTGTGCGCGGGGAGGGCGATGTTGGTGTAGGCGGTGTCGGCCATGGCGAGGTCGGGGATGAAGTCGTAGAAGCCGCCGTAGTGCGTCTCGCGGATGAAGGCGATCTTTTCGAGGACGCGCTGGGTCGGTTCCGGGGTCTCGTAGGGGGTTCCGTCGACGAAGGCGAAGCCGTATTCGCGCTGCCGGGCGGTCAGTTTCATATACGCGGGTGCATTGTCCGGTGAAGAGTGCTCACGATCAACTTCGTCAGCTTGGCGACGCCTGATTCGTCTCCCGAGCTCATGAGGTGGTCGTACTCGACGACTGGACGTCTGTTACCGACATCCGAGCCCCAGAAGTGATAGTTGACCTGCTCCGGACTGCGGTGGTCATCTTGGACGTAATGCTTAAGGAATTGCCAAGGGTAGAAGCTCTGGTGACCGTCCTGCTCCCCTGTTCTGCTCGTCAAATTCGTGTTCCACGTCTAGATTACTCAGACGAGTGTCATAACTTACACTTTACCTTGATACCTTGCTCTTCGGACTTGACTTCCACCGGACGGATATCCTCGCTTATCTACGAAATCGATGATCAGTTGGGACGGATTTTGAGTTGAGTGAGATGGGGTGGCATACGGCGTATGTGTTGAAGTTTCTTTGCGTGGTGTCCTGGTTCACGCATTGGCTGCAGCGACAATTGTCTCTTTTTGACGCAGCTGTGTTAATCGGGCGACCTCGTCTCACTTGAATGAAGCCCACGCGACGTACCTTAACCAAAAGTGCGGACTGGGGTCGAGCCGGTGTCAGTCAAAATGTCTCACCCCTCATCGTGAGCCGGTCACCCGGAGCCCCGGGGCCGGGAATAACGGAGGCGGGCGTCAGACTTACAGAGTCGATCTGCGGGCATCGCTGCCCGCGAGCCCGTCAACCAAGACGCCGTCGTCGACGACCTTGACGTCTAGCTGCTGGAATCTGGCAGCGGCTGCGGAAAGATGTCTCGTGGACCCGAGACGAGATGCTGCTCCGAATGCAGAGCGCCTAGACAGGGTAGAAGAGGAAGCGTGAGACCGTGTTCACGTGTCACTTTGACTTAAAGATGGACTTTTGAGAGAATTCCATACCTTACGGCTCGTGAGCCGATTTGTCTGAGGGGAATCATTATCGTGGTAGGGGATCAAGGGTCGCTGTGGGATAGAACTCTGATCTTGCCGAAGAATGAATTATGGGCAAAGTTGGCTCGGATTAGACTCAGTGCAAGAACCGGGGTATTTCAGTGTGAAGTTTGAGAAATGCGACGGATGACGGATCTTGAGTCGCGGGGTGATCGGGAAGAATATCCTCTTGGGGGGCGCGGGTTTAGGGGGAAGCCCAGGCCACCAGCAGCACCAGCACCATCTTGGCCCCGCTACGCCCATCGAGATAAGCCGAAATGCTGCGGTTTTGCACTGACATCAGCTGATGAGAGAGGTTGGGTTAACGCACGGCGGGGAACTTTGCTGGAGTCTGGAGTCTGAGTCTGGAGAAACGGTGCATCTTGGCCCAGAGACTTCCAGCCGAGGACTCTCCAGTGTCTTCCGCAATCTTCTCAGAATGTCTCACCTGCAGACTTGCTTGCTTTGTTGATCTCTTTCATCTCCCAACCACAACCGCGCCAAAACCCAAAACTTCCAACTCCACAACCCCTCGTCTCGGCCCGGCCGGTACGCGCCTCCAAATGATTGTTCTGGCCCTTGAACTCGCCACGTCAATTCCCGAAAAAAGAATGCGCCTCGCTTCGCCCGCTTCCTGTCTGATCGTCTCCAGACCGCCCCTCGAGACCGTTGGGGCCTGAAAATCCGCGCAAGTGGTATTCCATTACCACCGCTTCTTCTCTCTCATGGCACAAATAGCCGCCGAGCCCGATCTCCCGGGACTGTTGGACTGTCCTACGTCGTACTGCCTCATCGACAGCCACCCGAATTTTGGGGACCGGAGCAGCGTGGCAAACGCCAGTACCCCTGCCGGGGTCCTCAGAAACAAGCGCCGGAAAGTACAGTCCGATATCCCAAAACCTGGGTTTTCTTTGAGCGGACCGCGGGACAAAGTGCAAGGCACTTTGCTTCCTCACAGCTCTGTCCATTCACATGACTCAAGTGGTTCCGGCATTCTGGTTCAGATGCCTGTCCTCTCTCTTCGTTGTCGTCTTCTGCAGGACTTTGGCGTTGTTGGTGCTGCTTGTTGACGCCGCGCGTAGATGGCCCTTCTCATTGGCTGCGCTTGGCGACGAGGAGGCATAGACGATGCAGAGGACATCAAACTCGACATCGCGGCAGAAAGTGCTCTGCGGTTGGCTGGATCCGTCAACTTGCTACCAACGGCTCGTTTCTTAATGTTGGTCCCCGAGAGACGACATGTTGATATACGATCATGTCCCTCTGCGGACTGGTTCCCGCCGAGTGGCGTTTTCTCTTTTGATCCTAACGTTGGTATCGGTAGACTTCTCTATCTCAACCATATTCTTTTCTTTATTTTTCTTTGAGTGTTATACTTATCGATACATGCTGCATAATGTTTCCGAGAGCTCAGTGGCGCAGAGCATGCGTCCTGGTGTGGCTTATTTGCCATAATCACGCCGTCCGCGGCCTCGAGGTTATCCCCTTATCACAATCACCAAAAGTCTTCTTCGACGACGCTCTGGCTCTTATAAATAGAGCCCCAGTACGACCCAATGCCAGCTGCCCTGTTGATGGGCAAATCGCCTGCGGAAATGGCACTCCCGACTACTTTTGCTGTCCCAGCGACAAGACATGCATGGTCGTGGCATCCAACACCACAGCCCTTTGCTGCCCGAAAGGCGCATCATGCGAGGCAATATCCACCATAATTTGCGACATCACCGCCCAAGATGTCGTCGAAAACCCGGACAGTCCGATACACACCACGAAACTGGACGAGTCTCTGCCGAAATGTGGCAAACAGTGCTGTCCATTCGGATACAAATGTCGAGGCGGGTCTGCCTGCGTGTTGGATAAGGACGAAGAGCCTGGAAGCACCGCCAGCACCAGCACCGTTGTGACAAGGACAAAGACTGCCGTCGTTTCCACGTCGCCTGGGAGCGAGACAACCGCGACAGGGGCTGCTGAGACAGCGACTACGACCGCGGACCGGCTTCCAGCATCAAATGTGCCGTCTGTCAGCAGAAGCCAGGACATTCCAACTCCATCCACGACAGCCCCTCCAGCAAACGAGGCATCTGCAAACGCCTCTTCCGAAAAGTCTACATCCGGTGGTGTTATCGCGGGAACGACCGTCGCCGCAGTCGCCTCCGTGGCGGTATTGACGTGCCTGTTATGGTTCAAGCGACGAGCCATCTCAGAAAAAGTCGCTTCCGCGAAGTTTCCCCGACCATGGCAACAGTTACGGGAGAACCATTCCGAACAAGACATGCCCCTCCCGCGATACAACTCCCCGCCGCCGGCATACAACATGGCGACGAAGCCGCACACGCAACAGTACGCCTTCAAGCACTATAGCCCAGACTCAGTGGGGAGCGAACCGCCTGTCGAGCTGCCTGCCACGCCGGTGTCTTTCAGCGTGTGGAATCCTCGTAGTCCCAGGGAAGCAAGGCAGCCGCGGCGGTCTCACTACGAACCGTATCGACGTCCTGAGTAGGCTTTCATCGTGGATCTGCCATTTGAGACGGCGTTTCGCTTCTTCTTTACATACTTTCATGAGCAATAAGACATTCTGTACGATATCATAGGAGGGAAAACTCAAGATAGATTCATGAAAAGTCAGTTGTTTACTATTCGTTGCCATGTTCTTCTCATATGTTCATGATTGGTCCATTTGGTACTTTGATCATCAAGGGAGCCTGAGTGTATATCAACCAATGTCTGGCAACTCACGGGGATAGCAACTCCAAGCCCAAGCCTTACACCATTGACCACTCCGAAATTGTCTCCCCGGCTTCGAAACCGCCAAAAATGCTCCGTCTGGACTCGGACAAGGTCTTCTCCGACTTGACGGCAAAGATCTTGCCCTGGCTCATGATCCTCATGCTCCTCATCTTCATCATCGTCACTCTCTTCTTCAGCATCACCAACAAGGAGCCCATCCCCAGAGAGGCGACCTTCGCCCTCGTGGGCATCTCAAGCATCTTCATCGGCCTCTGGCTACTGGGTCTCCTGGTCTGCTACTGCAAGGGCATCTTCCCTTGCGGAGCGGCGACGCAAGCCGATGGCCTGCCCACGACGAACCCGCCGGGCACGAGAGAGACGTTTAGATGTTTGAATACGAATCGGAACTCTTCGCCGCCGGTCTCGCCGTCCAAGCCGCCCTCGCTGCCGCCAAATGATGATTTCAGGAGGCACCAGGACGAGCAGAAGAGGCGGGGTGAGGAGGAACGAAGGCGTCAACGGGAGATTGAAAGGCAAATGGAGCGGGAAGCTGAACGACAACGACAACGACAACTAGAACGTGAGCAGGAGCAGGAGCAGGAGCGTCGGGAGACACAGCGGGAACAAGATCGACTACAAGAGCAACAACAGCAAGATGAGCGAGTTCGACAGCAGCAACAACGAGAACATGACCAGCGGATTCAACAACACGATCGTTCACAGCATCAGCAGCAAGAACAGCAACAAAACGAGCGACGTAGACAGCAGGGACAGCAACAACAAGATCGACGACTCGAGCCACCACATCAACAGCAACATCGAAATCGACAGCAACAGCAGCAGCGACAATCGAACCAGCCGCACCACCAACGCAAACAGCAGGTTAGTCGAATTCCAATACACTGCGGCCGAGAACAACGAGAACAACGATCACGGCCCCAAAATCCACCAGCGTCGAAGTTTCCTGCCGGACCCAGACCAGAACCACCGCGACGTTCACAATCGCAACAACGAGGGCGCTCTCCAGTGTCAAATCGCAGGGACATCAATGACCAGCACGTCTCAAGCAGACCCAACTCGAGCCTTCAGTCAACTCCGACGAGCAAAAAGTTCAACCGCCGCTCTTCCAGCAACCCGTCTAGGCGCACTTCACCACACGGCTCGATCACGCATGGGACTTCCGAGCAGGGTTCGCTGTCGATGCGACGCCAGCGGCGCAGGTCGGATTTGCAACGGCGCAACCACAGCACGCCGCCGCCTTCGAGAGATGGTCAACTCGAAGTGGAGGCCATGGTTGAAGATGCTCAATGGCGTGAGCTCTCGTCCCCTGACACGCAGGCTCGTATAGAGGCGATGGTGAGTTATCCCGGTGTGGCTGTCCTTCCGCAGTTGAGAATTGTGAAAGATGTAGGGCTGATCATGAACCAGCCGGCGCCTCTGAAGATCTCTCGCCCAGGCGGTCCGGATCCGAATTCTGGACGCTTAGTACCTCCTGGATCTAGTGCCATGACGCAAAGGAACCGATATGCTGAGCCGAGACAGCGAACTGGCGAGGGGCAACGCCGGGACCCCGGGCCTTCTCTACATCGATACGATGACAGCCCCGACCTCTCTGATCCAGGTCCGGCCATACGCCAGCCACACGCATACCAACCCGCGGATCGTCATCCTCAGTCTCATACAGAGGTACGTCCTCCAGAGTCCGGCAATCGCATTTGTCAGACTCCCGGGCCCGCGCGAAAGTTTAGCCACATGAGGATTCCACAGCGTCCCGTACGGGAGAAGAGACTGACTCCTTTCTTCCGAACTGACGAAGTAGCAGGCACAATGAATGCTAGAGAACCGAGCCTTCAAAAACCACGTAGCTTCAAGGAGTTGGTTCGATATCATTCGCCATTGTCGCTGCCGAAAAAGCCACATTAAGGCGGAGGCTTGGAAGACCAATAATTCGCCTGATTTATGATTCAAGGTGCTTCGTTCATTGAAAACCAAAGTTTAGCGGGAATGAAAAGAAGAATAGTCATGTAAGACTACACTTTTGGCAAAGACAATGATGACACGGCATGAACGAGTTGAGTTCGTATGAATTGGTCTCCGCTGGAAATAGAGAATGATTCGTCACTTACACCGCCACTTATTTGGGAGAAGCTGACAGAAGCTCACACATGTTAGTGTTGTTCAAGCAATACTTTGTATCTAGAGAGGGTGGAGGCGATGGTTCGAATGATGGTTGGCTCTTTTCAGCGTTTGACTTTCCCGTCCAGGGAAGCCCGGTCCTTTTCCCATCTGATGTGCCCGAGCTATGACATCGCAGTTCAAGAACTTCTGGAAGCTTCAGTTTTAAGAGACTTACTTGTTGGAGGAGGACAATACACTCGGTCGCTTCGGCATGAATGTTTCGTCATCTATATTGCGTTATGCACAGGTGAGCTAGCGCTTTCTTTCACCACTCATCGCGGTCTCACACCTTCACGAGTCTGACACTGATATATATCTCAGATTTTGCAAAAAGACGAGCAGCTAGCTCCGGTAAATCATTGGTGAATTGCGAGACGAAAGAAACATCGGAGCAACAAGAACGGCTAACATCATGGAGTCCTGGACCGACACGATATCCAATCTCAACCACCGCAACATCGACGACGAGCTAGAATGCGAGGCCTTCGACCACTTCAACATCTGGACCCCTCTAACCGGAACGCTCCTCCCTCCTACAATCCTCAAATCCCTCCTCTCGAAGGAACGGCCCCGGGTCGCGGACATCGGCACGGGGAGCGGCGTCTGGCTAACATCCCTCACCGACATCCTCCCCGTCCGCGCCGAATTGATCGGCTTTGACCTCGACCCGCGCAAGTTTCCCCCGCGACCGCCGACGCCTCCGATCCCACCCCCGCCGTTGTCCCCGCCGCTGAGACCCGTGCAGCCGAGTCTGGATTTCCGGGTGCATGACGTGCGGGAACTGTTCCCGGAGGATCTGCGGGGCACGTTTGATCTGGTACATGTCAGATTATTGGCGCTGGGGTTGACGACCGCGGATTGGGACGTCATCGTGAAGAACTTGGTCGCGCTGCTGAGGCCCGGTGGGTGGTTGCTGTGGGAAGACACGTCGTGGTTGTTTATTAGGGCGTATCCCCCGAGCAGAGCGTATGATGAATGGTGGTGGGCCATCATGCGGCATGGCGCGAGTGTTGGAAGGGATCCTTTGTGAGTCTCCCATACTCAGAGGCTTGTTTCCATGCCTTGGTTAAGGACGGCATCTTATTGACGATAACAGCATACCTTCTGGTCTTGCACAGAAGTTCGAGACTGCCGGGCTGCGAGACTGTGATCAAAAGATCTGGAGCACATGGGCGGCGGATGGGGGCCTGAGAGACAACACCACGCTTGCTGTCCAGCGTCAGGTCAGGCCCTCGCTGTCGGTGGTGATCCAGGATGGCGGTGCGGAGACGATCAAGACGTCGGGTGATATTGATCGAATTGAACGGGAGATCATGAGAGGCGTTGAGGAAAAGGGGGTTCAGATGGGTTTGGAATACTTTTGGATCTGGGGACAACGACCGTTAAAAGATTGCGTCAGCAAGCAACTAGAGTGAGTCGAAAGACCTATACAACGGGTATGATTTTGAATCAAAGATGTAACACGACAGGATCATATTCAGAGCTGGAACTATGTGACACCGGTATCAAATAAGTTATGAGAGCTGCCAGGTATTCCCCAAGCCTACCTGAGAAGCAACGGCCACCACTCCCAGCCCAAGACTGAGAACGGCGCCAAGTACAAGTTTACTCATAGAGGTCTGCTTTCCTTCACCGCGTCGAATCTCAAAGTCCGACCAGATTGGGAAGATGGTCCGCAGCCAGTACTTGTACATCGGGTCGGGGTAAATGAAAGTGTTCTTCTTCGTTTTCGGATCCATCCACCAGCTCTGACACCCGCTGTTAAAGACCAAGTTCTCCAGCTTCCCGTGCACCCACACCTGGTCTCTCTTCTGAGCCTCCGGCTTGACCATGATGGAGTCAGCCTGCGATGAGCCCGTCAGGACTGGCCGGAGCAGGCGGCAAGCGTAGTTGATTTGGCATTCGGAGTGAAAGATGACAGAATGCTGTCCTGTCGCGGCGTTCGGCCCGTATAAGATGAAGAAGTTGGGGAAACCAGTGACAATGGTTCCTTTGTAGGCTTCCGCGCCCCCTTTCGAGTCCCAGACTTCATGGATGTCTCTGCCGTCCACGCCCTTGACCTCCATTGGGAAGAGCCACTTCTGGGTCATGAAGCCCGTTGCGAAGATGATCACGTCGGCGTCATATCGGGAGCCGCTATCTGTTACCACGCTATTTTCCTCGATCTTGACGGCTCTTTCTTTTGCGAGGTGCATCTTTGGCGAGTAGAGACAGTCGAGATAAGTTGCGGTGTTGACGCGGCGTTTGCAACCAGGCTCGTAGTCTGGAGTCAAGATCTCTCGATACTTGGCGGGGGCGTTATGCTCGATGTATTCTAAAGTGGCGTCGCGAATCTTTTGTCGTTTTCTAGCGCCGTCGTCCGTCATGAGGAAGGAGAAGAAGACGCTCTCAAGTTGCCATGCGAGATAGACTCGATAGAGGCGCATGGCAAAGGGGACATATCTCATCATGACCTTCCAGGAAGTGGAATATCTCGGGTTGCCCTAGGTAGATAGAAGCAGTCAGACTTGAAGGTTGTGAGAGTGGGCTTGTGTGTACTCACCCGCTTGGTCCACCAGTGTGCACTCTTGACGAGCTGCGTGACTTTCCCTCGAGGCCCGGCGTGCTTGACCAGCTCGGGAACGAACTGCGTTGCCGAGGCGCCATTCCCGAGTATGACAACATTCTTATTCTCCAAATCGACCGAGTGATCCCAACGTGCGCTGTGGAATATGTCCCCTCTGAAGGACTCTGCACCGTTTATCTCAGGTATGTAGGGTCGATCCAGTGTTCCAATGGCGCTGACAACCACAGGGGCGACTTTGACAAACGTTTCGCCCGTGTTAGTTTCTTCGAAAGTACAGCTCCAAGTAGAAGTGTCGGAGTTCCAAACAAGACCAATACACCTGGAGTTGAAGCGACAATGGGGAATGATGTCGAACTTCTCGGCCACGGAGAAGAAGTATTGATGCAACTCGTCTCTTCCCGGGTAGGTTGTTGTCCAATCGGGTTTTAAGGCGAAGCTGTAGGAGTAGAAGTGACTTGGGATGTCGCAGGCACAAGCTGGATATTGATTGTGCCACCAAGTGCCGCCGATGTTTTCGGACTTCTCGTATATGGTGAAGTTTTGATGCTTCAAGAGACGCTTGAGTTGTATGGCCATACCGAGGCCCGATATCCCACCACCAATGATGATCACTTCTTTGGAGTCCATATCTGATGATTGAACTAGATAAAGAGAAGAATGTCACGAAACAACGAAAAGCAATATCGATGCAGACAATCCCAACTTTGTTTCTAGCTAGAGACTGTGGGAGAAGAATAGTGATACCTCGACCAGAAAGTAGTTGATATACCAGGCCATCTTGAACTGATTTATACATGATCATGACTTACACGAGGCATCAGGGTGATTCTCCATGCATTCCCCGTGGGGTTTCAATCGAACCCCGGATAACTTGATGAATCCATCAAAGCAGTCAGCTCAAAATCCGTTGTGTAAGTGATGTCCGGTGATACAGAATTGAGGCAAGTGTAAGCGCTGGCTAGAGTTGCCCTTTGGAATAAGTTTGTGAGGCCCCAGCGTGATGACAAATGTGAGCTTGCGCTTGCGCTTTGCTTTAAAGGTCACATGGCCCTCAACCCCAGTGCAGCAAGTACAAGCCTCCTGCGAGGCACAATTCTCACTTCACAACTACAGATCTTACTGTCAGCACACTTGCTATGTCTCACTGCAGTTTGCGAAGAACCTGATGGCAGACTCGGCGGCTGGGGTATCCGGTCCGTACGGTGGGACTTACAAGAGACCCCTGAAAACAAGAACTCGATCAGGATGGTATGGAAATCAGTTCATTGGCTCTTCAAGATCTGGATCCTGACAGGTGTTTAGTCTTCCTTGCAGGAGCAGGAAGCGAAAGTGTGGGTGTTCTGGGCTGGACTCCGCAGAGCCTGGATGAAGCAACTAACCAGCGAACGCAACACATAGGCGACGGAGCCCGGCCTCGATGCCGAAATTGCGAGTTCCGGGGGGACGGATGCGCTTGGGGCGTCAAGGTCTCTTTTCATCCGTCGCGAGCGCTTAGCCTTTCCGCGGAGGATGAGGCTGCACTTCTCGCTATCGAGGAGCAAAGGCAGTCTGACGACAACCAACAGGTGGATACGGATGGAAGCCAGCGCGTACGTTTTTCAATCCCCTGGGTGCCTGTAGGATCCGTCAAAAGATTTACTAATCTTGGTTATTTTCATAGTTCGTTGATGACACAGACAAGATATTGAGACATTATCAGGGCGATCGAGATACGTCAACACCACCGACCTCGGATGCAGAAGAGCCTTTGGATAACGCTGCATCTCTTTCTGATGCCGAATCGCTCACTGGGCCCATAGTAGACCCAAGCACGCAAGATGTCGAAGCAACAGTTCAAGACCCCTGGATGACACCAGGCGTTATCCCACAGTCTAGCCCCCACCATAACCTACCCATCATCACAGTTGATGCGAACGCACACCAACACACAAGCTCATTGCCAGATACAGGCAGACCATATACAGCACCATTCTCCTTGGGCCAAGCCGTTTTCGCAGATGCGTCACCGCTGCCGGAACTCGACCTCCCAATCTCAAAAATGGAGCAGGCACACCTGATTCTGGCCTATCTCCGTGATACGGGAACCTGGTGTGAGACTACAGATTCTGAGCAACACTTTACGGTTAAGAGTATTCACACCATGATGGAATCGAAGGCGTTCATGGCAGCTGCTCTTTCACTCTCATCTCGCCAAGTAGAAACGCTCAGGGGCCGGCAGAGACGGACCGCGCTGGAGCTATACCAGTACACCATTCAACTTCTCATACACCAAGACCCAGCGGAGGCGGACACCTGTATCCTCGCTGCATGTACATTGCTATGCGTTTACGAGATGATGGCATCTAGCGTGTCTGAATGGAGACGCCATCTTAGGGTACGTCACGCACCGGACAACCCACCGGCTCCTGCTGACCTGCCTCTAGGGTTGCGCAGGGCTATTGAAAAGTCGCAACTGGGGCGGCTCTACCAGTGGTATTGTGAAGTCCTGCTTTTGGGCGTTTGCCAGGATCGGTATGTGTCGGGCCTCAGAGCTTCTCGTCATCTTCCCACTGACGCTGGCAAAGACATCTGGGCGGCTTTCCTGATTGGAGAGACAACTCTGCTATCAACCGGATGTTGGGTAATAGATGATTCCATACAATCTGCGTCGGCAAACGGGAACACCGATGACTACTGCAACTTGGCCATCTTGATCTTCGCAAAGATCATCAACTTGATTGCGTCTGCGCCCACGTCAGCCACCATATCAGAGGCACATAAATCAGCCGTGACTCAAAAGCTCTGGGATGACCTGAGTCTATGGTGGAAGTTCCGGCCACGGGACGTTCGCCCGCTTCTTAGGACAGATCCACGGGGCACTGGTAGTCCATTCCCAATCACTATATTCACCCAGTCGGCGTCAAGTAAGTGATAGCCTGCCATAATTCTATTACCTGTTCAAAGCTGAGTCTGAGAGTATGTGGGAACACCTTCTTCCACGCGGGCTCCATTCTCCTGCTAGAAACGGGCCTCGTTAGCGTAGATGCAACAGAGAAAGACATGGTAAGCGCATTCAGGTTGCAATGCCTTCTATTGCCGTCCCCCCTGTTGGCAGTTTGACACCACAGTGGAGAAACCGTACCTTATGCTGGCTGACGTTCTCTTAGTATGACGCATTATGGCACGCCCGGGAACTCGGCGGCATATCCATATCAAACGACAACCAGTAAGTCACGATGCTGGGACTTTTGCGTGCGATATTGCAATTAACATGCGGTATAGTGCAAACTGGGTAAACCATCTCCAGCCGCTCTTCATTGCCGGGCGGGCGTTCGCCAACGTCTCTCGTCAAAAGAGACAGGCGGGTACTGAAGGGCAAACCCACAGCACTTACGACGAATGCTTCGAGAACGAGGAGGAGTACGCCCTGGAGAAGCTGGCTTTACTCAAGCAGTTAGCTAGGATTGAGAAGGAAACAGGCTGGAAAACGTCGGATCGATCTGCTGAACTTCGCAGACTCTGGGGATTTGCTTGATAGCGACAGCGTTTATTTTGAACTTTGAAGCATTTACGCCGGGCGTCATGCCACCTCGTGAATGGACTTGAGAACTGAAGGCGATGAAAAGAAGTCTCTCATGTCCTTGATGAATTTTTCAGGACATTCCAAACTGGAGAAGTGCCCTCCGCGTTCATGCTCTCTCCAGAACTGGATGTTGGCCGCCTGCTGAGCCCAATCTTTTGGACACTAGATGACGCGGAACATGTTAGCTTGCGGTGTATCAACTTCAGATAAGAACGGGACACTCACATGAAGTTGCTCCTTCGCATACATACTTACACCAGTCGGCACAGCAACATACGTCTCGAAAGTCCTCTCCGCCTCCCTCCGCTCCCCGAACGCCTCGCGGTAGAACCTCAGTCCGGGCGTAGCTCCCTGGATCCAATGCATCATCACTAGCGTGATGACCTCGTCGTCACCGAGCGCCTCATGGACACCCGCCCAGTCGTGGAACTTCTCAACGAACCACGCCAACAACCCCAGGGGTGAATCACCTAACGCGAAGCCAAGGGTCTGCGGCCGGGTGCGCTGCTGCTCGAGATAGCCGCTCTGATCCGTCTCGAAGTTTCTCCGCACGCGAACCGCCTCCTTTTCGAAGTCTGTGTAGAAGAGCCCCGAGAGGCACCAGCGCAGATACGCCAACGGCGCCCGCAGGAGCGTGGGAGGCGGGACGGGAAACATGTTCAGATGCGCGGCGCGCACGACGCCCGGAAACTGGATGGCGATGGACCGCGTGATGAAGGAGCCGAAGTCCCCGCCCTGCGTGACGAACCACGGGTAGCCCAGGACGTCGGTCATGAGGACCTTGTAGGCGCGGGCGACGACCTCGGGGCCGACGCCAGACGTGGTGGGCGCTGGGGAGAAGCCGAATCCGGGTATGGAAGGGGCGACGAGGTGGAAAGGCGGGTGCTTGGGGGACGATGGGTTGGTGAGGCCCGACACGATTTTCGAAGCCTCGACGAAGGAGCCCGGCCAGCCGTGGGAAAAGAGGAGCGGGATCGCGTTGGGATCGGGAGATACGGTGTGGGTGAAGTGCAGGGTCAGCGGGCCGTAGCCGGGGACGTCGAGTTTGACAAGGTAGTGGTTGAAGATGCTGTTGAGGCGTTTCTGCGGCGGATGTAAATACGCGTTTCTTGCAAGCAGATTCGCGAAGTTGACATACCTCTTCAGCGTCCCAGTCATACTTGTTTAGCCAGTGATCTGCGAGGTGTCGAACTCTCGCTACTTTGGCTCCCTGAGACCAGTCGTCCTCAGAAAAGTCATGTTGTTCTTCGGGATATCGAGCGAGCTTCAGCTTTTGTTTGGTGAGATCGATGAAGCTCCTATCAAGGGCGATTTTGTAAGGAACAATGCGATTCAATTCGAGGTCACTGGGAATAGAGATGTCAGTCGACATGATTTCCAATCTGTTGATAAGGACATTTGGTTCCAGGTTGAGGTACAGCACAGCCAGAGGTTTTGGCAAATAATACTTCCCATGTTTATACGTACACAGATGTGAACCATACAATACCACAAAGTGACTGTCGGAGCGAGGTACACAACGAATGACGTTGCTGTTTTTCCGCGTTGCAGTAAGATAGGCACGTACATGTCAATTGAGATACGCCAATGTGGGAGCCGTCGAGGCGTGTAAGTGGGCACGGCGCTTGCGCTTGCACTTGCACCCGTCACCACTGCACCAGGTATTGACGGTTTCCTAACATCGTCGATGTTTCTGATTTTAACCCACGAAAATTTCGGCGAATTTTTGGAAACAGTTCTTGAATTCGATTTTCTATACTAAAGGTAAGCTATCGCAACTCCGCATATCGATATCCTACGCGTTTAGTTGCCCTTCAGCTTGTTCCACAATGAAGTCTTCTCGCCGCCAACTGCAGGAGGTGCCAAAATCATGGTGTTCCACGTCTCCTCGCCATCCACGTAGAGACTATACTTGAGGGAGCTCTGTTCACCTTCGGCCAAATTCTCGATCGTAAGAGATCCAAACTTGGAGTTTCCCGAATGAACGTACCTATGGCGAGTTAGTCACATGTTCAGCACGCACCCATATGACTTTACTTACTTCAGAGCAATATCCTCGTCGTCATACTGCCTGTAGGTTGGAAGGGGTGAAGCGAATTGATTGAGCGGGCTGCAAGAGAATTCATACGCGGCTGCCGTCTCAGGCCATCTCTCACCGACTGGCGGAGGGAACTTGGTTGCTGCGAATTCGTGTCGGTCGCCAGATACGACGACAACACCGATGCCTCTCGCACCAGCATCCCACATGGCTTCGAGAACCTTGCGTCTCTCGACCAAGAAGCCTCCCCAGGTGTCTCTGGTGTTCACGGGCCAGTTCTTGGTGAGAGGAATTGAGGACGCGACAATCTTCCACTTCACGCCCTTGGGTTCCGGGCGGTTGAGCCAGTCCAAAAAGTCCGCCAACTGTTCAGCGCCCAGCATCGTCTTTTCCGGGTGTTCGTAGGGCAGAGAGTTAGTGGACCGGTAAGAGCGAGTATCAAGCATGAAGAAGCTGGCGGGACCTTGAAGGAATTCGAACCACGTCGCACCCTCTCTTCGCAGGTTACTAGTTCCAGCAACACGAGCTGGAGGAGGGTTCGCCAGTTCCTGGTAATGATGCCAGGGGTCAATGGCGGCTCGGTAGACTCCAGTGGTGTTCAGATCCCAGTCGTTGCCAATCTCATGGTCGTCGAGCACATGAATCCAGCTGAGGTTCTGGCCAACGGGTGCCCAGTCGGGAGAAGCATAAACGTGACGGTACTTCTGACGATAATCCTCTTCGTTCTTTCCCTGTCGCTTGGGGACGTCGATGTAGATGAAATCGCCCAAGAACAGCATGAACTGCGCTTGCAACTTGGGCAACACCTTCGCAAGATATCGCATTCCCGGGATAGCCAGAGGATGTTCAAGAGGATTGTAAGGGAATCTCGGAAGAATGCAAGAAGTCGAGAGGAAAGTAAACTTGTTGTCTGCAAAAGCCGACATTTGACCCGGCTTAGGAGGAGCAACGAACTCTCCGCTGTGGTTGTTGGAAGTTCTCCATTCGTAAATTCTCTGTTGGGAGTGTTTCAGCGGGACCGTAAGAGTAGCTGTGAAGTCGGTTGTGTTGTCGGTGAATCTCAAGCCACCGCCGATCTGCCACAGGGGGTTGTCGAAGGGAGGCTGGGGGTCTTTGATGTGTATCTCAACCGTGACGGGCATCTTAGCTTGGTCTGGCTCGCGCAAAACGAACTTGGCTTCCGTGTGCGAGACGTAGCCAAGACGTACGAATGAGAGATCGTCGACTGGGTGGTATTGCCGAACGCGGAACAAGAAGTCGGTGGTCATTGCGACCAACACCACATTGATGAGGAATGTCAAGATGGACAAGATGGGGCTGCTCGGGCTAGGTGAGCCTGCGAGAAGAGTAACCCAGGGTCGCGATTTCTCTCTGACAACGATGGTCTCCTCAATCTGGATCTCTTCAGCGACAACATGACCGTTTTGGTCACCAGTCGCAACCTCATCCTCGTCGACCTCTGAGATGGCCTCCTTCATCGTAATGTCGACCTCGTCCTCAATCACATCGTACTTTGGCTCCTTGAAGTATCCCAAAATGAAGGATGGTACGAAAATGGCGAAAATGGTGTAAATGCTCAAGGGAACAGCAGCCTACAACCTCATCAGCATCTCCTGCCAAGCCACAGTAGAAAGTTGTGAATAAGTGGAACTCACTGGACCAGGAAACTGCAATGCAACCAATAGTTAGTGACCAATTTCGAAGATGCAACTTGGGGAAACTGACCCATCGCAAAAACACGTATGAGACGAATCTCAACGCGATGGACGAACCCAAGGCGATTTTGGCTTGGGTGCCCATGGTGTCCGAGAGCTCCGTCGAAGTGGGTAGATGTGAACACTATGAGTGGGCGAATGCTCTTGCAAAAGATGGGCTGAGTAGGAGAGATCGGTTGAATAAATAATGACTGGAAATAGGAGAAAAGCCTAGAATACGGAGGAAGGTGCCAGCCCAGCACCTACGCGTCCCAAAACGGAAAGAAGGTTTGATGATGGAAGAAGAAGTCGCGATCCGCCCTCCAGGAGGTTAAGAAGCTCCTAAGGTAGGTACGAATAGACGTGACGTGACAGGGCAGCTTCAGTTCGGTAGCAAGAGATGAGGTCACTGATTAATGAAATGCTCCATCCGGGCTGAAACATGGGTCCGACTAATGGATCGATAACAAGCCACCAAAGGCGCATTCCATTTCTTGCGCCCAAAGGGCCTGGGCATGTGAGCGTGGCTGGTGAGAAACACGAGCTCTGATGGGGCCACCTCACCTTCCAGCTGCCAGCTTCCAGCTTCCCACAGCGAAGTTCCCTACAGGTACGTACCTTCTAGGCCTTCCAACGGCATCGAGCTGGACGTCTGGTCCGTGCACACGTCCAAGGGGCTACCTTACATTCTGGCGGGCGCCAATTTTCCGCGCCGAACTTTCAATCGTGGCCCGTTCGTGGTGACCCTTTTGGCGACAGCTTGTCCTGAATCCCCAGCTCCAGAGCCGATCGATATACCCTCACGCGCGCAAGAGGCTCCCACCCACAACACCATGAGGTTATCCGCCGTTGCCTGCGGGCTCTTTGCCTGCTTCGTTTCTCAGGTTGCTGCAACGGCATTGACCTACAAGATCCATGCCAACGAGAAGGCTTGCTTCTATGCCAAGACCCAGAAGGAGAATGAGAAGGTGGCCTTCTACTTCGCCGTACGTCGACACTAGCCACGACACGTCCGCCTTGGATTCCCAATGGGCTAATTTGATGCATGCAGGTTCAATCGGGTGGTTCGTTCGATATCGATTACGTTGTGACGGGACCTGGCAGCAAGGTCATCCTCGATGGAGCCAAGGAGCGTCAGGGCGACTTTGTCTTCACGGCCCAGCAGGTTGGCGACTACGAATTCTGCTTCAACAACGAGATGAGTACATTTGCCGAGAAGTTTGTCGACTTCGAGATTGCCGTACGTCACTTTTTCGATGCCTTGAATTCAATAGCATAGGATGCTAACAGTAGTTCTTCACGCAGGTTGAGAACGAGGTTCGCGCCCAGCTTCCTTCCAAGCAGGGTGCCTCCCCAGAGCAGCACAGCACCCTCGAGGAAACCATTTTCAAGCTGTCTGGCCAGCTCTCCACCATTTCGAGAGGCCAAAAGTACTTCCGCACCAGAGAAAACCGAAACTTCAGTACCGTCCGAAGCACCGAGTCGCGCATCATCAACTTCAGCATGATCCAGTGCGCCTTGATCGTATTGATGGGTGGCCTGCAGGTGTTTATTGTGCGCTTCTTCTTCCAGGGCGCTCGTAAGGGTTACGTGTAAAGGAACGATCAAAATTGGGTCTGGATTTCATTTGGCGCAGGCTAAGAGGGGTCTTCCGGGACTCGTGTACATCAAAAGCAAGAGGCATGATGTGGTTTATGATATGAGAGATATCAACGACGATCCGAACTCAGCGCTGCCCCCATTCAGCCCAGGGGCTTTTCCTTCCGGGACCCGGCTTTTTGGGCTGGAACATGGCCCCGTAGGTACGAAGTTCCTGTGGAGACCTAAGAGGACGGGGCTACTACCTCAAAACATGTACTGAAATGGTTAATGACTGTCTTGACTGTCTCCGATGCTGCTCTGAGAATCCACTGGACTACTAAGGTCCTAGGGGGTGCGAAGTGCAAATGTGAATTATTCAGAACGAGTTCTGTGTATGGCTTTACAAGTAACGTTTTGGCTCGCTCGTTCTCGACTAAAGTCCTCATTCAGTTTTGACGATGCTGATTCCCTAGGTAGATAGGCAGCTCGTCAACGAGGCTGCGGGTGCTCCGATAAGGTAGGTCCCTGGCCCACCTCCGGTGGCAGGCGCAATAGCGCCAAATGATTGGCTGAAGATGGGGCAAGTGCCACCAGCCACGCCAGGCTGAGCGCCATACCTTGGTGCCTTTCACCCGTTTCCCGAGCAGCAGCGCGAGCTTAGAGAGAGCTTGGAGAGCACCGGCTATCAGCCTCGTCTGCGACCGCCACGGTCCCTTCAGCGACCGATCACCTTTTCCTCGACCTGCGACGCACTCAACGACAACGCGCGACATACATGGGTATTTTCAAGCCAAACCCGACGCGCGAACGGGTCCCCAAACAACAACAAAACACCACCTTCCTCGAGGTGGCCCACGATCTTGTCAATGCCGAGCGGTTCCCGCCGACGTTCCAACAAACCTAAGAAGCCCCGCGAGGCACCGAAAAAGAAGTGGTATAATATACGCAGCATTCTTCAAGAGAGGCAACGCGGTGGACGGATCGAGTACTTGATCGACTGGGACGACGACGAGGACACGGGCGAACAATACCCTCCTAGTTGGGTAAGACCAGTCGCACCTTCATTTATTGGCCTTTTGTTAATAGTCAAAGCATCCAAGCGAAGACGTCACTGCGAAGGCAATATTTGACTGGAAGAAGAAACAAGGAGAGTTTGCGACAAGCGACGAGGACTCTGGATCGGAAATCGCACCATCGCAGGCACCAGCAGCCGACACTCTGGACAGTAGCCAGCCCATTCAGCCACCTCATAGGCGCAAGCGCCAGCGCGGAAACAGCTCAGTCGCGTATAGTGACTCGGAAATCGAGGATTCAGACGAGGACGCGCCCAACCCTCCTAAGCGACATCGCAGCGAGCCGCTCTCGCTTTCATCGAGTTCTGAGGTCGACACGGATGCTGCCTCGGACATTCTTCTCGAATCCCCGAGCAACATCTTTGTCGCAATCGCCTCTAAGGTAGACTTTGATGCCACCGAGTACCTCAGTGTATCAAACTCACAGGGTTCAACATCTTTTGGCTCACAGCCCGTCTCAGCCTTAGAGGACGAGGATAACCAAGTGATACTCACGGAGAACCTCAGCCAGCGGATCATTCCAGATTCTCAGGACTATTCTGCATTTGAGTCCCAAGACTCGCACATTGTTGCCTCCACCGATCTTCAAATCACTCATCAGGGTGCCATCAGCTCAGGGCGTGAGATCTTGGATTCACAAAGGCAGTCCAGCCTTGGAACTACCCAGAGTAAGACGACGGGATCCCAGGCACAATTTTCTGCTGAATCAGATCACCTCTCTCATCCTATCACTCAACAAAGCCCTTTGCAGCCAGAACGCTCTCAGGAACCCCGCGATCGGCAGGAGGATCCAGACTTCTCAGAACCCGTCTTCTTTACACAATACTTTCCCAGTGAAAGCCAACATCGGGTAATACCAAACACCTCTCCAATTATCCCGGAGCTTCGAGCCCCTACTTCGGAAGCAGAACCAGCAAGGCCGCGTTCATCATCCCAGGACTCTGCATCCTTGGCCGCCCAGGCAGCCGCTCAGCTCGCGCAAGAGCAGGATTCAGTGCCGGCATCGTTTTCTGACACATCGATTCCATCGCACCAAGTTGACAACTTTCCGGGACAAGATAGTGCGGGTCACACGTCGAATAATTCTGCGCATAACCTTCAAGAGTCGCGATTTGGAACGCCTGTCTTTGTGACACAACTTGCCTTTGATTTTGACGTGCCATCGTCTTCAGAAGCCACTCACTCACAGCAGAACAAGTCTGAGGGTTCATCGAGTGAAACCAATCAGGAAGCAGCCCCAACCGCAATCGTCGCGACTCAACACGAAGACTTTGTCACCATACGCGACTCTCAAAACGACAGCAACAATACCCAGCACGCTCAACGGGTGCTTCCCTTGCCTCACATTTCCGCAAGTCAAATCGATACCAACAGCCTCACTGAAGAGGATATTGTCCCTGATACCGTACGCCGTCGGCCACAGCGGCGGCACCTAAGTTTTACTAGTACCGTATCCACCTCGAACGCATCTAGAAGAGGGGCATCAGCAACTTTTTCCGGCTGTCCATTACCGGCATCCCGGGGTGACAGACGCGACAACTCTCAGGAAGAAAGCTTCAGAACTTGTGTTGAGAGGCGGTCACTTCCTCCCACGCATACCGAGCCGACTGCTATTGCCCAAGCCACCCGACTGTCAAGTCTCCCTCCAAACATGGCGTCTACCGATGGCGAGCCGATGTCGGCTATAGAAGAGCTGATGCGGCTGTCGCAGTCAATCATGGAAGACGATGGAGATGAGGAACCGTACTCTGGGTCCGGAGAAAATCAACAGCAAGTCGGCGGGGACAGTGGCCCGGGGACTGAGACGATTGATTCTCATGACTTCTCGATGCCCATGGAAAACCCCTTGATGGAAATCCATTCACAACTCCCCATATCGACTGACTGGAATATGGAGGGTGACTCCACCTCTTCGGAATTGCCAGTACAATCCAGCGCCCCTCTGGAACCAGTCATCGAGGCCCCAGTCAGCCAGCCGCCACAAACGGCTAACATGGGAGACATCTTCCCCGGTGGCCTCATGCCCCCTGAACCCGTCCAGGAACTGCCCATGACGATATCTCCGTCGGACATCAGCCGGTCGATGGAACCTGACGATGGCTTGAATACGCTTCACCAACAAGGCCTGCCTCTAAACATCCTGCCCGCTGAAGATACCGCAACAGCCAAAAGCACTGCGTCATCACCCGACGTCGAAGAGCAATATCCATCCGGACCTCCGACAGCCATGGATCAGAGCGAATACCTCGTGACTGTCTCATTTCCAGCCAACATCCGCTCTCTGTATTTGAACACCATGTCAGAGTACAAAAAGGAGATCGAGAAATTTACTCTTATGTGCCGAAACGGTGAAGAACTACCCGATCAAAGTCTGGTGGATTCCATTGGAAGGCTGCTGGATCAGTTGCGTGATATTTGCGACCTGCCTGCCTCTCTCGACGGTGCTTCCATTGACGCACTGTCAGCGGAAGATCTCAGGAAGCATGCCATGGGCACCAACAGCAAGTACTTCTTCGTCGGACGATTTCTGGAGAGGTTACAAACAAGTAACAAGAAGGTGTTGATAATTGTGCGCGACATCAACATAATGGGCTATCTCGAGGCTGTCATCGGCACGAATGATATGGCATATTCTCTGAAGGGTCTTCACGAGCTTGAAAGTCAGGACGAGCATTCTCTGCACGTTTTGCTTATGCACACGGAGCAGACTCTCGTTGACGACTTGAGTGACTTCGACGTCGTCATCGGTTTCGACTGTGGCATCTTGCGGACGGACGTGGTCACCCAATGGGCTCAAATGAATGGCAGAAAACCCATGCTGATCAGACTCATGACGACGTATTCCATTGAGCATCTCGAGCTGTACTTGCCGGACGACAAGGAGGACTTGGAGCGAAAGAATGCCCTTCTCATCTCCTTGTATCAGTCCAGGGCCTTGATCAACCGTGATGATCAGGCAGAGATGATTGACGGGTTGACCTCCCATTTCGCCAACCAGGTCATAGACCCAGAACCCAAGTTTGGATGGGAACCTGAGCCGATCCCGAACTCGGTTCTGGATCTTTACTCCGAGAGCCAAACGGACAGTCAAATGCCGCCGACCGCCGAGGAGCTGAAGAGTCGCAAGCGCAAAGCCGTAAGTTGTTTCCCAGGCGAGGCGTCGAGCTGCATTTGCTAATCGAATCGGAATTTCAGGACGATGACCATCAGGAGGTCACCAAGCGTTTGCGTGTCAGCCCCCCTCCTGGACAGGCTGGCGGCAGTGTAGATGATGCGGTCCGCGGTCATCTTAACCCCAAGCCAGCCCATGTGCATGTTCAAACAACGCAGGACCACCTCGACTCGTTGAACAACAAGGTACTAGCTGTCCAATAGTATGGCTCTGTTACACTTGACTGATGATTCGTTAGATTTCCGAACTAGAGCACCAGCTAGGGGAGAAGACCACTCTTGAGCACAACCTGCGGAAGCACATCACCAACATCTCCAAAAGAGTCAAGAGTCACGATAAGACTACCAATCACATTCATGAGAGGCTCATGGAAGCGATTGAAGACCGGAGCAGGTTTGAGGCCCAACAGAAGGAGGCGAAACAAAGCGAGGAGAAGGCCTTGAAAAAATGCCAGACATGGCAGAACAAGGTACAGAAACTCGAGGAAGAGCTTGAAAAGAAGTCCGCAACCCTCGAACGGGCCCTCGTAGATGCCGGCACTGTAGCTACAGACGTGTTCAAGCAGAAAACAGACGAGCTTGAGCAATCGCACGCAAAGATCGCCGAGCTCGAGAAGAAGCTCGAGAGCCGCGACAACGAGCTGAGCTACGCCAGAGACGTATACCAGACCGCCAATCAAGCTAACAGCGAGCTCGAGCGCGAGAACAAGATCCTCAAGGAGCAGGTCGCCGAGTTCCACAAGCAGGCCGCCGGCAGCCTCGCGCAGATCCAGAACACCAACGCCAACGAGCAGATCATGGCGATGCGCAGACAGGTCGAGGAGAACCAGGCCATCACGCGAGACCGTGAGAAGGAGCTCACGCGTGTCGAGAAGGAGCTCAGGACGCTGAAGAACGGTCGCAGGGAAACGCGCCAACAGAGCGTTCCCCGAAGTCCGCGTCTCGGCATGATGAGCCCGAGAGCGCCCCGCGCGGCGGGCGGCTCCGCTAGTAGAGGCACCTCCCCCGTGCCGTACGACTCTTCGGGCAGTACGCCGGTTCCGGGCATGCAGTTCTTGCCGTCCAATAATCACAGGTTCAACCATCTAAGGGAGTGAAGCTGTGGATAAGAGACGAGTGTCGGTCGAGGGATGAGCGGGTAGATATGACAGGTGAGAGCGAACATTGGTGCTGCTATTGGAAAAGGGTCACGAAGATGCGGCTTTAGAGCATGATACCCTTTGCCCGAAGGGACGGTTATTGTACGTTTTCTGCGTTGTTGCTTCTTGTATTTGGACGAGCTAGATTTCTCTGGTAGAGAGAAGACAGAGAGAGAGAGGCCAAGAGAGGAAAGAGAACTCTTTGCATTATGTAACCCGGCGTCCTTGCTCGCATGATATCGGTGGAATTTCGAGTGGCGTGACATCGCCCGCAGGGCTGATACACACGCACACACGCATCATCTACTCGCGGGGAAATGTAAACTTGCTTCTGCAAGTCTGCCCACATCCGTCCCGACCTCTCGGTACGAGCGAGTACCTGAGCAGCACCCTTCCTTGCCTTCTCCACAGAATTGACTCAAATTGCTTGGTTTCGCGTTTCGACGTCTGATCGGTCGGTCGGCGACATGATGTACGAGATATCTCGTGAAACATGAGATTTTGTTGTTCTAGAGGAGAGCCCGGTTGCTTGGCATAACGCCTGAGAAGAGTTGCTGGATGGTTATTAGGACTGTGTTAAAATAACAGCACCGTAGCTTTGGTGTATGAGACATCTTGTGATACATCAGGTATCGCTGTTGTAATATTGAGAGTTACTGAAGTGATATATGCGATATCTTGTGAAACATATGAGATCTTGATTGTAGCTGAGAAGAGTTGTTAAATGGTACATGGGACTTGATTGAAATCACACTACCAGAGAAACTCCCTTCCCCATCTATCACTTTCGCGCACGCAGACACTCACAATAGGCACACACTCGAAAGCAAGCTCTCTCTCATCTCTCTTAAGCAAGATTTGCTTTCCGCCCCTCACGGTTTTCCTCCCGGCGTAGAATATACAAGTGGTTTGTTTGTGGCCCCTGGAAAAGGTTTCCGCCCAGCCGCATCCAAGGACTTCGGTTTCGCTGGACTTGTCGGCCCCCGGTGGTATCGAGTTCTTTCCCCGTATCGCGGGCAGGGAATTTAGTGCTTCTCCTCGGGGTAGATGTCCTCCTTCAGAGGGACGCCGAGCTCTTCCCTCAGGGGCTTGAGCTCCTCGAGGTACTGCTCGTACTGGCCCTTGTTCTCGACCTTGGCCTTGATGCCTGTTGGGAGGTGGGTAAAATGTCAGCTTGTTTCTCGATTTCCGATTTCTCAAAAAATGGCGCGGGCGCGCGCATTGACGTCGTTTCAATCGCGAGCTAAGTTTTTTTCGGGCGTGCGCTTTCGGTGACAAGCCACGTGCGGGAGGAAGGGGTTAAAAATTCAATTGGGAGATAGCGTACCCTCGAAGATGCGGACGGCGGTAGCGAAGTCGTTGACGCGGCGGGCAGCCTTGAGGGCGGCGGCGACAACGGCGGGGGAGGGGACCAAGTCGTAGGCGAAGGCGTTGTTGAGGTTGCGCTGTTGTGTTGTGCGTGCAAGAGTCAGCCTTCGGTGTGTTTCTCCCATCAGACCACTTTTGCCGAACTAGGTTCAGATCCCGAGGGATTTCGCAGTCGGGTGTTTATCGGTAGGCGGGTTTTGTTACCTGAAGCTCGAAAACGTCCTGGACGCCATCGAATTCCTTCTCGAATCTGGGTTCAAAAGTCAGCGACGAGGATCGGGAAGCGGATTGAGAGACCGAGAGGCCTCAATGGCTGGCGGGGGCGGCGGTGGTGTGATGGTTGGTGGTCGTGAATCGAATCCTTTCCGGGCATCCCTATCTTCCCGCCCACTACCTCTGTTTCCCCCCAACGACGCCCCACGAAAGTTCCAACCACCACCACAACCACAACCAAAGCCATCAGAGGTCCGGAATAAATGGCTCACCTCGCGCTGAACTCCTCAAAGGTCTCCTCGGCGTGGTCACCGGAGCGCAGGCGGGCGCTGGTGCTGAAGTTGTTGGCGGCAGGGACGCCGGCGACGATGGTGGGCAGGAGGACGGCGGAGCGGGCCATCAGAGGCTGGCTGGAACGGATGGGGTTCGCACGGAAGAAGGTGGTCGAGCCGCGGGCGGCGACGCGGATGAGGGAAGAGGTCGACATTTTCGGCGGTGTTGGTGATGTGGAATTCGCGGGGGAGGAGGCGGCGACGACCGAGAGGGCGGACGTTGGGTTGGCGGGCGGGTTTTGGTGTGACGTGGAGGGAGGTGGTTTATTTTTTTATTTTTTCGGCTCGCGAAGCTATGGGCGGTTCGTCGGGATAGAGTCGGATGATGAGTGTTGCTTTGGCAGGCACGAAAAAGGATTGGATTCTGCGAGATTTTGATTGGATGACTAAGCCGTAGCTGTTGCTTTCCAGTCGGAGCTGAGCTCCAGGCCGTGCGAATTGGGATTCACTCTGTGGTTTGGTTGGTTTGGTGAGACGATCACTGCGAAACAGCACAGTTAATGCGCTTGGCTGCACGGAGTGTCCATTATCAGGCCACTCTGGACGATTCTTCCCCGAATATGGTAATGGTCATTCTCATCCTGCTGCATCTCACTGGTTCCCAGGCAGCGAACCCTTGAGATCTAATACATCTTCACTGGGCGTGACGACCCATTGGGAAGACACACGGCTTTTCGGGACAAGGAGGTAATCGAGCCGGTGCCCCGAACTCCTGTCCCAGTTCCCCGTGTTTCTCAATGGCACCCTGTCAGGAATTGGAGGTTATCCAAGGTTCCGTTGCACCGTCCCATCCTGCCACACACCACAATGGCGCCGCGCACGCGCAAGGCTGACGGGACAGGCTGGCCGGTCGGGCTCTAAATCCAACTAGGGGGACAGCATTGGGCGATGACGGATGAGAGGGGTGGGAGGGGGATGACACGGAGCCGGACCGGGCCCAAGATGCCGGAGATTGTGACGGCATCTCCAGACGTTGGCAATGGGATGCTATTGATTTGTATTCCCCGGTCAATGCCAATTGGGCCCCAGCCCAGGCCGAGGCACGATTTTTCTGCGCGACCCTCTCTTACAGCTCGTCCTCGAATCAATTGGTCCATTGGATCCCAAGAACAAACCTGACTCTCGATCGCGGGCCTCTTCGATTGGCAACGTAGCCTAAACTCCCGAGATTGCAAGCCGCATCACGAGAGTCTTAAGTACCAGGTACTTCGCGGCCTACACGGTTGTTTTGGGGCTAGGTCGAGTTGGCAGTGTGGATTGCGCCCGACGGACGGGAAGCTGAGGTGCTCGCCGGGGCCCTGTCCAGCGCAAACCACCGGGCCATCCTTCAACACTGTAACGGTGTCTGCGTCATTTGCAGGCAAGACCACTGTAACGAGAAGCAGGTACAGTCAAGCGGCCCACGCATAGCAACCCGGAGCTTCCAGATCCTCAACTTCCAAAGACTCCGGTTCGCCCGCCCAGCCTGGCGAAGCATCAAACTACCTATATTTCAGTACAAATGCCCCGTATGTTCCAAGAGGACGCAGCAAAGTCACGTAGAGACTTGTTCTGGTGTTGCTCAGTTGTTGTGCTGTGCCTTGGAACCATAAAAAGTTGAACAAGGCCTCAAAATGAATTAGGCCAGGAATACGCTCTGATTGGTCGGTCTAGGGACTGACAGCGAATCACATGCTGCACGATCAAATGAAGGCCTAGAAAAAGCGCTGCAGGACAAGTACAGGGTACCTAGTCCTTCTTGATAGGAATTTTCCCCTTTTGACAATCTCAACAACTTTTCGCATCCCGTCTCCTGTCCAGTCTCCTGCCCGCCGCCGGTCCTCCCGTCTTTTTTCTTCCTTTTCCTCATAAGCCAACTTCTCCCGTGTCCGTGGCGTTTTGTTCCTGTCCCCGTCCGACCCGTCCACCTCCCTCCCCCAAAGTCTCCAACTTAGGCTCACCAAAAAGGCGTCCCGTGGCGGGAAAGGAAGCGAGCGCGTGTTGCAATTGTCTTTTACGTTTTCGAAGTCCCTTCTTCTGTCACTCCTTACGAGGCTTCTGCCACCTCTCTCTTGCTGCCGATCATTGCTGCTACGGCCATTCCCGCGCCTTGCATCTGCCGTCTTGCGTCGCGTAAGGTGGTGCATTGCTGAACAGACGACAAGCTCCCCATCTTCAGCCACGCTCTCCTCAGCTCAGATTCCGCGTTTTCCGTGTCGAGTCCACAGGGTAACCCGCATCGAGACCCACGGCCCGAAAGGAGATATCTGCGCGTCGTCTGCACCTCCCATCGACTTCCCATTGTCTTCTCACTCGAGCTCGAAGATCAACCATCAGTCAAAATGGCGACCCAAGCCCCTTCGTCCTTCTACGAGCAGCTGCCGCTCCCAACACTCGACCGCCCCTTCGGCATCGAATTATGGCCTCTTCTCGACAAGGTCTGGACTCCCATCGTCGGCTACCCCGTCAGCGAGTTCAGATTTGAGCCTGGCGTCACCCCTATGTCCACCATCAAGCAGGCCGGCATCTTCGTTGTCATCTACTACGCCGTCATCTTCGGCGGCCGCGAATGGATGCGCAACCGCGAGCCCTACAAGCTGAAGGCCCTCTTCCTCATTCACAACTTCTTCCTCACCTTCATCAGCGCCGCTCTCCTGGCCCTCTACACCGAGCAGCTTCTGCCTACCGTTGTGCGCAAGGGCATCTTCCATGCCATCTGCGATGCCGAGGGCGGTTGGACCCAGCCTCTGGTCGTTCTCTACTACGTGAGTCTTCCCGCTGCCAATTCGCCAATTTTCAATCCGCCCGGCAGCTGACTGACTTTTCTCTCGCAGATGACCTACCTGACCAAGTACCTGGAGCTCATGGACACCGTCTTTTTGTTCCTCAAGAAGAAGCCCCTGAGTATGCGCACGACCGAGATCCCAACTTTGTGAAACCGCCTGCTAACCAACATGCAGCTTTCCTCCACTGCTACCACCACGGCGCGACCGCTCTCCTCTGCTACACTCAGCTGATTGGCTCGACCGCTGTCTCATGGGTTCCCATCACCTTGAACCTTGGTGTCCACGTCGTCATGTACTGGTACTACTTCCAGAGCGCTCGTGGCGTTCGCATCTGGTGGAAGGAGTGGGTTACTCGTTTCCAGATCATCCAGTTCATCATCGATCTCGGTACGTTTCGAAACGCTTCTAGATCTCGGCATGAGAGTGCAGTTCGGCTGACTTGTGACAGGCTTCGTCTACTTCGCTTCTTACACCTACTTCACCTCGACCTACTTCCCCTGGATGCCCAACGCTGGCAGGTGCGCTGGTGAGGAGTTCGCTGCCTTCGCTGGTATCGGTATCCTCAGCTCCTACCTCGTGCTCTTCATCTCCTTCTACCTCGCGACCTACAAGAAGGGCGGCAAGTCGCAAACTCGCAAGTCCCTCCGCCGCATGAGCCAGGCTCCCCTCCCCGACCCTCACAACGTTGCCCAGGCCGTCGCCGGCCACTCCAACGGCAGCGCTAAGGCTTCCGGAGCCAAGACCAACGGCTCCTCTACCCCTCGATCCCGAAAGGCGTAAAAGCCTGGCATCCTAGGATGTCATCCACTGTGTGGAGTGTATATATGCGGAACCGTTGAAACCTTTCTTCGATGTTCTGTGCCGAAATCTACGACGCTTACAACATTTGGATGTTGGGAAGAATCATTCTTGGCTTGTTGGCATAGCAGCACTGCGCCGGCAGCACGAACGACCGTTTGAGGACATCGGCTTCTTTTCGCAGCTGTGTATTACTGCATCGTCTCCGTTGCGTGTAGCGAGGGACGCTTTTGAAACCAAAAAAGTTGAGTCCTGGCTGTTGGTGAGCAGCGAAGGGCTCAGCAGTTGGGACGTGTATGACGACGAAACCATGGGAGGCTGACACGACGTTTGTATGTTTGCGTGCCTTTGGCGAACTAGGGGTTGGCTGGCTTTGGTCGGTTGGGCATCATTGCAAAAGGGACGAAAACGACCCTGGGGTGGGCAGCACTAGGCCGCGCTGCCACTCAGGAAGGGAACAAACTTAGAACATTTGTAATTTTCCTTGTGTTTCTTGTGTGTCATAGATAGAGCAGTCGTCGCCCCTGTTTGAAGGGCTGACGGCGCTTCTGATACTAATACTCTTTTACCTCTACAATGCACGTGCTGGCTCAACATTTCTATTTTCCATATGGTGAAAACCGCGAGCAGAGGTGCGGCAGTCTCGATCCCGATATCAATCGGTTTGAGCCTAGACTTCGCATAGTCTCCAATCTTTGTTCTTCGCGTCATTCACAGGTCCCAACTGTACGTTCACGTCCTTCGCCATCTTGGCCATTTCACTGACTGTTCCCCGTTCCCTAGCCTTGCAGCGCAAATCATCATCCAGGCCATGATATAAGAGTGCGAGAGGCGAGGACCTCCAAGTCATCGTCTGTTCCCAATCGTTCGGGCGAGTCAGCTTTTGACTGATTTGCACCCACACCAGAAATATCCACTGCAGGAGAAGCAGCGAGGCCGGATACGCGATCCATCCCCAGTGTAGGTAGACACACGTCTGCGCGCTACTCGTTCTCCCACTCGCCATTCGGAGGTTGTGTGGAAGGTCGGCCGGGGCGTCTCTGTTTCTGGATCCGGCGTACGGTCTGTTCCGGATGGCGGCCGTGATTGAGTTTGCCAGTCCGCGAACCATGTTCTCTACCCTCTCCAAGTTTCCGAAGCCATCTGCGTATATTTGTTTCATCCATACTGGGCCGGATACCAAGCTGAGGACTGGGACCTCGGTGCTGTTGACGGTTCCCATGAGGAGGTCCGACAGTATGCCTTGGATCCCCTCCGCGGCCATCATTTCCATCCCCCACATACATTCCTTCGAGTACGAGGACCAGTTTGGCTGCGTTGGCGATTCCATGTCGTCCGCTCCCATTGTCTTGGCACACTGTACTTCCAGGCCATCGACCAGGCTGGTGTTGGTCACAAGGGCCCAGGCGATCTGGGGCACAACTGATGTGACCTCGACGCGGAAGTTTTGAGACAGTCGCATGATTTCAGAGTCTTCCTTCTCTGAGTACACCCCATTTCGAACTTCGCCAGAGTATCTCTTCACGCACAGGTCGAGTCTGCATCGCGAAGCAATCGCCTTGTTGTTAGGCGAATCTAACGAACATCCATTGTCAGGGGCTTCGCAATGAGGGTTGGTGAGCATCAGTGTATCGAAACCGAAGAACGGTGTGTCGCCCTTGTCGAAGAACTCGGATCCGACGGCTGCGGCTGCTAGCTTCGCGCTGAAAGTTGAATCAGAAACTCGAAGTCCAGGGTCAGAAGGTAAGCTCCATTTGCGGCCCAGTGTCGTTCCTTTGGACTCTGTTTTGTTGAGGTTGATTTCGTCGGTAACATTCTGACATGAGTAACACATAGCCAGTGACGAAAAGTAGTAGTCTTTGCCCTCTTCTTTGAAGGTGCAGTTGCCGGTGCTGCAGTTGAACTGGACAAGAGCTTCCGTCTCCTCTTGTTTAGTGAGTCCGTTCGTAAGAGCTACCTCCATAGGATAGTCCAAGGTTGCTTTTGGAATCGTGACAACTCCTCTCCCGGCCATATAGAGGTTTGTTCTGGGGACCTCAGCCACCTCGGTTACTGTAGGCTGCCTGGAAGGAGCACATCCTCTATGCTCGATCATAGCCTGAGAGATCGGGTCGACTGCTAAGGCTGCGATAGTGATAAAAGCACCAAGTCCAGCCAGGTACCTATTTAAGATGATTAGTTAGTCTCTAATCCCCCGGGTTTCGGCTAAGATAGCATACGCCTTTTGCGGCCGTGGCAACTGCTTGATGATAAAGAGTAGGCAACCCCAAGGGCCACGAGTAGCGTTATCAAACAGAACGATATCATCTAACCTCTGCGGTCGATGATACCAGGTCCATTTCAACTGCCCTATTCCTGTGACGTGGCTTCATATCAGCTATCTGCTAGGTGGCTTCCTGACAATTATCCAGGGCATTGAGTAACTGCCCGGCAACTTGTTGCGACTTACCCTCTGCCACTGGTAGGATAAGCGAAGCTTTGAATATGGCGGTGAATATTGCAATTAGAGAATTGACTGATATCAGATCTGGCCAGTCGGGTAGAGGTCGCTCATTGTAGAGTGATAAGACGATGACAATGGCCAGCAGACAGCCAAGCCCAAGCAGACTGCTGAAGACCTCTAGCCACCAAGCATTCCATAATGCCTTGCTGACTATCCCTCTATTGACGGCTCCCTTTGCAGGAGGTACCGTCTCTTTGAGAGACTGTGACTCCCCGGAGCGCAAGTCCTCGGTATCGTACGTGAAATCACAGCCTTCTCCTGAAGCCCGCACTTGGGTTTGGTCGGGGTCCGTCTCCATGGCGATAGTTGATCCCGCGGCAGAGTCGTTTTGCCTGGGTCTGGCATCATATGGTGGACCGCTGCTGCGAGAATGATGTTCATTCATGACGGCGAAGAGAAATGAGAGCTTGCACGGGTGGTTGCAGCAGGGTAGTTTGTGATCATCATTACAGAAGGCCGCATATTTATAAATGCGGCAGGCATAACATGTCATGAACTCCCACACAGCCTACTTCGATGTGCTGGAGTTTGATTCAGCCACCAAGGCAGAATACAAGAAGCCAATCAGAACCACGGTCTCTCAAGACACCTGATGGCGTGCAGCATCTCCCAAGTGAGGGGCGATTGGACATGTGTGAGCTTTCGCTCAGATTTCTCCACGTTGGTCACCCAGTGTCTCTGTGCAACACGAGGATCCAATCAACGTCACGTCTTCAAGCCTCGTCGAGGCAAAGTGCAAGAATTTGGAGTTTCTCATCACGTCAGCACTATCAAGATGGGCATCCAAATGCGTGCAGAAACATATTTAGAAGCTACGTGCAGCTTTTCAGACACCACTAGGGGTCTTGGTGGTGGCGCATGTCTTGCACCTAAGTTTACTTCAAGATCGTGATGATTGACAGCCTTCTGTTTCGTTTGGCGATTCAACTCCAGATCAGGTGTTGTTCCGCCGTTTCTCTATTGTTGTGGATAAGAAGCTTACTCCTCCGTTGACATCTAGTTGCGTATCCGGTCTTAGTTGTCTCATTTCACCTTCACAATTTGAGCTTAACATGCCCTGACTGGTCGCAGCGAGGCAGGGTTACGGTAGTAACGCAGGGTGTGTGATGTCTGTTTCTCATGCTGGTCTCTCTTCGGCATCTAGCTTCGTTGTTGTTATCATTGTCCCCTTACACTCTTCTTTAGAACGCACAGCACGACTTACACGACTTAGACCTCCCTCCTAAAGGACAATTGTCTAGCCGCGAGCTCTCCTTACATACACTTATACACTTGCAATTCACCAAAGTTAGTTATCCCAGCCAACACATATGTCTAGCAATACATAACCATCCTCGCTGGCTAGTTGAATGTAGTGGGTTGAACAGCAACGAAGATACATGTACTGTTCTCTGGGTAAGTGCGGGCCCCAGCAAAAGACATATGGAGACGCCAAAACACCAAAAAACATACAGCACCAGGTATTCGCTGGTCGTCACCGACCCAACTACTAATCCGGCCCTTATTGGCTTATCTATGGGAGAGCGGACGGGATCCCGAGTTTTCCAACAGGTATGGCCGTATGTGGCAGTTCCCGAGTGCAAAGTTGACTATGACGCCTTCTTGGGTGGTCTCGGTGAGCTTCGGTGAGGGATAACCCTTGGCGTGGCCAGCAGCCAGGCATGACAATGTACTCTCCTGTCTAGTACGGCGCCGTCAGTCTCCATTACAAGTGAATTTTGAGGTTACTTCAAGTGATATAGGGCCGTACGGGAGCCAATTGTCTTGAGGCACCGAATATCTCCGCGATTTCTTCGTTCATGACACAAGATTAGTCTATTGAGTACAGCACTTGATACCACAGTCATGCCGCGGTTTATTTTGAGCGCATTTGCAGGAGTAGTACTTTCTGTATCCTGTGGCTATCATGGCGAAAATGCTACACTGAACAAACTTAACCTTCTACTAATTTTGCCTACGACTGTAGGTTGCTATTTCTGCTCGCCGCCAGGATATAAACCTTCTTCCTTCTGGTTCGCTTGAGCGTTTTGAAAGAAGTTTCAATAGCTTTGTGGCGAGACTTCAAGCGACTCGATGTAACTGTCTTCATTCATACCATCAACTTTAAGGAAGAAGTCTATTGCAGATCACAGGGAATCCTGTGAGGTCTACAGACTCATTGCCTAACTCCCCCAGCTGGTTGGCTCCCGGCACCCCAGTTTAAGGCAGGCTGAGGGCGAATGGTGGCGAGCGGTTCGCCATTTCGATTCCAAAGGCCAGCAAATGACTTGCGGGAATGCGAGGGATTCTGAGACCAGTTTGACAAAAAGCCAGCCGCATGCTGACATGCAGGTTTTGTGCCACGGAAGGCACCTGTGGACTCGATCAGATGCAAGGAAAGAAACGCCTAATATGTATTTTACCTATTGGGAGAGCCGCTAGATGTTCGGGTGGCTGAATGGATGTCTATTCAAGGCATAGCTGTGAACCAGCAATATTCATGTTGATAGAGGTAAGATCATGGGGGCAAAGGTTTCTAAGGGCGGTCATGCAATGCATACTCCAATGCCAAAACGTATTTGAGGGGCGCGATCCCATGTCAGCAAACCAAAGGGTTGGCCAACACTCCGTAATCACGTCCTTGCAATCAAGCATGTGAAGCTTCCGTTCCAGGGCTCATTTTCAACGTCGAAGAAAGTCATTTCAATTTCTGGAAGCCACAACGTTCTCGTGAACCATGCTAAGGGACTATGAACCGGTTCATAATGCGGACTTGCAACTGGAGGACTTGACAACGGCAACAAACTCGACGACTGGAAAGTTTCTTTCAGGTACTTCGACTACCAACGAGTCCCAGGGTCTACTCTCAGCCAGAACGACAGACTTGACAACAGAGCATCGGGATGGCCCTCTCAGCAGTGCGAGTAGACATTCCGCAGGGGGTGAAGCTGCCATCGACAATGAAACTTCCAGCAGGACTCCTCGACCCGAAGACTTTGGTGCGGTCATCCCGAAAATCACCGCTTCAGCGCAGGCAAAGCCACAACCTTCTGAGCAAGACGACGATAGCCAACATGGCACTCCAACAATGGCGGATCCGACCCGTACACATGCGGTCTGTGTATCGCACTCGACACGTTCTTTCGTATATCGCCTCTGGCTGTGGGAGGTTGCTGCCTCCGTCTTCAGCCTTGCCTGCATGGCCGCTGTCGTTGGAGTCTTACTGTACGAGGATGGACGACGACTGGACGAATGGAGCTTCGGCTCCTATTCACCTACAGTAGTCGTCTCGTTTCTGGGAACCCTGGCGAAATCTGCCTCAGTTCTGGTCATCACGGAAGTTATCTCGCAACTAAAATGGCTGCACTTTCACAGCCAGCCGCGAAGCCTCAACGATCTACAGCTATTCGATCGGGCGTCTCGCGGCCCCTGGGGAGCCCTCAATCTAGCCTTCTTCAAGAACCGAAAAGCGCTGACGGCCTCGTGCGCCTCCGCCCTGATGCTGTGCTTCCTACTTTTCGACCCCTTCACCCAGTCAGTCTTCCGGTTTCCAGTAATCTTAAGTGCAGTTCAAGACGCCAAAACAAGCATCCTCACAAGCCTGGAATATGATCCGTTGTCTTCAACTGTATCACTCACCAATACTTGCCCGCACCCTCTTAGCATATACTCAAAAATGCAGGCTGCAATTATCTCCCCAATTCTAAACAATACACAACCGCCAACATTGCCCTGCGCATTCGAGAAGTGCGAGTGGCCAACCATCACCACCCTCGGAGTATGTAGCAGCTGCGTGGATCTGACAGAGACTGTCATTCCAGCATGCGTTGCAGACGACAGCAGGTGGACGACGCCGATCCGTTGTAACTACACTGTCCCGCTCACAAATTCGACATTTCCGGCAGTATTCGGCCGATATGGGGGAGCCACTTCTGCCATACTGCTTTCCACGGTCTGGGGCTCGAAAGCAGAGCGCGAGTTGTTGGGCGATGCATCGTACGAGCTGCCCGGGAACCGTCCCGTGAAAGATTCATACCCCGCGTCTTTGGCCGACTTCACGTTCGTCCAGCTGCCCCCCGACACCTTCCACGGCGACTACTTGATTAACAACAGTCTGAAATCCTTCCCTCCGATTCGGCGTGCTATGCGTTGCAAGTTTGAGCTGTGCGCCAGGACTTTCACCAAGCCATATTACGCAAACTTTCTATCCAGTCCGCTAACTGGGCCACAAGCACCACTGATCCGGTCTACGAAGGACACCATCCGCGTCGGTGTGCCTTTGCAATCAGGGTTCGATGGGTATAAAACTCTTATAGGCTTAAAGTCGTCGAATTCGACCGAGTTGTCAGTCGAGACCGTTTTTCGGATAAACTACTGCGATTGGGAAAACATCGGCAACTATCTAGTGAGCCTTTTCACCGCAACCCAGACCAACGTCGGAGCTTCTATCTCAGAAAACGATGACATTCGCTGGACCCCGAATCTGGGTATTGCTCTTAGTCAAGCCGACGACGTAGAGGCTCTCGTGCGCGACATAGCAGACAGCATGACCGATGCTATGCGCACGTCTCCCAATAGCACCCAACACAACGGAATAGCGCTGAGCAGCGTGACTTACATCGAAATCGTCTGGGAGCGGTTGGTGCTTCCTCTCTGCACTATTATACTCTCCTCTATATTGTTAATCATCATTATCATCCGCAATCGTGTACGGGGGGTGCCCGCCTGGAAGAGCTCTAGCTTGGCGCTCCTGTTTCATAGACTGGAAGGATGGAGTGATGACGAGCTGAATGCTCACGATCTTGCGTATTTAGATGAAAAGTCGGTGAAAATGAAGGGTCAAGTGCTAAGCGGTGATGATGGGAAGCTGGTGTTCTTCAACACAGCATAAGACTGTGTTATAGAGGGAATCATTGACCTAGTCAAGCGGTCACGCAATGATAAACTTCTCTTCCCATGGTGCTCAATAGATATCAGACTTCATCGTCTCGACAATTCAAAGGCTGTTTTCACTGAGATGAAAAGAAACACCTCTTTGAATGCCTATTTCGTCTACAAAACCCCTGTGTCGGTTGCTTGGCTGCGTTCAAATGACCTGGGAGGCTCGGAAATGAAGAAAGTAGCAGTCCAACGGGGCCGGTAGTGGTCACATAGAGTGTCTTTAGTCCTATCTCCTGGGCTGGCTTCAAACGTTGGATGTAGAGACAAGGTACGGTTGTGCCAGTCCGCCAGAGGATGGTATTTGCTGTAGGTTTCTTGCTGATAACTCAGATGTCGTCCGTAGTTTCCGCCCGTCGTCGTCTCTTCGAGATCATTGAC